TAGAAATAAATATCTAGGGTGGTTTTGCTTGGTACAAAATTCGTATTCATTGTTAGTATACCAAGTACGAGCAAAAAATGTGTTTATTCTCTATACGAGGCCAAAATTTAGGAAATGGTACAAAAAATCAGAAAAATAAAGGATCTTGATTACCAAAAACTCTTAATTAATTCTCGATTTCTAATCAAAAATAATCAAGTATTTTACCTCCAAAGAAAATAGCTTCAGATATTTTCCCATCTTTAATACACTCAAAGACTGGGTCAAGGGATTTTGCTTCATCAATAACTATTGAAGTATCCATGTAAAGGAAAGTATCATATTGTGAATATATTTCCTTTAATCAAAAAAAAAATAAATAAAATTTTAGAAAATATTTTATATATTTACAGCTAAAATAAATATTTTCCAAGCATAGGCTCTTGGTGAATGGATATCCTCTTTTATAATATTCCAATCAAATTTTCTCCATTCTAACAAGCAAACAGAATTTATATCTTCCATCTTTTAATAATTAAATTAAAAAAAAATTTTAAACAGATAGTGAAGAGGATTGGGGGGGGGGGGGGGGGGGAGGAAGATTAAGGTTTCACCGGAACCGAAATTTTGACCTTCCGGTGAAACCCTACAGATTATCCTCACTCAAAAAACTGCTACAAAAAAGAAACAGCGCTACAAGCTTACCAACCCCGAAGATCCATAAAAAAAGTAATTTTTAAGATTAATCCCTACATCCCATTCCGAATTTAAAAGATAAATGTCAACTATAATTCGATAATTATTAAAAATAAATTAAATATAATTAACTATATTTATTACCATAGTCTTATTTTCACTAATACCTCCAAGATCATAACCAATTATTTTTTGAGAACATCCAAATTGTTGTTTAATAATATATAAAAGTTTTCTCAACGATTCAAAATATTTAACGTTAGAGGCAGTCACAATTGTGAAATCTTTATCTCCGGGCTTTTTCACCTTTTAATTTAATTTAAAAAATTATTTCACATAAATGTATGCACATAGTTTAGGGCTTTTTATACACATATTAAAAAATTCAAAATATTTAAATTAGAAAAAAATTCAGCCCTAATTATAATAGTCCCTTTGTAAAAAGTATATTCTTCCGGTTCAGGAACTATGAATTGTCAAATTTTGGGCCGATAGAGTGGCTTATTTTGCTAAACTCTTTCTGTATGAACAATTTAATTTTGAATTTTAGTAACAAACGGGTATTTTTTGTTGAATTTTGTATTTGTCAGCAAGTTTGTATGTATGAAGTAAAGGTAAATGTTTACAATCAAATCTTTTTCCACTTATTAAATTTTCAGTTAATTTTTCGTTAGTTTGGACAATAAATGAATATGCCATTTTCTCTCCACAACATTCTAAACTCCATTTTGAATCGTTTCTAATTTTTTTAATAAATATTTATTGTTATAATTGTTAGTACACAATTTATATTAAAGATTTAACCGAGATTCTCTCGATTACTTCAGAAAATTTTTAGTTTTCCTAAACAAGGGTGTGTGGATAATTGTAAAGAAAAGATATTTTATTATGTTTTAAACAAAATTTTTGCGGAGTGTGAATTTTTCTGTTTATATCGGATTGCAATAGACCAAAATCCGTACTCATATTCGTACCTGTGTACGAGTACATCCCATTCAGCAGTGTTTATTGGAATTTTCAAAATTCCAAACAATGGGATCGGGAATTATTTTACGTTCCCGATCCGTTTTTCTTGATTTTTTTCTTTAAATCCGGGAAGGAACCTGAAAGGAGATTGGGACCTTATATAAATAAATCTTTAGGGAAATCCTCTCCCTTTTTTCTTAAATAACTAACCGATTTTTTTCATTTTCAATACATTCTTCCAACAAACTTTTTCTCTCAAAAATTAAATTGGATGTATTAAGTAAAGTTTTATTTAAAAAATTTTGAGAATTAATAAAAATATTTTTATTTGGCCATTTTTGTATTAAAAAATGTAAGCAAAAAATAAAAGTTAGTAAAAATAATAAACAAAAATATTTTGTTGAATATATTTTATTGTTTGAAATAATTTTTCCATTTAAATTATTTAGTGGAATATAATACATTAATTTTTGTATTTAATTTAAAAATTAATTTTAATTAATCTTAAATTTTAATTTTAATTAAATTTTAAAAAATTTTTGGGAGGGAGAGAGAGGCCTAAACAATTTTTATGGGGATTTCTAATTTTTTTCTAGAAAAAATAAAAATAAATAAAAGCTTTTTTTTGAGGGAAAGAAAGATAAATTTTATTTATAAAAGAAGCAACTTTGCTATTAAATATTTTTTAGGTATAATTTTTTTATTTAATTATTATTTAATAATGTTTAGGTATAAAAATTGCCTTGAATGTTTACCCAACTTACTAAAAATAAATAAATAAAATAATCTAATTTTGGCTTTAAAAAAATTTTTTTTTAATTTATGGCTATAGTTTAGATTCAATTTTTAAATAATTTAAATATTACAGAGATCTTGCGTAATTTTATAAGTTGGAATTTTTTTTAAATTTTTTATATATTTTTATACATTTTTGTCTGCTTTTTTAAATTTGCCCAGTATATGTAAAGATGGCAAGCCAACACATACATACGTATTCACTCAAACCCTTCTAAATAAAATATATATACATTAGTGATGTTCGGGAGAAGAAAAAACTCGGGAATCGGGAAACGGGAGTCGGGTCGGGAAATGACCTCGGGAGTCGGGATCGGGAGTCGGGAATTTACAATAAAAAAATTTTTGGCACCTTCGGCGCCAAAAAATTCCGGTTTTTTGCATTGCAAGGGAAAATTATGAGAATTTTGGAAGGTCAAGAGGCCAGACATCTTCCTTATTAGCGCCGCAGGCGAAATTTTTGAGAATTTTTGAAGGCCAAGCTGTAAAATTTCTTTTATTTTCAACGCCGGGGGCGAAAATTTTGAGAATTAGAAAGACAAGGAGCTAGATTCATCCTTTTTCTGCGCCGCAGGCGAAAATTTTTTAAATTTGGAAGACCAAGAAGACAAATTTTTCCTCCCTCAGCGCCGCAGGCAAAAATTTTGAGAATTTTGGATGGCCAAGAAGGCAGATTTCTTCATTTTTCAGCGCCGCAGGCGAAAATTTTGAGAATTTTGCAAGGCTAAGAGCTCTGATATTCTTTATTTTCTGCGCTGCAAGCAAAATTTAGAAAAATTTGTAACGATTTCTTCGATTTTCTGCGCCGCAGGCGAAAATTTTTGAAAATTCATGACTAAATTAATTTTTCTACAGTTTTTTGACGTTTATAATATAGAAAAAAATAATTGTAAAATTTTAATATCAAAATAAATGTTAAAAACCATTTATTTTTGGAAGGAAAAACTATTTAAATAAAATACGCCAAACCCGGATTCGAACCCAGACCAATCAAAGTAACTTAGGTCACTCAACTTACCCACTCGACCACCTCTCAACAATAGTTGTCAGGGAAAAAATTTAAATATTTTATTTTCCCTTTTTTTATTTTTTCTCTTTATTTTTTCCCTTCAAAAATAAAATTTTATCAGAAAAAGCCATTCTTAGGGGTGTAAAAATTTCCCGACTTAGTCGGGAATTGCCATCGGGAGTCGGGGTCGGGATCGGGAGGCCAAAAACTCGGGAAATTTCCCGAGTCGGGTGTCGGGAGTCGGGATACTCGAACATCACTAATATACATCCAGGGATGTGTCGAAACAGATTTTAAAAGGCAAAAGGCGGAATGGCACACCCCTGGTACATACAGTAAATCTTCTAATTGAAGCACACCTCTAATATAAGCACACCCCTAGTATGCTGAAAAAGCACATAGGTACTCATTTTTGTTTATATTAGAGTTCGACATTTGAAAAATGCCGAATTAGTATTCCAGGCTTCAAAATTTTTTAGTCGGTTTGGATTTCCCGTATTAAAATACGGATAATCCCGATTTTTTAGACCCGTATCCGAACCCAAATTTTCAAAAAAATTCTTTATAAAAATTTCGCAATAAATAAGCGAATTAGTATAAAATTAGGAAATAGCGGGTTAACACACAATACCTACAACAAAGGTTGTTGAGGTACATCAAGAGGGATGTCGTTGGTGGTTGGGAAATTATCAAAGGATACAAAAGGATTTTGAGGGATTAAAGGGGACATCGGAATATTAAAATGCTATCGATTTAGAGGGGTTAGGAGGGATATTGCCGATTTGTCGTATTAGCAGGGATATCAGGGGTTTGGGGACGAATAGTGATATTAGGGGATTTGAATAGATAAAGTTGGAAATCGTGGAGATATGCAAATAAATGAATTATCAATGCATTTGATGGGATTAAGGGGGGAGATATCGAATATATTTGTCAAGCGTTCCTCAGTCTGCCAATCCTAGTCTGGCTCCTTGAGATCGGGACTTGTTCCTTTCAGCTCGGAAGGTAAAAATTTTCGAAGTAAAAAAAATTTATGGTGCTGGTTGGTTAGAAAATTAAATGGAAATTTATGAATTCAATTGAAATTTAATTTTTGTTTTTTTATGTTGGATAAAAATTTTCTTCAAAAAATTGAAAAATAGATCGAAAAATACAAGCAGTCTCCAATATAAGCACACCCTACGAGGGGATCGAAAAATAGAAGCACTGTGCTTCAACTAGACGATTTACGGTATTTTGAGTTTCTGAATCCCCCAAAAAAAATTTTCTTTCCAATTTTTATTTTTAACCAATACAAAAAATTCTAAAAATGTTTATTAACATAGACCGGTAAAAACTCTTGGCGAGTTTTAAAACAAATATGATCAGAGAGATTAGCTATATTAAAAATTGAATAGAGGCATTTTAGAAATTAAATTTTTAGTAAATTTGGAAGGATTTTTAGTTCCTCGAAAAAAAAAATTTTTTAAGAATATCAATCCCAAATGCCTCTTTTCAATTAACACTAACAAATAATAAGAGATTTATTTAATTTATAATTAATTTATAATTCTTTTCAAGGGGAGTCTGTAGTAGAAGTCAAAAAACGATTATTAAAGCTATCTAAAGTAGACGTCATAAAGGTGATTTTGTTCCTTAAAAAATTTTTTTTAATAATTCTCCCTCCTTTTCCCTTCCAAAAGCACTTACTTTATTGTATTTATCGATCCCAACATTTTGTCTACATTATCCATTTTATTTTTTGTTTGCTCAATTAAATCTTTCATTTCATCATAAAATCCACTAAACACTTTTCTAAGCCCTCCACAAACTCCATTTAATTCTTGTATAACTTGTTGTTCACATTGACCGATGTGAATACTTTCAACTTGGCGAAGACTTAAAAGAAATATTTTTAAAATTAATTTTAAAAAAATAACCGTTGTTCTAAATGTTGTCTAAATTGACTTTTAAGACGTTCCTCTTTAGCCCCGTTATCCCATCGAAGTCGTTCAAAACAATAAAAACCCGCAACGGCACCAACTCCAGAAAGAATCCAACGCCAATCAACATTTTTATAAACCTAAGAAAAAAATTCTTTTTTTGTTAATTTTAAAGAAAATTAGAATCTAAAATTTAAATTTATTTAAATCAAAAACTAAAAAAAAAATTATAAAAAAGTCAGCCAAAATAAATCAAAAATTGAAAAATTATTTAAAAAAAGTAAATTTTCCAACTAACTAGAGCGCGTAGTGACAGAAGACCCAAAGACAAAAGACCCACAAGAGAAAAATTGTATTAAAGTTAAAATCCACAGCAGCAAAACCCCCCAAAAAGACCACAGGTAAGGAGCCAATATGAAAGCACCATTGAATAAAAATAAAAAATGGTTTTGAGTCTTCTGTTTGTGTGTCAAATTTTCCCCAAAATTATTCAAAAGAAAAGTCACTACAAGTCCAGCAATTGTTACAACAACAGAACCATTAACCAAATAAGTTGCCGATTGAACTAATAAATTTGCCAAAAACATATCAACTTCTTGTTTATTTGGTTGATGTTGACTACTAGTTCCCGCTCCAATTCCTGAACTTGAACGAGGAGAACCAAGTTGCTTCAGAAAAATAAATTAGAATTTTAAAAAAATTAAAAAATTTTACAAGAAAATTCCTGTCAATTGCAGTTATTGGCTGTCCACGAGTTATCGAAAGAATTTTTCGTGCAATACTTTCAATTCCCAATGAAAAACGAAATTCCAAATCTTCATGGAAGTCTGCAACCATTTTTGAACAATTTACTGATATTACAAATTTAAAGGGTTGTCTGTAAAGCCAAATTTTTTCAAGTTCCAAAGCGTGGGATTCATCAACAATTTGACGCATACAATCTAAAAATAGTTTAATTTTTTAGATATTCAAGGTAAAAAATCAATACTGAGCATTGCATTCTCCAACGTCCAAATTCGCGTAATTAAAGCTCCAGTACATTGATTTTGTAATTCTTCAGTAAGAACATCGTTCACATAAATGGCCAGCTCCTTCAAATTTAAAAAAAAAGAATATTTAGTCTTTAAACATAAATACAAAAAAAATATTCAAACCCGTTTATATTCCTGAATAGACACTGGATCATCTACAAATGGATGCTTAAAATGATCAACAATAGCTTCTAAACGTGCAACTTCTTCCTCAAAATCTGAAGAAACTTTCATATGAACTTCAGAACGCATTTTAGATTGTTCATCCGTGAATGTTCTCTCAAAATTTTTAAACTTTTTAGCACTTTCTTCATGTTCTTTTGATTTAAGTTGAAACTCAAGAGCTAGACGTTGTCTAAAAAGTAAATCAAAAATTGTAAATTAACAGAAAAAACCAACTTTTCATGAATAGCAGCGCCCATAGTTGCTTCCAAATTATCAAGCATGGCAAAAACAATTTCACGTGCCCGCCTACTATGAGCATCAAACTTTGTATGAATTGCAGATTGTGAAATACATTCTTCAAATTTATCTTCGAATTTTCTGAATTCGCGAGCTCGTTGTTTATGACCTTCCAACAGGTGAGCTACAAAATGAGAAAATTGTAAAAGGCAAAAATTTAAAAACAAACGATTTCTGTTTAATTCCCCACGATCAAACAAACGCTGATCCAACATTTCCAATGCAGAAATGAAAAAGAAACGTCCTTCAGCTTTTTGAGGAGTGCAAACTTGAAGTTCAGAAGAAAGAAAATGCACAAAACGACGCTCGTGTTGGCCGCGAATCTTTTTTAATTCTATTTAAATTTAGAAATGAAAAATTACTTGAGAACGAATTTCATCAGATTCTGAAGCACTCGCATCCCAACGATTACAAAGAATGAAAATATTTGGTTTTGAGAGTTTTTCGCTGACACGAATGAAAAAATTCTTTTCCTAAAAAATTTAGAAAAAAATTTTCATTAGAAAATGAAAATATAAAAATTAACCGCTTGTGTTAAAGTAGCTTCAGAATTACAAACCAAAACAAAAACGTCAGCATCCAAACAATGTTTATCAATCCACCCATCAAATTCTGGACTTAAATCGACCCCAGGACTAAAATTGATTTAAATTTAATTTTATTGAAGAATAAAAAACCTGTCAACAATAGCCAAATCATTTTGGAGAAGTTTTGAAGAGGATTTTGGGTAAATAATACGAATTAAGGAATCAGTTCCAAGGGAAGTATTTCCAGTATTGCCTAGTGCATGTCCAACTTTATGCTGAAAATTAATAAATTTTTTCTTAGTTGCCTAGAAATAAGAAAATATTTTTATATGTATCTTCATTGGATTTTTGACGCCGAAGGCGAAAATTTTTTTAAATTCAAAGGCCGTAGGCCAAAAAATTCAATTTTTGCCCAATCACTTCCACAAATTTTTTCTCTTTCCCCATTTCGGGAAGAGGGGGGATTCCCCCGTACCCCCCCCCCCTCTCCTGGCTACAGGCCTGTTTAAAGGGATCTCAATATTTTTAAAAAGACATGTGTTTACAGAAATATTTTAAACAATTTCTAAACGATTTCTAAAATTAATTCAAACAAACCAAATCTCCAATAGGAATTTTCTGTTCCTCCGCATTTTCTATAACAAAATATTTTTCATTTTCCTGACCACCCTCAATTTGTAAAAAACAGCAAGTTGTATGTCCCATTCCTTGAGGAAGTATTTTTGAAGACAACATTGCATTAATAACGCTGCTTTTTCCATTACTGGTTCTAAAAATAAAAAAAAACTTTAAAATTAATTTAAACAAAAAAACCTTCCAAAGAAGACAACTTTCATTTTGTCACGTCCAACCATTTCTTTAATTGTTTTGATAGAATCTAAATAACGCTGAACTTCAGAAAGCTGTCGGGGAGGCACAAATTTTTTGTTATCAACATCCAGTTCTTAAAAATTAAAAAAAATTATAAAAAAATTTTTAATTAAAAAAAACTCGAATAAAAATTAGACATTTCTCCCATACAACTTCCAATATCATTGTAAATATCAGACATCATTTTCTTTGCCTCCCCGAAACGCTGCAAAGGTTCATTGTCCGGTTTCTTCAATCCTTTACCTTAAAATTTTATTTAAATTTATTTTTTAAAGAAAATTAGGTAATAGTGTCGTTTCCCAGCCCCCTTTTTTTCCTCCCAATTTTCTACCCTATGTTTGTACGGAATGGTCAAATTTTCCCCTTTCTTTCATCAAATTTGCCTTTCCATATTTTGCCTAAAAACAATCAAAAAAGATTAATTTTTTATTCATTTCTTTCACAAGGATAAAAAAGTGAGACATGATGCCAAAAATTATAAAAAACATTTTCAATATTGCCAAATCGTTTTCAATATTGCCAATCCGGGAGATAACTTTTATAGGTTTCAGTGTTGTTGCCAGCTTGATGTCTGAATTTTCGCCATGCATCGAAATCATTATCACTCAAACGTAATTTTTGGCTCTATCGCAAATGAGGTGCATAATCATATTTTTTCTCCTTCCTTCCACAAGTTAAAAATGGGGAAATTTTTCCTCAGTATTTAATGTGTGTGCCTGTGTTTTGACTGACCGTGTCTTTGCGTGTTTTGACCGTTTTTCAGTCGAAACACAGTCAGTCAAAACATGAACAGAAAAGAAAATGTAAAAAAATTAATCCTCTTACATTATTTTTCCTTACGGCAAAATCAGCACACATTAAATACTAAGAAAAAAGTTCCCCATTTTGATCTTGTGGAAGGAAAGAGAAAAAAATATGATTACGCACCTCATTTGCGATAGGGCCTAATTTTTCATATAAATCAATAGGTTTGAAATTCTTTAGTTCTTCCATTTTTATTAATTGGGAAAATGATTCTTCTCATTACTCAAAATATGGAAAGGCAAATTTGATGAAAGAAAGGGGAAAATTTGACCATTCCGTACAAACATAGGGTAGAAAATTGGGAGGAAAAAAAGGGGGCTGGGAAACGACACTATTACCGAAAATTAACCTTTACGTTCAGCACCAGCACTCGCTGTTAAATGAGATATTGTAGCGGCCATTTTAATTTAATTAAATAATTTAGAACTTAAAATGAAGTCTAAAACTAAACTTTAAAATATTTTAAATTCTTGGACACAATTAATTAAAAAAGGGGGAACTTAAGACAATAAACAAGAACAATTGTTCTTACATGACGTAAAAATAAAAGGAAAATGATAAGAAAAATTTCTCGAGATCAAGAACGAAAAAAAGAAAAATGAAAGAAATTTGGGATAAAATGTCATTTTCTAAAAAAATAAAAACATTTTGCCAAAAATATTTTAATTTAAATTTTTTAAACAAAATTATCAAAATTTCGAAATATATTCTCCTTTGTTCACCAAACTTTAACGAAATTGGTTGATTGAAGGTGTCGCGTGTCATTCTCCGTTGTCTTTCTTCTTTAAACAATTATAAAAATGTGTAAAAGTTTACATTTTTCTTCCATTTAAATTTCATTTAATTTAACCTTTATTTTAAATAAATTATTTATTTTTTAAGATAAAAATCTTTTTTTTGGTGGAAATTTAGTTAAATTCGCCAAACACTGATTTTTGCAATTTTTATCTCGTTTTTATAAAAAAATCCTTTTTAATTTTAAAAATCAAAATAATTATTTATTAATTACATTTTCTAGCCCATTTTTTATAAAAACTTTCACAATTCCAATTTTATTTAATTTCCCATTTTTATTTATTTATATTTAATGTTTAGCTTATTTTATTCCATATTTTCAACAACAACGAATTCATTTTCTTCCCCATTAAAAATTTTAAACTCTTCAAAAAATCCCAGAAATATTGAAGGAGGGAATGCACTTTTTATGGATGTATTATTGGAGGAAAGCACTGAGGAGATTGTTTTAAATGACGCCGAATTACAATTTTATGGGTTGATTAGAAGACATTTGGTATGTTTATTTTGAATTAAAAAAAGATTTTTTTATTCAGATATGCCTTATAGTCTTCACATTTTTCTATGCAATAAGCTTTTGTTTGATAAGATATATAAAGACTCGATCGGATAATGACGGTTTATTTTAAATTTTTTTTTAAATTCAAAAATTATTTTTAGAACTTTATGCAGGAGACGAAGATTATTATGTTTACCGCATCTCGTATTTTTTAAAATTAATTATTTTTTTATTTTAAAATTTTAGTACTTGGATATGTGCAAATTCCCTTTCAATCTCTATCGGAGCCGTAACTCTTTTGCCGTTTTCTGTTTTGGGCGCTGAAGTGTTGCAACTTTATCCTGACAATTTTTATTTAAAATGGCTCAATTTTTCTTTAATCAATACACTTTGGGCTTATGTATTTTTATTGAGCAATTTGTCTTTATTTGTGCTGCTTCCTTTCTCCTATTTTTTTATTGAGGTTTTTCTTTAAATTAAATATTGTTTGTTACTTTTATTTTTAGTCTCAAGGTTTTAGCCTAACCCTTCGTCTGCAAACATTATCAGGCTCAATTGGACATCCATTACTTGCCAGATTTTACGAGGCTTTAGTTGTTTGTTCCTTGGTTCTTGTCATCCTTGTTGGTATTGCTGATTGTCTACATGCACATTTATTTGCACGGCCGTCGAGAATTTGGTTTTTTAATTTTATTTATAATTTTAATAAATAAAATTAGAATAATTTCTCTAATTTATTTCGTGATCAAATTTTTTATTGGTTAGGAGACCTGTCCTGATTATTCACCTAAACTCGTAATTTTCGTCTAAACCCTTATTTAAGTTCTCAATAGTCTAATGTTAATTTAAAATAATACAAACTTTAAAATTTTTTTTATTTTTTAGGTACACATTGTTATATTTTTCTTCACTCTCGGCGCCTCTTCTCTATTCATTAGCTTCTCTGTTGGGCGTCTTCCTCCTTTTACTATCTGTCCCATTGGGATTTGCTCGACTTTTTGATATATTTTCATTAATGTTGATGACAAGGAATCAAATAAGATTAAAATCTGAAGGAAAACGAAAAAGTTTGGACGAGCCTTTTGATTTAAATGGAATTTACTATGACGCTATAAATCCTGAAAGGTTTTTTTCCTTTAATTAAGTAATCGGGGATTTTAAATCCATGGCCTGTGCTAGGGAAAGGGAATGAGGAAAAGGAAGGAAATTACAGCCTTCCAAAATTCTCGAAATTTGTTTGCGGCGCTAAAATCGAAATTCTTAGCGTCTTCGAAAAACCCCTGTAACCCCCCCCCCCTCTCCCGTAATTTTTATTGACTAGGATTATGACTTTGTGGTTCTCTTTTTTATTTCAACAGTGAAACAATGCCAAAAATATATATTTTGGAAGGCTGAAATTTCTTTTTTTAAAGTTTAAAAACATTTCCAGATTGCAACAAATAACTATCGCCCGGAAAAGTAAATTTGGAAAATCCTCAACTAATCAATATTCTCTTCATAATGGTTACCACCAACAACGAGATTCTATTCAAACAACAACGAATAATCAAAAAAATTTAAAATTAAATAAGTCAACAAAAACAAAAAAATCAACAACAACTTCAAGCATTCCCTCCAACAGAAAACTTTCAATAAATTCTCATCCAAAAACAAAATTATTTTTAATAAAAGAAATATTCTCTAAAAATGCTGCTATAGGAGGGAAAATTTTTACAACATTTTTTGTGCTCATTTCCTATTATTTAAGCAATATTAAAAGATTTATTGATTTTCTCAAATATCCATTGATTATGTTTATTCTTTTTGCTTTAACGGTTAGTTTTTGTAAAAAATTTTTTAAATTTTCTGATTACTAGGTTTGTTTATCGCCCCCGAAAGTAGAGGAATTTGAGAGAAAGTCGGGGAATGTGAGGGATTTTTTGAAAATCCCCCCCCCGTAAAAAATTTTTGCCGTCCTCATCTCCTCCCCCTCCCGTAAAAAAACAAAAAATTTTCCCCGTTCTCGTCCTCCCCCTCTCCCGTGACGCTACCTCCCCGAAAATTTATGTATCCCTTTGCCCCCCCCCCTGTCGGGGAATAACCCTACTGATTACTCTTTAAAATTCTGATTTTTTTTAAATTAAACAAAATTTAAACAAAAATTTTTAAGGTTATTTCTATTTTAATGGTTATTTGTAATACACTTCAACTTTTATTTGGTTTCCGTCATTTACCAGCATATGTTCAATATGTTGAAGAATATAGACATACTTTGGGAATTTTTGGGGCAATTATAGAAGTCACAATAATTTTGTAATATTTTTTTAAATTTTATTCTTTTTATTTAAATATTTACTAGATATATTATGTTATCTTCTTTAATTGGCCTCTATTCAATTCCTTTCATTAAAAGAATTTATCCTCATAGAGGAAAAACATCCCTTACATCGATTATAATTAATTGTATGTTGATCTCAATTCTCAGTGCTGCTTTGCCTATTTTAGTCAGAACTTTGGGTAAAAGAAAATATTTTTTGTTTAATTTTTCTAGTTTTTTTATTTAAAGGCATTACAACCTTTGATTTGTTGAGCGGATATGGAAGAATTAATTGGATCTCAAATTTATCTCTAGTCCTTAGCTATAATATTCTTTTTGCTGGTGCTTCGATTTACTGCATAATATATAAATTTACTGGGCCAGTGAGGAGGGAATTGATAAGACGGTACTTTTATTATTTGTGAAATTAGAGGGGTATTTTGTGTCATTATTAGAGTTGGATAGAAAAATTGATCACTGTGTTGACGATACCACTTTCTAGTGTGCGAAAAATGTTTAAAAACTTATGAAGAATATTTGGCCCTATCCCAAAAGAATGGCGGAATCGTTTTTTTCATTACCTACCAGGGAAAGGAAAATAGAGACGGACAGACTCGGACAGACAAAACACGGCTGGAAATGTTTTAGAAATTGATAACCGTCCGTGTTTTGTCTGAGTCCGTCCGTCTCTATTTTTCCTTTTCTTACAAGTAATGAAATAAACGATTCCACCCTTCTTTTGGGATAGGGTCGAATATTTTATGACTACCTACGACCCCCTCGCGAGACTTTCACTTAATTTTGATAGTTATTCTTTCTTAAATTTAAATAATTTAAAAGGTTCTTAATTTTCTTCCTTATTTTTAGGGTCTACACAATTGTAAATAGAAAACGTTTTGATTATCCTGACGAGGAAAATTCTAATATTATTCCCAATAATGCTGTTTTTATTGACCCTTTAAAAACAGAAGTCAAATCTAGAGCTTTTATTGAATCTAGTAAAAAGAAAAATGATTAATTTGTTTTTTTGATGATTTTTGATCTCTTTATTTAAATTTATTATTTTTATATTTTAATTTTTTGACACGAGAAAATTCTATTCACTGAAGAAATGTGCAAAGACAAAAAATGTGTGTAATCCATTTTATTTTTTAAAAAATACATATTGAAATAAATTTTATTTTTTCTGTGTAATTTACTGATTTTAATTTCCTAGCACGACACTGCAGAAAGCAAATTTTTCTTGCTTTGTAAATTTTTGTAGTAGGATTTGAAATTATTGCTAGAGAGTTTTTTATTGCCAAAAAATCAAAATTCCTGACCGGCTGGTAAAAAAGTGATGATCGTAAAGTACCGAAAAATCAGATTTTTTTGAAATTAGTTTAGATCACAACTTTTACCAATCAATCGAAAATTTTGATTTTTTAGTTATTGTAGTCCATCCGATGCTCTATCTAATGATAACAAAAACATTAAAAATTATCAACCCGTACTTGAGTTATTAATGCATGTCATGCGACTCATACACTACCATGGGACGCATGTCCTAAACTAGAGCCACTAATTTTTACTTGTTTTTAATTTCCTACTCATTTTTTTAAATTTGACATTTTTTGTTTTTTAAATTGTTTTTTTAATTTTTAATGTTTAATTTTTAAAAATTAAATTTTCACGTGTAAGTTTAATTTTACATTTGAATTAGCCGAGTGCAGAGGCCGGATGGAGGGAGAGGGGGGATGGAGGGATAGGGGGGATGGAGGGAGGGGGAGAGGGGGGATGAAGGGAGAGGGGGGATGGAGGGATAGGGGGGATGGAGGGAGGGGGAGAGGGGGGAGGAATCTGTCGATTTTTAAAGTGTATTCGTGGCAAAGTAAAAAATTTTCCTATACATACATTTAATAAATTTATTATTGCCTTTTAAATTTTTTTTTATTTTAGATTTTATAATTTTAGTTTAAATATTTAGCATTTAATTATGTCAAATTTTTATGGTATTGCCTATTTTTTCTTGAAATATGTGAGAAGCTTAAAAGGGATTTATTATTATTTTAGGACCTTTTCAATCTATTTTTGCGTTTTTGCAATCCAAAATATAACCTCTTTTGAATGCTCTTAACGTTTATTGTCTGGAAATTCATGAATCCATTTTGCACCGCAGGCGCAAAATTTTCTGATTTTAGGTTGTCCACTCAACAGAAATTTACGTTTTTGATGAAAAATTTCCTCTAAAAAAGTTTCCTAAATTCCGCTACTGTTAAACCCGTTTTTTGTTGTTTTGCAATCTACATATAAATGTTTTCCTTTTTTGTCACCTAGAAAACCATAAATCCTTGGACTTAGTGCCGCAAGCGAAGATACCGTATTTCCTCTAATTGAACGGCTGCCTCTCTATTTTTCAATCCCCTCTCAGAGTGCCGCTCTATTGGAGACCGCCGTTCAAATAGAGACGCCGCTCAATTAGAGGAAATACGGTATTCTATTTTAAGGTGGCCATAAGCAGAAAATTTTTGTTTTATAAAAAATTGGAGCCCATTCTTGATATTCATAATATTCTTTTTAATTAAAGTTTTTTTAAATTTACATAGGAAATAATTTTCATTTTAAGAGAAAATAAGACAAATGTTTAATTTTCTTTTAATTTTATTTATTTTTCTTTACTCACATCCTATTCAACATTTAATAAATGGAATGGATGGTAAGTTTTTTTGAATCTCCATTTAAGTTTACGAGTTTAATTAAAGTCCATTTTTTGCCCAATAAATTAATTTTTGAGTTTATATTTGCCAAATTTAACTTAATTTGCGGGATTAAACCAAAACTTTTATTTGTCATAATTTTTATCGATATTGAGATTTATGACATTAAAAGATTCAAAAAATGAGTGAGGAAAGAGGGAGCAGGCCAACGTACCCGAGCCCTACGTACCGCAGAGCTACATATAACTAAGTTCAAAATCAGGGACGCCTTGGTATGGTTCGATGCATCTGGACGAGCTTAATCGAACCCTATCAAGGATTTATAAAACTCGATTGGATTTATAAAAATTTTAGCATTATTTTTTCTTATATTTAAATAATAAAAAAATTTAAAGGAGAAAAACAAATTTATGAAAGCCCAAATTTGCAAAACTGTCCTCCCCCATCACCATTGTATGAGCCAAACTCGAAATTTCCAAAAATGAAATTTTCGTTAACTGAGTTATCTCTCTTAACTAGAATTTTGTTGGAAGCTAGTCCAAATCTTTTAAAATTAAATTACAAACTTGAGTTGTCGGATATATTAATACAAAAATGCAAAACTAATGTGTTAAATAAATTAGAAAATCAACAATTAGTTAATTCTCAAATACTTGATAAGAAACTTAATGAGGTATTAAAAAACATAACCAAATAAATTATTATTATTTTTCTTTTTTAAATATTTATGCTGTAAAAATGAGTAATTTTGTAGTAAAATGTCGACACACTTTTTAAGTTTTTAACGCCTTAAATGATCAAATAACCTTTGTTATTTGAAAATACAAAATTTTTCGTCTAATCTAGAAGGGGTTAAGGGCAAGCACCGGAAGCTTCAAAATTTAAATGAAGTAATAGAAAACGTTTACTAGCTCTCACTTCTCACGCTATCTATCGGTTTTGTGATTGAAAAATTAGGAATCGAGGTTTATAGAAAATCTTTTTAATCAAATAAATTTTTAACACTGAAGGCGAAATTCGATGAAAACCTAGTGAGAGAGAACTTTCCATTCCTTTTCCTGCATCTCTTGTGTTAGGAAGGGTTTGTCCTATGACTCCTGATTAGGGTTGTCGGTTCTGGACCGAACCGAACCGAACCGAAGAACCGATGATTTTTCGGTTCGGATATCGGTTCGGTTCCGGATATCCGAAAATCTTCGGTTCGGATATCGGTTCGGTTCCGGATATCCGAAAATCTTCGGTTCGGATATCGGTTCGGTTCCGGATATCCGAAAATCTTCGGTTCGGATATCGGTTCGGATCCGGATATCCGATAATTTCCTGTTGAAAAAGGAAGAAATCTGTCTTATGGTCTTCTAAAATTCTCAAAATTTTCGCCTGCGGCGCTGAAAAAGGAAGAAATCTGTCCTTTGGTCTTCCAAAATTCTCAAAACTTTCGCCTGCGGCGCTGAAAAGGAAGAAATCTGTCCTTTGGACTTCCAAAATTCTCAAAATTTCCGCCTGCGGCGAAGTATGTGGTATATCTGAGCATTTGCATAGATTAAGGTGGACTTTGAGAAAATAGGGAGGAATTAAAGGAGAGATTATCAGAGGGGTTAAAGGGAATATTGAGCGATATGAGTGTGATATCGATAGATAGAGGTTTAAGTGGGACCCTTTGATCAATTCAGAACCCCTTTTATCACCCGATATCAAATCTCTTATATCCAACTAATTCTTTTTACCCACCACTAATCCTTAATAACACCTTAACCTCGAAAAAATTTTCGGTTCGGTCCCGGATATCCGAAAATTTTCGGTTCGGTTTCGGATATCCGAAATTTTCGGTTCGGTTCTTCGGTTCGGTTCCGGATATCCGAAATTTTCGGTTCGGTTCTTCGGTTCGGTTCCGGATATCCGAAATTTTCGGTTCGGTTCTTCGGTTCGGTTCCGGATATCCGAAGATTTTCCAAGAACCGACAACCCTACTCCTGATGCAATTCATTCCCTAAATTCTCAAATAAACTAAACTTCAATAACACTACTATAATTAAGATTATCTCATTCTACAAGAATTATATGAAAGAAATTGAATTGTTTAAAAATACAGAAGACCATTTGGAAGAGGAGGAAGATAATGTACAAGGATTAAGTGCCGAGGAAATGAGATTATTTATTCAAGAAAGATTGAATAAAATGCTCATTACATTAAATTTTGAGGGCTATCAAGTAATTTTGAGAAAATATTTGAGAATTGTTAAAAGCAGAAATGAGCAAATTTTGAGTGATTCACAAATTGATATAAACAGTTTATTAAAAAATAAAAATCAAAATCTTGAAGCATTTGTCAATATTGTTAATAATGCCATTGTGCCTTTATTGGAGTAAATTTTAAAATTTTGGGGTTATATGTATATTGAAGTTTTGATTCCCGAGTTTTCTCAAACTTTTCTCAATAAGCATAGTAAACAAAAATGACTGTTTATTTTTATTTTATTCGTATTCGAGCTGACTTTACATACAACGAATGTGAATACCGTATATACTCTATTAATTACTCTGGGTAATTATTGTTTCGACCTTTCGCTGTAGGGTGTAACTAATAGAGGCGGGGTATTATTTGAGGGAGGGTAATTAATAGAGTATATACGGTAATAAAACTGGGGAGGTAAATGTCTAGTTGACTCCCCACCTGTCCGCAAAGAAAATACGCAATTTTCACTCCTTTTCTTGCATTTTTTCTGTAAGGAGAAGCGCCCATTTTTTCTTTATGTATTGTATGCCCTTTGACTCATGAAAAGGGTCAAAAAAGAAAATATAATAGAGAATAATATAAAAATTGAAAACAAACTTGGGCTAATTTTATTTATTTTTCTAAAAGATCACGAGGGCTAACAACATTTTAATGATCATAATATAGGAATGATAACCGTCTGCTATTTGACAAATCACCTTCTATTAAATGCTAGATCGACCGGCTTTAAAACCGGAATTTTTAAGATTTTTTGCCAAAAATTAACCTTTATATGAAATTTTAAAAACTTTATAAAAATGAACGAATTAATAAAAATTCCGCAGAATAAAACCACTATATTACCAAAACTCAAAACTAAAAACTGTGTTTTTAAAATTCGAATTAATTATCTAATTATTATTTTATTTGGAAAAATTCCGTCATAAGTCCCGGACAGGGGTGGGCGCAAGAGGCAATCGTGAAAAACGCAAAACTTGCGGACAGGTGGGGAGTCAACTGGACATTTGCCAACTGGGGATAACTTTAACAATTTTTCTAAAAATAATATATTAAAATTCCTTAATTTTCAGAAAAGACGAACTTTTTGATCTTTACTCAGATTGTAAAGAAATAAATTTAGTAGAGCAAAACTTTTTTATTCTTTGGCATTTGTTTGGATTTGCTCGAAAACTTCTACGTTCTTTTATTTCCTCTCACGAACACATCAATTTTTATGATAATTTGTTGTCAAAAAAAGGGTGACAAATTTATATATTAAAATAAAACCGAAAAATTTTAAACAAATTTTTAGTTCAAGGAAAATTACTTAAAAATTTAAACGTTAAAAGGGGAGAATAATGTAGTTTTTACCTTATTTTTTCCTGTACAAATTTTGACAAAAGTTTCCAAACTTTTGTAGTAAATTTTGAATTTAATGTCTAATAAACACAACAGAAATTTTCTGAAAAAGTTATTGGGAAACCGAATATAAATTCAAGTGTAAAAAGGTCCTTTACTTATTTTTAATAAATTTATGAGGACTGAGGATGTTTTTTTCTTTTTTTTAAAAATACTAAATATATTTCTTTTTTAAAATTATAAAAATTATTTTTAAATAAAAGTGAAAGAATTTCAATAATTGAATATATGAGAGTTTATGATGATCTAGAATTAAAAGCAAATTACTTTATGAAAATGCTTAATGAAATGAATGTTTATAATTTTGAAGATTGCATTGTTTTTAACAGCAATGGACATGAATTTTGTAAGATAATTAGTAACATAAACAGACCGGGCTGATATCGAGTTTTTATAAATACTGACACTTTGATTTTTGAAACATCGTTTTTTCCTTTATTTTAGAGTTTTCTTATTAAAATCAAAGTTTTTTTTTGGGGGGGGGGGGGGGGGGGGTTGTAACTTGTATTATCTCAATTAGAGACCGGATCGATACAATATATCGATGGAAAATATCGATATATCTATGTCGATATATCGATTATCGATACCGATATTATCGAACGATCACTCAAGTCCGGTCTCTAATCTCAATATTTATGTCGGCGAAAAATTTCAATTTTATAAAAGAGTTGGGCCGAGAACTTTTCATTGATATTCTGTTTTGTTGATATTGACACTAATTTTTGAAATTCTGTTTTCCCTTTAATTACATATTTGAGCTAAATATGGTGTGTTACAAAATTATAAGGCACCTTAACATTTTCACTCATTATTAAGATTTTAGTCAAACCGAGACAAAATTTCGAACAAAAATCTCGGTTATCGAGATCAATATTTTTCGAAATAACGAACTCGATCTAGAGCGATCATCTGGGCAGGGGTGAATGCAATTGTGGATTGCGTGAAATTGCGTGCACCCCTGCCTCCGAGTCCAATCTCTAGTAGTTATAATCTCCAAAATTGAACAAAATAAAAGCTTTGCGGACATTTGGGCACAAAATATATAATTTACAAAAACATTTAAACTTTAAATAAAGCTCGTCAAAACCATCTTATATCTCTAAAGAACGCGGAATGTTTTGAAGACAATGACAATCCAATCTTTTATCCATCAATATTCTCTCCAAGCAAACCACTAGAGAGCAGGAATATTGAAAAATATAAAATTTTATATTATCGTTATAAAGGTATACAGTAAGGAGCAAAAGTTTGGAACATTTTGTTGTAAATTAGTTAATCAATAATTTTTCGTTCATTTCTCAGTGAATGGTCTGAATTAAAATTTTTTAAATTAACTATAAGTGTCCTCTATAAAATGACCCTAGATGTTCCTAATTAGTTTCGCTTATTTTTATATTTTACCCTATTTATATTTTATACCTAAAAAATAAGGGGTGCAAAAGTTTAGAACATTTTTGATTTCATTATATTTTAATGTCAAAATCAAAACAAAAAAATCTAGAAAAATTCAATCAAGTATATTGATCGATAATAAGTGAAAATAAAAAAGAACTAGGCCCATAACTCAATTCAGTGTCGAGATCTCGCTACCCTGAAAATCAACGTAAAACAGGGTTTTTCAAATTTAAAAAATATTTTCGACCCCTTATGCATAGTTTTGAATCTTCATCTTGGGCTTATCTTAAAGCTCTTGAAATTTGCTATAAGATAACATTAATAAAATTTTTCAGAAAAAATTTGATAGAGAGATAAAGACCGTTTATCTTTCGAACGCGACAAAAATCGCCTAAATGCCCCATAAAATGCTCTTTCGGAAAACTAACGGTCCTTATCTCCCGGTTGGATTTTTTCTGAAAAACAAGATTTATGCTATCTTGTAGCAAATTTAAAGGGCTTTCAGATAAGCCCAAAATAAAAATTCAGAATAACCTATAAGGGGTCGAAAATATTTTTTTAAGTGACTTACCCCCATTTTACGTTGATTTTCGAGGTGTCATGATCTCCGGTCATGGTAACGATATGGACCTAGTTTCTTTTTATTCTTTTACAATATCAATATTTAAGTTATATGAAAATTTTATAGATTTTTTTCTTTGGAGTTTTGCATAAAAATACAGCAAAATCAAAAATGTTCCATACTTTTGCACCTCTTATTTTTTAGGTATAAAATATTTTAAGAGTAAAATATAAGAATATCTAAAGATATTAAAAAACTTTTATTATCAATTTATAGAGGACACTTATAGTTAATTTAAAAAATTTTAATCCAGACCATTCACTGGGAAATGAACGAAAAATTATTGATTAACTAATTTACAACAAAATGTTCCAAACTTTTGCACCTCACTGTATAATTAAACTAATAAAAAAATATTAATTTAAAAATAAATTATAGTTTCTCAAAAATTATTAACTACAAATGTTTGCATAAATTTAATTAATTTCATAAATGGAAATAAGAATCATTCAACTTTTGGCTTCTATACATTTGACAACTTCATCCCTAAAGAAATTAATGAAAATCTTCAAAATTTATTTTTAAATAATTATTTAATTAATTTATTTAAAGAACAAAATGAAGGTTCAAAACAGCGTGAATACCTCGATGAGAATACTTTTATGCCTTTAAAAATTGGAGATAAATTTATTTTGCCACATCCACATCAAGAACTTTTAGAAATTGTATGTAAATTAAATTTGTTTTCAAATATACCTATTTTAAATTATTTTGAGGGTGAGGATAGTCCTAGGAATTAGACATTTAAATAAGATTTACATAAATATACCGTAGTTGCTCGATTAATTCCCCTGGGGAATTATTTTTTCAATCCTTCCTTGGCAAGGGGAATTAATCGAGGGAGGGGAATTATTCGAGGGAATGGAATTAATCGAGAAAATACGGTAGTATATATTTATTCAACACGAATCTTTTTCTTGACACTAGATAACACTGGAATTAATAATAAATTGAAAACCTAAAAAATTATTTTATTCAGATTACTCAATACTGCATTGGTTTTGTTAATCAACAAAGTAGTGGGGATCAAGGAGGAACCAGTGGCGGAAATTTTGGAGATACCAGCGGTTCAGAACAATGATTACTGATAGAAAAGGAGAGAAAAATTGAGAACTACAAACCTGGAGGATGTTTAGATTGAAAGGGATTTAAATTTAAAAATTTTGTTTAGATTTTATAGCCTTTTTATTTACTGGGAATGGTAATAGTTTGTTTCGTATCCTCTCCCCCCCTCCCCCCATTGCTTGAACATCTTCCACCGTCGTTGGAACAAAATTCCCCGTAGCACGCTCAACTGTCCACATGCTCAGGCCCGTTCCGTGAAAAATAAGGGAGAAAAGGAAGGGAAAATGAAAAAAAAATGGTCAGAAAAAGGGGGCAGGGGGGGGGGGGTACGAAACAAACTACCGTAAATGCTCTAATAGAAGCAAGTCTCTATTTGAAGCACATTCTCTGATAGAAGCATACCTTCGAGAGGATCGAAAAATAGAATCACATGTGCTTCAATTAGAGCATTTACGGTATTACCCTGGGAATGATAGTTTTTACTAGAGACCGCACCAATATGATTTCAAGACCATAAGTCTTGGACGGCTCTAACATGCGGTGTTAGGGGGCCTATAGGTGGTGCTGGGTAAGTGTAAATGCAGAATATAGACTGGCACTTTTATGTTATCTCCCTCCCACGATTTAGTTTTCTTCTCTTTTCTTTTTTCTTTCTCGAATAAAGGAGCTTGGGGTGTCCCAAAAATTTTAATGGGAATGCAGTAAACTTATTGCACATCATTAGCATTTGTTCTAATTGCATAGAGTTAAACTATTTGTGACTAATTCCCTTCTCACCCCCTCCCATCACCATCTCTCCATTGCTTATATTTTTAGGCCTTATTTAATTTATTTTCAACCTCTTTCAGGCTTTACAATCCCGACCGAAATTTTTTTATTTTTTGTTAACGGCATTTTTTATATTGATAATGGAGAGAACTAGGCTGTAACTTTGTTTAAAATAATTGGATAGTGGACTCCCTATTTAGTATGGTTCTATTCATTTCGTCGAGCTGCATCGAACCAATCTAAGGCATACGGGATTCGAAATATTTAACGAGCTATAGCTGGAGTGTCGATATCTCTATTATCAATTTACTATTCAAGTCAAGCCTAATTTTTGCATATTTTAAGATCTTTTTATTTTGAAAATTTTATTTTCTGGTAGATAAATCTTCGTAGTATAAAAATTTAAAAATATAAAAAATTAAATTTAGTAACTAAAAATTAAAATTATTTGTTGCCGATAGGATTTGTACCTCCAAATGATTAAGATTCCAACCCCTGTCTTTTTAGTCATCCTTTGTCCACTCTTAAGTCCATTGTGGAATTGTCCACTGTCCAATTGTCAACGAGACAATAAAAGGGACACGCCCAAAACCAATCTAAATGTTTGTAAGATAAAAACGGATTTTCAATTTTCAAATTTCTAGGTGTTAAAGTGGATATAAGTAGATGGGTCTGGCGGGTAAGTTTTCTTGTTCTCAACTCGCTTATCTATTTTTTCGGGCGCGTTTTCTTCAAATATTTTCATATGCGTAATTTTTGTCTAAATTTTAATTCAAAAATTAGAAATTAAAAAATGGCTCAACATAAAATGAAAAAGAAAACATCCCTTCCACCTGGTGCAAAAAATAAATCAATGAAAAAACAGTCAAAAACAGCCAAAACGGCACCCAAAAAAGTTTTCCTTTAAATTTTTATTCCTAAAAAATTTTAAATTATTTGAGGGCGTTTCGTCTATTTTGCCTCCTAAAAAGCAAACTGCTGCGCATTCAATAAAAGTGACTTCAGAAGTTACTCGCGTAATTAATCGAAAGAATGAGGAAATGATTAGAATGGTGGCTGATAGACAACAAGGGAAGAAGCCAAAAAAATGAAATTTTTTGCGAGATTTTTGTTGGCCTTTTAAATGATTTTTTGATAAATTTATTCGTCAATTTTTTTAGAAATTATTTTTTTCTCCCAAAGGTTTGGAGCCCTTTTCTATTTAATTTTTCATTTGCAGAAACTGCTAACCTAACCAAAGCTTCGAAGCTCGTACCAGAATTCGTACTCATACCTCGTACCTAGTACGAAGTACGAGCAAAATCGAAATTTCGAAGCACTGAACCTAACCAATGTAAAGCATATAGCTATTTAATTCCTAAGGCTGTGCAGTAGCCGGCGTGGTGTAATGTCTAATACATCAGTCCGGTCTACTGAAGATGCTGGTTCGCTCCCAGCCGCCGAATAACCTTTTGCACTAGCTAAAGGGGTTAAATAGTTATAGCCCAGCTGCCTAACTTAACCAACAATTTCTTTTTTGAAAATGTCCGCAAATTGTTATTCTTTGTCCGCAATTTCTAACCATTTTTCCTCTAATTTTTATTTAATTTTCCAGATGCCATTTTTTGTTTTTCGTTGTTTAATTCAAAATAACAGACATTTTTCCTTTCTATCATCAACATTATGTGCCAGACACGCAACAGCAAAAACTTCTTTAAAACAAAATAGAATCCAAGAAAGTTTGCCGTTAGAAACCAACGGAATTGTTTTAGTTCCAAAAAAATTACACGAACATCTTTTTGGAGAAACAAGTGTCGATAATTGTGAAAAAACTGATCAAATGGTAAAGAGAAAATCTGAGGAAGAATTTTTGGTAGAAGAAAAATTGAAATTACCTAAACTTAAATCAAAAAATTTAATGGGGCATTTTAAAGTTTTGGCTGAAGAACAATTGAAAGAGTAAGTTGAGAATTTTTTAAATAATTTTAGTTCAAGTTTTGAGTAACCAAAATTCTTTGTTATTTTTCGTTAAATTTCCCAAATATTTTTTTAAAAATCCTCCGTTATCCCTACGTGATTTTGTGGACTTTTTTGAGGACATTTTTTTCTTTCATGAGTTCAACACTAATGAGAGAAAATTGAGGAAGCGACCATTACGAACAGTTTAGGAGAGAAAAAAATAAGTCAGCAAAATCATTAGGGATAACGGAGTAGTACCAAAATTTTTAATAAATTTTTAAAAATTTTCCCTTAATAAAAATTTTTTCAAGGTATCGAATTTTAATGGAACAAGCCATGCAAATTGGAAGTTTACCTCCAATGCCAAAAGAATGGTCATCTTCTCCTGGCTGGACAGTTTATGAAAAGAATATTAAAGGTCAACATATTCAAAGACAAGTTCCTTTTCCAAAAGAAAATTTGTTGTTTTTTGACGTTGAAGTTTGTATGACAGATGGAAAATTACCAACTATGGCTGTTGCTCTTTCTCCAAATAAATGGTTTTTTAAATTAATTTTTTTGGTTTTTTAACAGTAAAAAATTTTTTGTTTTTTCATTAAACATAATTAAAAAAGTATTTTTCGGGTCCTTGCCTAAATTCTTTCCTCATTTGAATTAATTCAAAAATGAAATTCTTTTCTTTTTTAAAAAATCTTGGCCATTAATTTTTGAAAAATTTTGTGAATTTAACAAATTAAAAGAGTCGTTATATTTTTAAAGGTATTCTTGGTGTAGTAACAGATTATCTAATGATCAAGTAGATTTACCTGAATTTGTTACTTTAGATCATTTAATTCCTCTTGAAGATGAAAATAATTTGGGGAATTTTAAAAGTTTAGTTATTGGACACAATATGGCTTTTGATAGACAATTTATTAGAGAACAATATTTGGAGAAGGAATCGGCTATGAAATGTTTGTCTTTTTTATTGTGTGGAAATTTCCGGTTCAATTTTTATTCAAATTTATTTTCTTTTATCTTGGATTTCTCCTTAAATTCTCTTTTTTCTTATTTTCTAACCTTTCTTTATTTGACCCTATCCCAAAATAATGGCGGAATCGTTTTTTCATTACTTGCAAGGAAAGGAAAAATGGAAACGAACAAACAAATCACGTCCGAAGACGTGCAGACAAAACACGGGCTTAACGGACAGATGTTTTGTCTCCTTTTTCCTTTCCATTTTTTCTTTCCTTAAAGTTAATGAAAAAACGATTCCGCCCTTCTTTTGGGATAGGGCCCTTTATTTTGTTTTTTAATTTAATCTATCAAATATTTAATTTTTAAATTACAGTTTGGTGTACAATGTCAATGCATATTGCTTGTTCTGGTATGGCCGACCACCAAAGGTTTAGACTTTTGTGAAATAAAATTTTTAAAAAATATTTTAGACGTCTATACGAAAAATCAAAATTAAATTCCTACGATTATATGTCCAACTTTTATCTTGAAGATGAAGATGGAGTTCCTGTTTTTACAAAACAATTTCAGGTTAAATTCTTTTAATATTTTTTAGTTTATTTTAAGCAATTTTCCTATAATTTTAAAATTTGTTTTAAAAATGCTTAAATTTATTTTAAGGCAATTGTAGATGAATGGAAGTCAAAAACTTGTAAAAATTCCCTAGAAGCAGTTTTTAATCATTATTGTTCTAGTCCAACACAAATTAAATTAGAAAAAGAATGGCAAGGATTTTTCAGGAAAAATAGTATTGAGGATATTCGAGATAATATACAGGTTTTTAAAATGTTTTTTTACAAAAATATTTTTTAGCAATTATTTCTTTATTGTGCTGAAGACGTTCGAGCTACTTTTGAAGTTTATCAAAAACTTTATCCAAAATTTTGTAAAAGGTTTAAATTTATTTTTAAATTTAAAATAATTTTTTGACTATCCTTTTTCTTTTAAATCAAGGGCGTAGCCAGGGGGTCGATTTCGAGGAGGGGGGGGCTAAAATGGGGTGAGCATCAAAATTCTGGCGTCTACCATGGCGTTTCCGGACGCAAATTTTTTTGAACCATATTTTTATTTTTTAGCGCCACATGCGAAAATTTTTTTGAATTTGTAGGTCGTAGGCAAAAAAAATTCACTTTTTTGACTATCTTTTTCCTAATTTTTTTGTTGACATTCAATTTCATTTTATAATTATTAAAAAATCTTTTCGGTCTAATAAGTGTCTGGCTTTAATTTTCACTAATTTTAAAGATTTCCCCACCCATTAACATTTTGTGGAATGATGGAAATGGCAAATGTTTATTTACCTATTAATTCGAATTGGCGTCATTTTTATGATAAATGTGAAAAACTTTCTTCTTCAAGTATGAATGAAATTACTAGAAAAGTTATTCAAATTGCTAGAGACGTCATTGAAGAAATGGATCAAACAATAGAAAATAAAGAAAGGGAGGAGAATCAAGTCAATGAAAGTGAAGAAATGCCTGAAATATTAAAAAAGTTTGTAAATTTTATAAAATATTTCATCTCCTTTTCCTTATTTTCAGATACCATTTAGACCCCTGGCTATTCGTCTCAAATTGGTCCCGTCCAAATAAACGCCCTCAATGGCCTGTCTGGTATTGGGGACTTTTTCAGAAATTATCACATGCAAATACCCCTCTAGAAGAATTGGAAGCAGATTCTGTTAAATTAATGTGTAGAGAATTACCTCGACTTTTTGGGCTTTGTTATGGTCCATATCCTTTAATGTTTGTGACAGATTTGGGATGGGGATATATTGTCCCTAAAAGTTTGTTTTTTAATTTTATTTAGCTTTTAAAATAAAAAAAAAATTCTTTAGAAAATTTTGTTTCTTCTTCCCTACCAGAAACACAATTAATTAAAATTGCTGATGAATCTGTTCATATGCCAATTAGGTTTTATTTATTTTTATTTAATTTTAATAAATTTTAGATCAATTTATAAACAAATTATATCAAATAAAAAATCTCTCAATCAATTAATTTCGGAACCTTTAAAATCTGCAGTTCTCCATTTTGGCGATTTTTTTAGTTTTTACAGGCTACCACATCCGGTATGTTTTTAAAAGGATAATTAAATGATTATTGGATTAACGATTTCCAAATATTTTTTTAAAGAATTCTTAACTAAATTTGATAATTGGGATGATTTTTCATTTTCTTTTTATAAAATTCAAATGCTAAAATTTTGATTTTTTTTTGGAATTTTTTTGATCCCATTCAATTAAATTTTTTGTTCAAATTTCTTAATTTTAATCAAAAATTACCCATAATTTAATTAAATATTTATCTTTTTAAAAAGTCTGGCCAACCTCATCTTAATGTTGGCACTCCATTTTCAAAGAAGATGAAAATTAATTTTGAAAATTTTGAAGAAGATGCCATTCACCCAACAAGATTTACTGATATTTTAAAATGTTTTTTGGATTCGAGAAGTGTGACTAGATTTTGGGGAAATTATAGGTTTTTTAGAAATTTTTTTAATTATTAAAATTCTTTTAGGGCTCGCTATAAAGAACAATTACCTGTTTGGTTTGATAAAAATTCTGAAAATGGGGCAATTGTTCCCTCTGTTATCCCAGCTGGTACAGTTACAAGACGTGCGGTACATAAATTGTGGTTAACCTCTGCAAACGCAAAAGTTTTTTTTTGAAATTTTTTTATTAATTTATTTTTAATTTCAGGAGGGAATTATTGGCTCTGATCTTGTAAATTTTAAAATTTGAATAAAAATTTATCTTTTCTAGAAATCAATGATTCAATGTTCAAACGGTTATTCTCTAGTTGGGGCAGATGTTGATTCTCAAGAACAGTGGATAGCAGCCCTTTTTGGTGATTCTTTACATCCTTCAAAACGTGCTGGTTCTACAGCATTTAGTGCTATGCTTTTGGCTGGGAATAAAGCAGAAAAGACTGATTTACATTCTGTTGTAGCAAAAACTGTTGGAATTAGTAGAGATCATGCTAAGGTAAGGAGGGGGGGGGGGGCTAGTTTTTGTGTAATAATCTGACTCTGAACCAGTGCTGTGTGAGGCTCCGGGCGCTAGCTCCGGAGCTGGCTCCGCGGAGCCTGGAGCCTGAGCTATGATTTTAAAAGCCCGGAGCTGGAGCCAACAAATGGCAAATACCCAGCACTACTCTGAGCCTTTAAAAATAAATTAAAAATTCTAATATTTCTTTCAATCAAGTTTTTTACTATTTTTTAATTTATCAATAAAAGGTTTTAAACTATGCTCGTTTATATGGTGCTGGTAGTAAACATGCAGAACAATTCTTAAAAACACAAGGAATTTCGGATATTACTTCTAAAAAGTTGACTAAAAAATTATTTGAAACAACTAAAGGAAAGGCTTCAAAGTAGGGGATTTTATTTTTAAAAAATAATTCCTCTTTCAATTCAAAGTTACCATCGTCTATCAGAATCTGGAGGAAAATATTTTGAAGAATATTTAGCTTATCTTCACAGTCAAAATATAATTATTGAAAATACCTCAAAAAATAATTCTTATTTATTTGTTGATGGTTGTTATTTCCTTCCAAATGTTACTTTTAGCAGTTTTACTTTAAATTTTGCTGAATGGCTATTTAATTATAAGAAAACAAATTTAAATGATAAATTTGCTTCGAGATATCCAATAAAGCTTTATAATGGAGGATAGTGAGTTTAAAAAATAATTTTTCTAAAATTTTTTTTTATTTTTAGTGAATCCAATACATTTAATTATCTTTCACTTAAATCACATCAACTTTACCCTGAAACTCCTGTCCTCAAATGCCGATTAAGCGAAGCACTTGAACCTTTCCCCGTTACCATAAAAAATGGGCCAGAAGCATATGCATTCAATACTTTATATAAAAGGACAATAATTAATTGGGTAAAAAATAATTTTTTGGAGAATAAAAATAATTTTTAATTTTCAAAGTTTGTCCAGTCAAGTGCTGTCGATTTCCTTCATATGTTGTTGGTCTGTATGAGGTGGTTGTGTACTACTTATGGAATTAGAGTTCGTTTTATGATTTCTATACATGATGAAGTATGTTTTAATTTGTTTAAGAAATTTTTTAAAAATTAAAGGTTCGTTATATGGTAGCCGATGAAGATAAATATAGATGTGCGTTGGCATTAACTTTAAGTAACATGTATGTTAGGTAATAATTTAAAAATATATTTAAATAAATATAAAAATTATTTTATGTAAGAGCAGCAATATCAGAATCGCTTGGAATTCGAGAACTTCCAAGGGTAGGGAAATGGAATTTAAATTAATTTAAAATTATTTTTTTTAGTCTGTCGCCTTCTTCAGTCAAGTTGATATTGACAAAGTTTTGCGAAAAGAGGTGACTTTAGACTGTGAAACTCCAGGAGGCGAGAAAGTGGAAAATGGTAAAAAATTTTGTTAAAAATTCTTTCTATTTTGTTGAAAATATTTTTCGAAAAGAATTTTAAGAAAAATAAATTGGGCCAAAGAAATGTCCTTTTCCCTTAGATTATACAATAAAACTAAAATTCTTACTATAAAAAATTTCTTTTTTTAGGTGAGGCACTAACAATAGAACAAATTATCGATAAAACCGGTGGGTCACTTGAAGATCTCAAAATCATCAAAAATTAACAAAATCAGAGCTATATTTTTTACAAACAAAATTCTCACGGGCCATAATTTTTTATTGTGCACTTTATTTTTGATCACTTTTACATTTTTTCAAATTTTCTATAATTTATTTTTGATTCGTTCGTGAAAATTGTTCCTCACTTAATTTTTAATTGATTGGACAAAGCCAGTAAACGAAAATTATGTTGAAATTCTAAAACCTGATAAATTCAGAAAATGAGCAATTTATTATTCGATCACCTTTCCCAAAATAAACACCAAAAATTGGTATTATCGTTCACTGACTCTGTCCAATTTGAATATAATTTAATTAAAGAATTTTCTATATCTAAAAATAAACTTTTTAGAAATAATTGAGATCTCTAAAACAATTTCTAAACGATTTATAAAATAATTAAAAAACAAACTTATTTAGACATTTCATTAATAATATTTTCCCTAGTAATAACTTGTTCTTCAAATTCAATCATATAAGCTGTTCCCATATGCCAATGTGCTGTTACTCGACAAGGGAAATTACTTTCAGCTAAAAATGCTTCTATTATACCGGCAATAAAAGATGCACAATTTAGAGATCCTTTGTCCTTTGGAAGTGAAATAAATGTATTGACCATTGGCTCTTTTTCGATGAGAAAATCTTTAAAAATTAGAAAGTTTTTTTTAATTTTTGGGGAGTTTTTATTTTTAAATTTAATTTCTTTCAATTTTTTCAAATTAAAAATTCCTTAGAAAAATTTGAAACATTGAGAAAAATCGAAAAATTAACAGCGACCAAGAAGCTGTCCTTAAGGAATTTAACGAATTTTCTCTTAATATTCAAAAATTAAAGGCTTCTCTGTCAAATCAAAATTTAACTAACATTTACAAGGGTCTTCATTACTCCTTTCAAGTTTATCAGCTTCTAAACCAAATAAATTTTTCCAAACAGGCCCTTTCAAAAACATTAACATATGCAATAATTTAACATCTTTTTTGTATCCTTTCTAAAATAATTTTTAAATTTTAGAATAAACCTAATTTAAAAAAAACCTCTCTTAAAGTAATTAGATCTAAAAGACGAGATCCTATAAATTTTCCATAATCTGTTAATCTAAAAATAAATTTTAATTTTTAACATTTAAACAGATTAAAAACCTTTCTTGTAATTCTTGTACGGTGTTAACTTTATTTTGAGAATATTTAATCATTTCAGCAAATAAGAGTGCAAAAGTGGAAATGTTTATCTACAAAAATTGAGGCTATTCGAAATGAGTTGGTAATTTATTAAATGTATAGGGACCAAAAAATATTAGGAACCGAAAAACCCAAGAAAAATATTTCGGACTGGAATAACCCCCCAAAAAAATATTTAAAAAAACCTCATGCCTTCCTTTGCTCAGAGATTTGTCTAATATACTGACAGGATTGCTACGAGTATTTCTGCCAATCATTTCTGCTAAATAATTTATTGAAATATTAATCTAAAAGATATTTAGGTAGCTCAAAATATTTTTATTTTTTGATTGAATGAAAAGAATTGAATTTATAAAAAAAATTTATTTTAAAACTGACAGAAATATTAACAACAAATTAATGCTATAATGGCAAGAAATACGTGTATAATATACCCGTTTGTCAGAATTTTTTTGGAAAGTATTTTAATATCAAAAACAAAATTATTTTTAAATAATTTAGAGCCTTCCTCTAATTTTAAATTCTTCAATTCTTTTATTAAATAATTTATTAGCAAACGAGTATAGCTCCAAATCCAACTGATTTTTTTGCTTAATTTGGGCAAGTTGATCAGCACTGACAAATATATCAGAGGATTTACTTAAATTCCAATTTGAAAGTGAGTCGGAAAATCTGACAAAATGAAAAAATATTTTTTAAAATAAAATTGAAGAAAAAAAACAAACTTGACATTAAAAATATTCTCAAAAAGTATTTGGCTTTCATTCATTCGTTCCTTTATTCCAAAAAATGCAAATTTATTTTGAAGATTTTTCTTAGCACTTTCTAACATTAATCGACCAAAATGTGATGTAGGGGTATCAGAAAATATTAAATTATCACAACCAATTAAAGTTAAATCTGCAAGCATTCGAGTTTGTCTGAAAAACGGAAAAATTTTTGAATTGTTTAAAAAAATTAAAACTAAACAAAAATTAAGTTAAAAATTAGTAGAAATAACCAGGGAGTATTGTAATACTCATCAGAAAAAATAAATTTATTTTTTAGGGTACAGCCCAAGTAGGCGCTCGACCATAATGGCGCAAAGCCATAACTTGCTTCAAAATTTCCGAATTTTACCAAATTTAGTATTAAACGATTTCTCTTATCGAGCTAAAGAGATTGGTACCAAAATGGTTAAGGGCCAGAAATTTTACAGCAAGTTATTGCTTTGCACAGTTATGGCCGCACGCCTACTTGGGCGTGTCCCTATTTCTTACAATTAGTAACAAAATCAAAAAAACCTCCTTAAAATTAGGAAAATGATAGAGCAATTTCCTTAAATTATTTTAAAAAAACCGAACCTATTAAATGCCAAATTGTGTGGACAATTCAAAAATTCATCCAATTCAACTTCTTTTACCAAATCAAATTGTAAACATTCTGACATATTATTACAAAAATGTTGAACTCTTTTCCATCTTGCCCCGCGTTTTACATGACTAAATTCTGAAATGAAGCGATCTATCGGTTCTCTAATAAATGTTGTCAAATAAAAACGATTTTTTGATTGACCTTAAAAAATGTCTAAAAAATAATAAAAATTAAAAAACAAAACCTTCTTTAATTTTAAAATAATAATCAACACAATTAGCAACTACCAATTTTGTAAAATCTGCATGTAATCCACAAGCCCAATCCACCCAACCAGTAGAATAACGAGAAAATAACCAAATTCTCTTCTTTCCAAACTTGTCAATAATTTCACAATCACAACGTTTCTGCCCTTCTTCACAAATACAAGGATTGCTAATATTTAATTTACTACGAACGAGAAATCGCTCAAAAGAGGTGCCAGCAGTTTTTTGAATGTGTAGAAAGATGAGAACATCTTCTCCAGAAAATTTAAAACTGAAAAAAGATTAATGAAAATAAGCAAGAATCTGGAGATTGAATTAATTATGAAGAAAAAAGGAAGAGATATTTGGTAATACTTCGGCGGACACCACCCTTTTCTGACTACAAGGTGTTAAAACAAACGGTCATAACTATGTTGATTCAAGTCAAATTTCGATAATTTTAGTGCCAATCGACTCATTGCCAGGTCGAAGAGCTGAGTCGATTGATATATATTTTCAGAAAGATAGAACAGAAAAATGGGGAGGGGGCGAATTCCAAACTATTACCGATATTTAATTTTAAAATTAAAAAATACAAAAAAAAACCTAAATTTAGCAAAATCCTGGTTAATTTGATCAAAAGAAACAATCAAAGAATTTTTTTGTAAATTATCTTCATTCACTTTATTTACTAAAGGTTGGCTTAAAGCATAAGAAAACCGCAAAGAAGGAGTTCCATTAAAAACAAAATTAAATTTTGTAGTTGTCCATGCAGAATAAATTAAATAAATTATAAAAAATATTAAAATTATTGTTGAAATTAGGCAAGAAAGTGTGCGGTTTAAATGCCGCATTTTTAGAATTTTTACATTTTGTTTAATAAATCTAAAAAAATAAAAATTAATTGAAAAAGAAATCAAAGAAATAAAGTTAAAATCGTAGGCCTAAACAAAAAAATAATTTTTTAAATTAATATTTTTTGTTTTTTTCTCTAATACTCTCATAATTTTCCATACTATTTTCTTTTTTATAAATTAAATGACATTTTTGGGTACAGCCCAAGTAGGCGCGGGCCAAGTAGGCGCGACCGAGTAGGCGCGACCGAGTAGGCGCAGGCCAAGTAGGCGCAAGGCCAAGTAGGCGCACGGCCCAAGTAGGCGCAAGGGTAAATTTCTTAATTTTTACCCAAAATTTTTTTTATTAATCTTCAACTAATTTTGTTAATTAGTTGGCTGAATAATCAAGCAACTTTATGTGGACACTGGACTTTTTCTAAAACTGCCCTTCTTAGGGAAAAAATTTATTAAGTGAAGCTCGTTGATGTTTTTATTTTTTGATAAAATTAAAAAAATCTTTTAATATTTTTCTCATAAAAGCTCCATACTTAGCTGCTGATAAGTTTTGGATTATTTGCTAAGTTTGTTAATTAGTGAGAGCCATGCTGCTTTGATAATTCCTGTGGCTTACCAATGTTATGAATACTCTAACTAGTTCAACTAGTTTAAGGGGGACTAACTAGTTAGCCTTTAGGAACTAACCAGTTTAAGGGAACATGAAGTATGTATATACAAAGGTACAATTAACAATCAAGATACGACTATCAAGGCGTTTCACAAAAAAGTCCAGCTACAGTTAGGAGTCTTTTGATGATTAAAAGCTTTTAATGGATTAAAAAATAAATATACACTTTTGAACTGCCTAGTTAATGCATACAGTACGAACGTATACTAACAGGGTATCGATATTTAAGGTGTCTTTCTTCTAAAATAGGTACCTTTCTTCTAATTTTTATCAAGAATCTTTCTTCTAACTCATTAACATAAAAATATTTATATTGACTTATTTTTTAATTTGAATATTTTAAGCTAAAAGATTTGCGCCTACTTGGGCCGTGCGCCTACTTGGCCTTGCGCCTACTTGGCCTGCGCCTACTCGGTCGCGCCTACTCGGTCGCGCCTACTTGGCCCGCGCCTACTCGGGCGTGTCCCGACATTTTATCCCTTTATTTCAAAATGTCAAAAAAGTTAAAGATTACGTAATCTAAACGTGTAATAAAGATTTTCTTGTCATGTTAATTCTTTTTTAGAATTTTGTTTTCAATTTTATTAATTTTTTCTACAATTATGGATTTTAATTTTAAAATATTTTTCAAATTTATTTTTGTTTTTATTGTTGTTATTGGGTTTGGAGAAGGTAAAAGAAATTTTTTTAAAAATTTAATTTTTATTTTTAAATTATTTTTAGCACGTCAAAAAATTTTGTTAACCAGTCTTCCTGTTTTAACATTATACAGAAATAGTTATACTGAGGGTAATAAACCTATTAAACAACTGGAATGTATTGGTGGGACTGCCTCTGGAATGTTAGGGGTTTTAATTTTTTAAAAATAATTTCTTTTGTTAATTTTTAAAATTTAATTTTACTTTTGAGTTATTTTTTATTTTATTGGCGGGGGAAGAAAAAGTTTTTAAATTTTATTTTTAAATGCGGGATTTCTTCCTTTCTTAAATTTTAAAATTAATTTTTAAAGGCACTCACCAAAAGTTGTTCAATGTTACAACAAAGGGTCAGACGGCAGAGATGTTCAATGGGAATGTAAGGCAGAATTGCCGGTAGAATATGAATTTGGAAGGATTGAAGTTAGTTGTGAGGGTTTTGATTATCCTGAAGACCCTTATGTTGTTGTTGGATCTTGCGGGGTTTGTAAATAATTTTTTTCTAAATTTTAAATATAAAAATTGTTTTTAAACAATTGAAATAATTTTTAAAAAAATGTTAATTTATTTATAATTTTTTTTGAATATTTTTATATTTTTTCAAGGACATTAATTATTTGTTTAAATTAATATAAAATTCCAATTTTTTTATTTTGAAAATGTTTCTAATTTTGGAATTTAACAAAAATAATTTTTTTGGGAGATTTAATTTAGAATAAATTTTTAAAAAATTCACAAATTAATTTTTTAAATTATTCTAATAATTTTCTAGTTACGTTACGAACTTGATTACAGCAAATATGGAGCTCAACAAGGAACTTATCTTTTACCTTCAAAATCTTCTTGGTATTTCATTTAAAAATTTCTTTAAAAAATTTATTTTTCAGGTTCAACTTCGAAAAAATTGTTTCATTTCTTGTCATTGCATTCATTGTTTATTTGGTTTATTTAATGTTTACTTCATCGGGTGGTTCTTCTACTTCGAGAGGGGGAGGTGGAAGTGGCGGTAGTTGGTGGGGGTTTGTTTTTAAATTTTTTTTGAAGATTAAAATAAAATTAGAATTTTGTTTAGCAACACTAAAAATTTTTTTTAAATTTTATTTATTAAAGGCCAGACGACAGAAGGCCACCTCCCCCTGGATGGAATCCCCCTCCTCCATCTTACGATGATGCCACGACAAATCAAAATTATTACTCCAATAAAGGACCAAGTACAAGCAGTGGAAGTAGCGGACCTGGATTCTTTTCTGGATTGGGGTTAGGCGCTCTTGGTGGTTATTTGTTTGGAAGTAGTGGAAATTATGGAGGTGGTTATGGATATGATGGTTATGGTAGTAGGTAAATTAATTAGAAACAAAATTTATTTAAATTTGATCGGGTTTTTGTAGAAATAAAATTTTAAGACTTTTGAAATATTTAAAAATAATTTTATATTTGGATGGGATTTTGGATTTGTTACCTAATTTAAAAAATATTTACAAAGAATAATTTTTTAGATAAATCTTACAATTAACTTTTATTTTTTAAGTTCAAAATAATTCTTTAATTTAAACCCCCTCCAATCCAAATTTTTATTTTCATTTATTTAAAATCAAAATTAAATTACCAATTAAATTTTGAAGATATCGTGGACGTCCAAGCTATTTTGGTTCATCATCAGGTTATAGTGGGGGTGGATATTCCTCATCCTCTTCATCTAGTGGAGGAACTACACACACTTCTTCTGGTTAAATTAAATAAAAATATTAAAGAATTTTTAAATTAATTTTTAGGATTTGGTGGAACTTCAAGAAGATGAAAATGCCAATTTTTGATATTTTAATGATTTTTTAAAATTTTATTTAAAGATTTTCTTTTGTTTATACAATTTTAAATTTTTGAGAAAAATCTTATTTACATAAATTAGTATTTTCCTCTTCGGAGCTGTTAGAGTTATCAATTAATTATCTTTAGCATCCTTTAGAATATACTCTTCAATGGATTTTGTTTGGTTTTTTGTTTGGTCTGGCTCCCATTTTTAATTTTTGAATCCACATTCCCGGTTTTAAATAATTATTGTAAAACATTCTGAGCTAGTTAATGATAGAAAAATGAAGAGGAATGGTCAAATAAGCCCATTGAATATAAGCAGTGGAAAAAGCAGTTGTTAGGGGTTAGATGAAAGAAGCTGAAAAATTAATGAACCATTTTTACCTTGATTTATGCGAAAAAATTGTTGAAATAAAAAACAAATTTTAACTAAAATATACATAGGGTATTTGAAATTTAAAAGAACATGTTTCTAAATACTATAAAAATTGGTACAGGGTAGAAAAAGGAAAAATAATTGTTTGTGAAAAATAAAAAAGCAACAAGTTTTTGAAGTTTTTTTTGAAGATTATGTGTTCTAAAAAATAATTTTTAAAAATATAAAAGGAATATTTGTGTTGATAATCAATTATATCATGTTTTGATGTCGATATTTCGATAGAATCTCAAGTCCTATCTCTTTTACATAACAGAAAAATGCTTAAGATTTGTTGCTTTTCTTTGATAAAAAAAACAAATTTTGACAGAATTTAAATATAAAGAATGTGCACAACAAAAAAATTTTACAAAACTCAAAACTAATTTTCTGTTCCAAAATTTCCACTAAATTAAAATAAATTTGACGCTCTAAAAAGTAATTTTTTAAATAACAAGTTTTGAGAATTGTAAACAAAAAAATTGTGTACATCCTTAACTAAAGAAAGGAATTGTTTGAAAAAGTTTGTTTTGTTTGAGCACAAAATTATCAAATTAATAAAATACTTAGTTATGATGAATTGAGCTCAAATCCGTTATTTTTCGAATACCTTACGTTTACGCAGACTTATTATTAGTGTTCGGCACGGTTCGGTACTCCCGCGGTACTCCCGAAAGTACCGAATCGGTACTTTTCGGTACTCCCGGAACCGGAACCGTCCCGATGAGATTTTGGAAAATTTCGGTACCACTCGGTACCGGTACTTTTCGGTACTCCCGGTACCAAGAAAAGAATGTGCGTGTTGACGATTAAGCAATTGCTGACAAATGTTTACCCTTTGTTGAAGGTGAATTTGGCTTAGTTCATGAGGGATCCAACGACCTGCCCTAGCCTTGAATCCTTGCTTTTTTAAATGGCGGCGTATTGTTTCTCGTGGAGTGCCAATATCGTTCGTTCTTTTGCGCGTACTAAGATCAGGTTGGTTTTCCACGGATTGCAGAATAGCACCAATGTTTGTGGTTTGGGGTCTTCCAGGTGATTTTTTGTCTTCGAGGTCTGTAACGCCATTACGAAATTTTTTATACCAACGTTTGATAGTTGAAAATGAAGCCCATTTTGTTCCCTTTAAGTCGGCAATCTCACTAGCCGCCTGCTTAGTAGTTAATCCGCGTTCAAAGCAATAAAGAATTATGGTTCGGATTTCGGATTTTGTACTCATATTTCTAAAAAATTAATACAAATTCTAATTTATTTATCAAAACTGAAATCTATATGTCAACTAATAGAGTAATTAGTGTGGAATCGATTGGTATAAAGGACGTAGAGATTGCAAAGGAATAATCATGCTTTTATAGGCTAAAATTAAGGATCATATCAAAGGGCTCATTCTTTTTGGGTCAACCCATTAAAATCCCACTGTATCGTTCATAATCCCACGATATCCTTCAAATCCCTTAACTAGATCAATGTTACAAAGCATACTCATTTCATAAACTTAGATTCGAAAATTTTATATTGATTTAATTTAGTGAGATAAGGTTTAAACAGTGATATTTGAGATATTATTTCATTTTTTTGTCAGTACCGAAATACCGCGGTACTCCCGAAAATTTTTCTTCGGTACTTTTCGGTATCGGGACTTTTCGGTACTCCCGGTACCGGAACCGTCCCGAACAAATTTTGGAATTTTCGGTACTCGTTCGGTACCGGTACTTTTCGGTACTCCCGGTACCGGTACCGAAAAAATCCATTTGCCGAACACTACTATTTAGGTACCTAGTTTTAAGTTTTTACAACCTAAAAATCCGGGCCCTAGTTATGACAGTAAAAGAAATTTTTTTACGTTATAGAGTGCCTGGAATTTCTAATTATTTTCTACAATTATTCCCAGAATTATCAAATGTCATATTCAAAAAGTATATATGTAACTCTTCACAACTTGCCTATAAAATAATTTTTGTGCTCAGACAAAATTTACATAAAATAGTTCCTTTAAAATATTTTAGTTTTTCAGTCAACTTTTGTAGGGGGAGAAGGCCAACGTACAGCGAGGCCAACGTCCCGTCGAGCTATAACTTTGTTCAAAATTATCGAATCCGGTAAGCCCTGGTATGATTCGATGACCTCGATGAGTTAATCAGACACACAGATTAACCACAAATAAAAAATCACAATTCAAAATTAGCGTCCAAACCCACTACATAGTAATTTAGGACGGAGCTATAGCTCGACGTTACGTTGAAGTGTATTTACTCCAATTTCTTTCATTTGTTTTAATTTTAAGCATTACTGTTGGGTATTGGCTTAGTATAAAAGCCTTCCTATTATTCAGTCGCGTTTCTGAGTCTCATTGTCGCAGTGTTATTCTTATTCTATTCTGTCTCCACCTATTCGGCGCTTAGCCATATTCCTTATTGTTCGCCCTTATTGTATTTAGTTTTGTAGATAAAGCACAGTTGTTAGATACTGTCTTATCTTGTTATTCTTTGTTAGTACGTAGACACATAGAAGTCACGTACATAACAGTGGCGCGGTCACAGTTATTCAATTCGAACCTATTCTTAAGTATTGTACCATGATGAAAAAATTATTCAATTATATTCGTGACGGGTGTATCACAACAAAAGTAAAAAAAGATTCGGGAAGCAAAAAGTATTCGGCAGAAATATTGTCAGTCTCTACAGAGCAAAAATTCGAATGGATTAAAAAAGAGGTTTTGTTAAACGGGCAAAAGGTTGAATTCATTCTCGATTCGGGCGCGCAAATTAGTTGCATTAATGAGGAGACTTGGAAAAAAGTCGGCAGCCCATTCTTGACGAAGGTAAACTTCAATGGTAAAAGCTACACAGGTGATGAATTCAGAATTCTTGGAAGGTTCTTTTGCTCTATTATCCTAAACGGACTTGAGGAGATATTATTAGTATATGTAACGAAAGAAAAAATGAATTTATTCGGATTACCTTGGATAATCACATTCGAGCAAAAATTCGGTTATCCAATAGTGACAACGCTATCCGACAAGGATTCAAATGATTCAATAAATTCCATTGCAAAAGAGATAATTCCGACTATTAGTGAAAATAAAGAAATGTATATAATTCAAAAGGATATTCAAGAAGAGATTCAGGCAGAATTAAAAACAAAATTCAGTCAAGTATTCGAAGAGGGTCTGGGGCATTGTAGCAAAACAAAAGCCCATCTTCACTTAAAACCAGGAGCTAAACCAGTTTTTGTTAGAGCAAGACCAGTGCCAATTGGAGTTAAGGATTCAGTCGAAGAAGAAATTAATCGACTATTAAAAATGGGTGCTATTAGACCTATTGAATTCGCTGATTGGGCAGCACCTATTCTTGCAGTAAAAAAGGCAAATGGCAAAATTCGAGTTTGTATTGATTATTCGACGGGATTAAATGAAGCCCTAGAGCTTAATAAATATCCATTGCCAACTCCACAAGAAATCTGGTCTGAAATGCACGGAAATAAAATATTCTCCCAATTAGACTTGCGTGACGCATATTTACAAGTCGAATTAGATTCAGATTCAAAGAAATTAGCAAATATTAATACACATAAAGGATTATTCGAAGTACAACGATTACCATTCGGAGTTAAGTCAGCACCCGCAATATTCCAAAAATTAATGGATGAATTAATCAGTGGATTAAAAGGAGTATTCGCTTATCTAGACGATTTGATTATTGCTTCGGAAAATGAAACCGAACATAAAAAGATTCTAATTCAATTATTCGAAAGAATCCAGAAATATGGATTAAAAATTCAATTGGAAAAATGTAATTTCTTTAAGCCTGAATTGAAATTCCTAGGTCATATAGTCTCTGCAGAAGGCATTAAGCCAGACCCAAAGAAAAAGGGTATTATTCAGAAATTACCAAGACCTCAAAATATTAAAGAATTAAAGTCAGTTATGGGCACAATAAATTACTATTCAAAATTCGTAGATCAGATGCATCAATTCAGAGGCCCATTAGACAAATTACTTAGGAAGAATTCAATTTGGAAATGGGAAGAAGAACAAGAGAAAGCATTCGAACAAATTAAGTCGATTCTGAGTTCAGATCTATTATTAACGCATTTTGATCCGCAATTCGAAATTATTGTTACAGCGGATGCGTCCAATTATGGAGTCGGAGCAGTAATCTCCCACAAATATTCGGACGGAAGCGAAAAGGCAATCGAATATGCCAGTAAATCATTAAGTGATTCGGAAAAAAATTATGGGCAAATTGAAAAGGAAGCCTTAGCATTAGTATTTGCCGTTCAGAAATTCCATAAAATGTTATTCGGTCGGAAATTCAAATTAAGAACCGACCATAAACCATTATTAGCAATATTCGGAAATAAAAAAGGAATTAAAATTCAAACGGCTTCAAGGTTACAAAGATGGGCATTAATCATGACAAATTATGATTTTCAGATAGAATTCGTTTCTACAGAAAAAATGGGGATGGCAGATAGCCTATCAAGATTAATTAGCAAAAATTCAGAGAACGAAGATAAGATTATTGCTTTAGTCTCAGATTCGAACACATTCGACAGTGGTCCACCCGAGGAATTAAATGAAGTCGAGAATTCAGTTAATTACGTATTAAATATTCTATTCGAAGAGTTACCAATCGATAGTAACCAAGTAAAAATCGAGACTGACAACGATATTAAATTAAAAACAGTCATAGATTATATTCGAAATAATAGTTGGCCAAAGAAAATTGAAGATACGGAATTAAAATTTTGGTCTACAAGAAGACAAAATCTTCAAATAATTAATGGTTGTATTCTATTCGCAGACAAAGTCGTTATTCCTGCTAAACTTCAAAAAAGATTCTTGAGTCATTACATTCAACTCATTCAGGAGTTGTTAGGATGAAAAATTTAGCGAGAGAATATATTTATTGGCCTGGTATTAGTAACGATATTGAGGAGATCGCTACAAATTGTGATTCATGCCAAAAGGCATCAAAAAGGTCAATTAAAACAGATTTAAGTCCATGGCCAGCACCAAATAAAGCGTGGGAAAGAATTCATATTGATTTTGCTGGTCCATGCAAGGATGGAAAATTATATATGATTATAGTCGATGCGTATTCTAAATGGCCTGAGATATTCGGAAATACGACTACGTCAGCAAAAGATTCAATAAAAAACCTGGAATGGTTATTCTCGCATTATGGAATTCCTAAAGTAATTGTATCCGATAACGGAAGTCCATTCCAGTCATTCGAATTCAAAAATTATTGCATTAGTAAGGGAATTCATCAAATATTCAGCCCACCATATCATCCTCAGTCTAATGGTCAAGCTGAAAGATTCGTAGATTATTTCAAGAGGATGATGAACAAAAATTGGGGAAAGAGTAATTGGCTACAAGAAGTATTATTAAATTATAGAGCCACCCCACATTATTCATTAGGCGGAAAATCGCCGGCAGAAGTATTCTTAAATAGGAAATTACGAATTCAATTAGCATTAGTCAAGCCGGAAAACCCAGTAAATTCAATTAATATTCAACGAGAAGAGATTCGAAATAAAATGAAAAAATGGTTTGATAGGCATCACGGAACCAAATTAAACAGATTCGAAGTGGGAGATAATATTCTATTCGGAAATTACGACAAAAATAAACAAATTCAATGGCTACCTGGAAAGATAATTAGCAAAAATGGAGTAGTATTCAAGATTCAATCGGATAAATTAAGAGCTATTATTCACCGACATGCGAACCAATTAAGAAAAATAAAAAATTTTGAAAACCAACATGTTGTAAACTTTTGGTGGAGAACTCCACAACATATTCGGAATAAAAATATTCAAAATATTCCAAGTCCAAATAAAAAGAGTACAATTCAAGATAAACCTGATAATGAAATTCGATGTGAAAGACCCAAAAGAACAATTCGACCACCTAAAAGATTAGTAGTAGAGAATACTACTCAAAAAAGGTATAGAGAGGAACCAATTCAAATTTTTTCGAAGACGAGATGATCGATGTTTGAAGTTGAGATAATATGGATTTTTTGTTTAGTTGTGTGATAATATTTTGTTGTTGTAATTTTTTGTATTGCCCCCTTTGTAATTATTGTATTTTGCCCCTTTGTTTGTATTTTTTTGTTGTTTGGAGACATTATTCGGAGGTATTATTTTATTCAAGAGAAAATTATTCTTATTAAAGGAGGGAGGTGTTGGGTATTGGCTTAGTATAAAAGCCTTCCTATTATTCAGTCGCGTTTCTGAGTCTCATTGTCGCAGTGTTATTCTTATTCTATTCTGTCTCCACCTATTCGGCGCTTAGCCATATTCCTTATTGTTCGCCCTTATTGTATTTAGTCTTGTAGATAAAGCACAGTTGTTAGATACTGTCTTATCTTGTTATTCTTTGTTAGTACGTAGACACATAGAAGTCACGTACATAACAATTACAATAATCAGTATTACACACATCACATTTTAAATAATTCCTTTGCTTACTGCAATAGCCTTTATCATTCGTACAGCCACGATTTAATGATTGATCTGAAAATATAAAAAAGGATAGAAATATTATGTAAAAATACAATTATCAAATTCTCAATTAATTAAACTCCAAAATTAATGGGGTTGAAGGCAAAATTGTTGTTTTCCGTAATTTTATTTAATTTAGGAAAAATGTAAAAATATTTACTTAAAATTAGAGTTGCACGAGATCGATATCTCGACCGAGACCGAGACGAGAATCTCGGCCATTTTCCAATCTCGGTCTCGGTTTTGCCGAGACGAGACCACCTAACCGAGACGAGATTCTCGGCACTTAATCTCGCCGAGATCCGAGATCAGTATACACCCCTAAAGATTGACCTTCTTGAGATTTATTTTTATTTTGCAAAATATTTAAAATTTCGCTATTGGTATATTGTTGTGCTCACTTTAATTTAGTTGTCTAGTGAGCGGGGCAGGACAAATAGGCGATGCCGAATACACATCAACCTTCGCGGAAAAAAGTTTTTGCCGCTGCGGAGGAAGCGGGCATGTCGAGAGGAACGACGGCCGCCGCTTTGCTACGGTCGCCGCTACGCTTCGCTGCGGTCGCCGCGACCGCAGCGAAGCACGGCCATCGTGTAGCGAAGACTTGCGGAACCCAACCCCAACCTTGAACACAAAGAAAAATCAAAAATTTGGGGCTTCACTCCCCAATTGGCCGGCCAAATTCAATTTGGACAAGAATGTAATTTGGATGGTGACATATATAAACCGTATTTCTTCTAATAGTGCGACTGTCTCTATCAGACCGACCCCTTCTAATAAACCGACCCCGTAGAGGAAGGTTGAAAAATAAACCGACTGCCTCTATCAGACCGACCCCTTCTAATAAACCGACCCCGTCCCATGAGCGTTTATGCGTCCCATGAGCTTTTATGCGTCCCATCAGAGAATATGCGTCCCAAAAATAGTATAGGCGTCCCATCAGAGTATATGCGTCCCAAAATTAGTACAAGCGTCCCATCAAAGAAAAAGCGTCCCATAAATAGTATAGGCGTCCCAAAGATCCAGTCATATGTTCTTCATAACATATCTTCTCGATTACATTTAGCATGAAATATCTTTGACTCGTCTATTTCTAGAGAAAAGTAAATACAATTTTGCACAGCTTATCGTAAGATTATCTATAATGCTGCTGGACCTCCCATTATATCGTAAATTTTATTCAAAACCTGACATGTCGTCCCCGTCAAACTCCGATCCCCGACACTTCTGACACCGAAGGCTCGGGGGGCTACCCTACATATTAATAAACAAAATTTAATCTTCTGCTTGTTGATCCTTGAGCAAGGAAGCATAATAATGTGTTTAATTGTCATTTTTAATAAATGTAAAAAAGTAGTTTTGGGACGCACATACTCTGATGGGACGCCTATACTATTTTTGGGACGCTTTTACTTTGATAGGACGCTTGTACTATTTTTGGGACGCATATACTCTGAAGGGACGCTTATAGTATTTTTGTGACTCATAAAAGCTGATGGGACGCATAAACTCTCATGGGACGCATGTCCTAAACTAGAGCCCAGATTAGACTCGATTATACTATAAAGTACTGATCCTATTAATAATCAAATAAATTTATTTACCTTTGTTACTGACAAAATAACAGTAACTGTTTGTGCTGCATTTTCCTTTATTAGAATTTAAATCAAAAATATAATAAAATATGTATATTTACTCGATTAATTAGACAATAAATATTCCCATCCCCTTATGACGGAATACACGCCAGGAAATGATCCGTCCCGATTCCCGAAAATCGGAAATTAAAATTTAATCGGGAATTCCCGTTCCCAGTTGTGACTTGGACTTCCAAAATTCTCAAAATTTCGCCTGCGGCGCATTAAGTTATGTTCCCGACGTTTTTTTGATCGGGATCCCTATTTCCCGAAATCAAAAAGTTTGCTTTTTGTCGGCTCGTTCCCTGATACAAATTATTAGTAAATGTTGGTGTTTGTTGGTTAATCAACATTTAATTTTGTTTCTCTATTTGATAAATTCTTGCAAAAAGTAGCAACTCGGACATAAAATCCGTCTCTACCATTAAACACACTATATAGACAGATTAATAACCATAATTAATCGAGTATAGTAGTATGATTAAATTAGAATTATTTTATTATGATTAATTATCCAAACCAGTATTTGTTAGGTCTCCAGTGTAACAATTGAGTGCCTCTTAAAAGTATTTTTAATTACAAAAATGATTTAGATTAATTAGATTATAATCCTTTACCCGATTTAACAACAAGCATTGAAAAAATAAAAATCATAGCAAAAGCAAATTGTAATTTATAGACGAACATTTTTTATTAATATAAATAAATTTATCCTTAAAATTTTATTTATAGGTAAAGCAAAAATTAATATAAGGATTTATTAATATAAGGAATAAAATTAAAATTTTTAAAGAAATATTTTAAAAGGAGGAGGAAATCTTTAAATAAATGAGAGGAAGAATGATTGCTCTTCCAGTAGAGATCGAGATTTTTGAAAAGCCTGAACCTGTTCCTGGACTCTGGAGTTTGATTTCTTGAGCTTGACTGGATCCTGCGCCTGTAATCCAGGAAAAACCGAGGAAGGTCAAAAAATGCCTGGACCTCGATTTTGGGTACAGGAAAACCCAGGCCGATCTCTATCTTCTAATCATAATTTTAGAAATATAATTTAAAATAAAATAAGAATTACTATAAAATTAATTAATGTGGAAGTTTATAACGAGTAATATTTAATTTATTCTTTAATTATTTAAGTGGTGGGGTGTTTTATTTGGTTAACTTGTTATGAAGATAAATAACGTAAGCCACTATACGCGTGGCAAAGACTATCCAAGACTACTGCGTGGATAAAGTAAGCCAATATTCTCTCCGTTATTAAAACGTTGAGTCTTGTCTCAAGATTAAAACTTATTTGAGCTAATCTTTTAAACTAACTATATTTATTTTTAAATATTATGATCTGATAAGTGAAGTAAATAACCAATATATATACTAGACTGGGTATTTAAAGTTAATATTAAAAAAAGTACATTTATTTTTAAGAGAAGACTCAAATATTTTAGATAAATGCTTAAAAATTTAAAATTTAGATTTTTCTAATATCTGGCCAAAAATCAAATTGAAATAGCAATTTCTAAATTTAGTTTACTATCCACCTGAATAAACAATTTTTAAATAAAATTATTTTTATTTTATAAATATTGATAAAAAATCAAAAAAATTTTTTTAAAGCAAACCATGAAAATATTTTTGGCTTATTAAATATTTTATTTGTATTAAAAACGAAAGGCAAAATTATCAAAATTTTTCCACTACGATAAGGAAACTCTAAATAACGGTTAATCAAAGCTATGGATGCAAATCAAAGCCTGAGACCCTTTTTGATTTTTTTGAAAAAGGAAAAAATCTGGAAAATGAATCTTTCCAAATTTTTAAAATCTTCGCCTGCGGTGCAAGAAATAGAAGAAATCTGGCTCTTTGGCCTTTTGAAATTCTCAAAATGTTTGTCTGCGGCGCTAGAAAAGGAAGAAAAACTGGCATAGGCCTTTCAAAAACCTCCAAATTCATAAATCTTCATTACTTATATAGTGTTGCAGATCCAAACTCCTGAAAAATCTCTAGTTTAATTTCTTCCAAGCATATTAACTATTTATTTCTGATCCCAATTTGCTAGGAAATCTCTTTGCCCCTTTCCGAAAAATCAGGAAATTTAGCTTCTTGACTTGCTAAATAGTCCAAGCTATTTTGGATCATCATCAGGTTATAGTGGGGGTGGATGTTCTTCATCCTCCTACTAACTTATCTTTGGGAAAGCAATAAGGAAGTAAGCTGGTGCTTTCACTTGATTACCTGAAGAAAATTATAATAGAGAGTAGAGATCGGACCGATACGATTTTTTACGATATTTTTAGATATTTATCGAAAAAGTAGAGAGATAAAAGGAGAAGACTGCAGCAAAAATTCATTTTTGCAGAAAGTCATTTGCGAACATGTAAAGGACAAGCTGGCCATTTACCAAAATCAACGATACTTGCAACGGCAATTATCATTGATAAGTTTGAGAAGTATTTGTTATTCCAAAATTTAAAAAAAAATTAATAATTGTTATTAATTTTTTTAAATTTAATAACATCAAAGCTTACAATTGGTCTAATCAAAGCTTACATTTGTTTAAAAAATAAATTTCTAATATATCTATTAAAATTAATATTCAAAACTTTTAATTTTAATTCTAAAAATTTTTAAAAACGATAAAAAAACAAAATTTGGGCACTTTACATTTTAGAAAAAATTTAATTTGGCTTTTTAAATTATTATACAAGCTTTGCTTCGCTCATCAATTTTACCCGCCAATAAATTATTCTTTTCAGCAAGTTGTAATAAATGCTCATTTAACTAAAAATATTATTTTAAATAATTTTTTTTTAATTTTATTTTTTACCTTAGCCCTTTCTTTATCTCTATCAAGTGCTTGACATTGATAAAGAGTAATTCGATAAGTCCCTAAAAAATAAAAAATTTATTTTCAAAATTTGAATTTTCTTTGGTAATAAATCATAGAGAACCCCAACATAATTTTTACCCACCCCACACAAAAACATTTAAGGCCTCTTCTATATTCTCTTCTAATCTATAGTAAATCTAACCGATAACAGGATTTCTAGCTCCTTTACTTTTAGCAACACTTCTAAGCATTTCTTCTGTTATTCCATAACTTTGTAATTGGGACCAAACAAGTCTTTCCAATTTACAATGGGCCAATGAATGCTCATTTGGATTTAAAGACAAATTTACATAAGAATCGGGAAATTTACATTCACTTAGCCAATATGTTCTCTAAATTAATTTTGAAAATTAATTTTTAATATTAATAAAAAGAATTTTTTAATTTTTCCAAACAGAGAATAAACTATAGTCTTAATATATACCGTATATCCTTTAATAACTACCCTGGGTAATTATTGTTTCGACCTTCCGCTGAAGAGAGTAATTAATAGAATGAGAGAAATTATAGGAGATTTAAAATTTGAACGTGTTTTAGGGCATTTGATGGGGGGGGGGGTAATTATTGTTTCAATCTATTGCTGTATGGGGTAATTAAAGGAAGTGGGCTAATTATTTGAGGGAGGGCAATTAATACATGTATACGGTATATTATGTTTTTAATTTGAAAAAAAAGTTTTTTAGTAACTGCCACACTAAATATTAGATGGAATGGATACGTCTGTTTTACTCTCTCAACTTTCGGTCACTTCCAAAAATATTTTTTAAATACCTTAAGTTCCAAAATATTAGCCCTTCTTTTAGCGTCCAATTCAAGCATTCTAGTAATTGAATGTTGTGCAAATGTTGAAACTTTTTTTGAAATAATTTTTTTGAATATTCTCTTTAATTTAATTACCATAATCAGGCATATAATAAACCCCTTCCAAAATATTTCTTTTTAAATCAAAAACAGTTTCTCCACGAAAAGGAGTAACACCAACAAGCATAAAATAAAGAAGTATTCCCTTAATATTTTAATTTTATTAAAAAAATATTTTTTTTTAAATTTCCTACCATCGCCCAAATATCAACCATCGGGCCAATATATTTCTTTAAAAATAAATTAAAATTATTTTAAAAAATATTTTTAAAATAAATTTACTTGATCTCGAAATAATTCAGGTGCAGCATATGGGGGAGAACCACAAAAAGTATTTAAAAAGGAATCGTCTTCGAATTTACAACTAAAGCCAAAATCTCCAAGTTTTATCCAGCCTTTTTTTAATTTTTAAATTTAATTAATTATTAATATTTACCAGGATGTGAAAGAAAAACATTTTCTGCTTTAATATCTCTATGACAAATATTTTTTGAATGAAGGTGGGCAACTGCTGAGACTATTTGGGCTGTTAATTTTTAATTTTTATTTAATTTTATTTTCCTTTAAAAAAACCAAAAATAGGTTTAGCAACTTCTTCAGTCAATTTTCCATTATCATGTACATAAGTATATAATTCCCCACCCCCCGCATATTCCATAACTAAATGGACTTTAGATAATGTAGCCACAACTTCAAATAATCTAATAATATTTGGATGGTGTAGTAACTCCATATTATCAATTTCTCTGTTTAAAACTCGTTGAGCTTTTTGGTGACAAATTTTGGTGACAAATATTTAATTTTCCGATTTTGTATATCTTTCCCAAAAAGATTCGTTAAGAAAATAAATTTTTAAGAAGAGTTACATAGCTTTTGGATGTTGCTATATTTTTCAGAAGGTTTTCATTTTAGCCACTCTAGGAAAAAAACTGGCTAATATGTAGTAGGTATATTGCTAACCACATTCACAAAGAAAGAATTGACGTTAAATAATAGTAAATGTATGTCAGTGAAGAAATTTTTGTTGTATCTATATTTAAATAAAAATATTTTTTCTTTAAATTATTTACTTTTTTGACTCTAATCAAAAAATTTTTGTTAATTCTACCTTAAAACTTTCTAAAATGGTCTTTAGACTTGTTAAAAATGGCAAAAGTAAGTAAAAAATAAATAAATTTTTCAGAAATAATTTCTAAAATTTATTTTAATCTTCCATTTAATTAATTTTCACAAAATGGAAATAAATTTGTTAGATTAACTAATATGTACATAGAAAATTAAACTTTTGCATAAATGTCCATTAGATATCATACCTAAAATAAATTTTACTTACCAGTCGACAAAATACCAGAAAATTTGAAAAATATTATAAAGTGCTAAAAATATGGCAAAATATGGCAAATATATAAAATAGGGCGAAAAGAGCAAAAATAGGGAAAATTTTCTATAAATAGGGTAAAAAGGCCTGTACCAGTTAAGTGTCATTTTTCAGATATTATTTTCTCATCACAAATTCATTACGTTCAATTCTTGCAAATTTTCTCGGTCCACGTTTGCGAATTAATAGCCAAAAAATTCATATCGTTAGTACAAATATACAAAATAATAACGTAAAATTGATGTCCCATACCAAAATTTATATTAAACTCGAATTTAGAATAAACTACAGGGTGTTTCAACTAAGAAGCACTATTTGAAAAATTAATAACTTTTTATTATTTTGACAGATTTTAATAATTTTTGGTATTTTATATCTATAATCTATAAAGTTTTTTTTGATATAAAAATTATATCGAAATTCGAACCCTAACCCGAGATAATTTTGTACTCTACCGTTCTGTTTTTCCCTTTTTCCGCACATGCATTCTTACTCCCCTTTGTTTTTTACAAGGGGCGATAGCATTAGAGTAAACACTAGGCGATAGACACTACATTTTCAATAAAGTATCCACTCTTCTCCATACGCAGGAAAATAAATGAAGTAAGATAGCACACAATGAAAAGAGGGAAAAAAGAGAACGGTTGAGTACGGATTTGAAATGAAGGGTTAGGGTTCGAATTTCGACATAATTTTTATATCAAAAAAAACCTTATAAATTATAGATATAAAATACCAAAAATTATAAAAATCTGTCCACGCACTAAAAAGTTATTAATTTTTCAAATAGTGCTTCTTAGTTGAAACACCCTGTATTTTAAATAAACTTAGAAGCAAAATAAATATTTTTGTTCTAATTTTTAAAAATGAAAATTAATCAACAAAAAAATATTTCATCAAAATTCAACAAAAAACAAAACAAACCAATTCCTCTTGAATTGCTTGTAGACATTTTTAAATTATCATCAGCCCCACGTGATATTAACAATTTATTTGAAAGGGAACGTCTCGAAATGTAAAAATATTTTTTATTAAATTAAAATCATCCAATAGAATGGCCGGCCATTCTATTTTTTAATCATCCTCCAGAGGCCCATTCAATTAGAGGGGACCATTCAAATGGTCAATACTGAACGACCAAAACACGGTCCAGAAAAATAATTCTTATTTGAAAATCAGCATTTTTAAACACATTAATAAGAATATTTTTAAAATAAATGGAGATTTTATCTCTGTACCGTGTTTCGGTCGATCCTTGATTTGGTAAGACCGTGTTTTATCCGTTCCGTGTTTTAGTCTCACACATATTGATACATTAACATAGTAAATTAACTAAAATAAATATAAACATGCTGAGATGTTTTTTTAAAGAGCATTGGGGCTAAACAAAAAAATTACTGATAAGATGGTGACTTACGAATTATTTATATTATATTGGAGAAACCATATTAAAGCAATGTTAACAACTTCTAGAATAATTTATGTGTTGTGCGAAAAAAAATTTGGTGAAAGAGAGGTTGGTACTAAATATTATATGTAAGTAAAATATATAGGTAATTAAAGGGTACTAATTTAGTTCCCCCCCCCCCCCCCCCCCCCCAGCCAGTTTTTTCGAAAATTATGTAAAAATGGTCAGTCTGAACAGCAATTGTAGAACCCATCGAGCTGTGTCGAATGACACCAAAATCAACAAAATCAGACTCGATTTGACCGAAATACAGACCCCTGAAAATTGAACAACCATGGGGGTGATTTTTCGAAATAAAAAAAGTTTACCCAAATGATAGCTCATTCGAAAGAGCTTGTCGAGCTGAGTCTAATGACAGCAAAATCAACGAAATCGGACAAGATTTGACGAAGTTATGACATTATTTAGACCTACCGGAGTCGACGATTTATGTCATATCTTTGTCAAATCCAGTCGGATTTCGTTGATTTTGGTCTCATTCGACTCAGCTTGACGAGCTCTTTCGAATGAGCTATCATTTGTACGGATTTTCATCTTTATGATTTTGTGCCCCTGTGGTTTAGGGGTCTGTATTTCGGTCAAATCGAGTCGGATTTTGTTGATTTTGGTGTCATTCGACACAGCTCGATGGGTTCTACAATTGCTGTTCAGACTGACCATTTTTACATAATTTTCGAAAAAATTGACTGGGGGGGGGGAAACTAAATAAGTACCAATTAAAGTAATTCTAAGTTTTTAAAAAATTAGGAAGAGGATGATAAAAGATAAATATTTGTGACAAAACATGAATTTCCAAAAATTTACTGACGAGTAAATTTGTCCGATAGTCGGAAATCCTCGGATATCTGGATCCGAAAACATTACTGACGAGAGAGAAATGAAAGCTAATAATTAATTAAAAATCTACTAAATACGATTGGGGTTACTAAAAAAACTACTAGTGTTTTCTTTACATAAATCTATTGTTTAGAGGAAATAAACAATTTTTTCAGACTAAATTATTTGTTGGAATTGAAGCGAAACAAATTCATAGTAGATCAGAATTAGTTCAATGTTTTTTGCGCATAAACGAACGTGCAGAAGAAACGGTGAATTTAATAAAAGTATACAAATAATATAAATATGGGGAAAATTTAGAGGAATATACTAGTGATAAAAATCCCATACTTATTTTATAATTTTCAAATTTCATTAGAAACTGAAAAAATTACCTACTATATTAGTATGTACCAGTGCTGGGTATGGCTCCGGGAACTAGCTCCGGAGCCCGTTCCGGAGCCAAGATTTTGGAAACCCCGGAGCCGGAGCCAAGAATTTGAAGTGCCCGGAGCATACACCCCTAAAGATGTGTTAGAGAAAAAGAAGTAAGCAAAGATGGTAGGCGTGAAAAAAAAGGAAGAGAAAATTGAGACGGGTAAAAAAGATTTTCTTTCCTTTCATTTGCAAAGTTGGTGTGGTTGAATGGATAGTGAGTTAGGTTCCGAGTTTTATCCAATTGTAGATTCGAAATATATTACTACAAATAATTAAATAATTGTTTTAATTTGGAAAATAAATTTTCTTTTTCAAAATTTTCGCATTTTTTTATTAAATAAAGCTGGATAAACTTTTTAAATTGATTAATTTTAGTCTCTTTTTTTCAAAATTTTTCAAAATTTTCGCCTACGGCGCAAAAAAGGAAGATTTTTGGCTTAAGGGTTGTCCAAAATTTTGAAAATTTTCGCCTGCGGCGCAAAAAAGGAAGATTTTTGGATCCAAATCTCCTTAACTCCCCCCTCCCCCCCCCGAATCGCCCTTAATCCACCTAAATCACAAGATAATCCACACAAATCTCGCTTAATCCTTTGACACCCCCTCTTAATCCTCTGATATCACCAGTGGTTGGAATTTTGAAAATTGCTCGTACTCGTATTTTCGTACATGCCTTATTTTTTCCTCGTACTCGTACTCGTACTTGCCTAATTTTTTTTCTCGTACTCGTACAAGCCCCATTTTTGGCCTCGTACCTCGTACCTCGTACTCGTACCTCGTACTTTCTCGTACTTGAGAAAAAAGCAAAAAATCGAAGATTTTTGCAAATTTTTAGGGTCAACTGGATATAGTTCTTAATTTTTAAGGCCGTATACGATAATTTTTGATTCTTGTAAGAAGCCATAAATCCTCCTATTTCATCCATTTTCTGCGCCGCAGGCGAAAATTTTGAGCATTTTTATGTCCATGGACAATATTTCTTCCAAGGATTGGTCAGTTAACCCGAAACCCGTATTTATCACAACCCGAAACCAGACTTGTGTATTTTTCAAAACCCTACACGCTCTATTTTCCATCAAATCCCTTTCTGCGCCGCAGGCGAAATTTTGAGAATTTTGGAGGTCCTTAAGTCAGATTTCTTCCTTTTTTTACCGCCGGAGGCGAAAATTTTGAAAAATTTGGAAGGCCAATAGCCAAATTTCTTCCTTTTTTTTCCGCCGGAGGCGAAAATTTTGAAAAATTCATGATTAAATTAAAATTTTTAATGTTTTTCAAGTCTTAAATATTTATAAAAAAATAAATTTTAAATTTTAAAAGCAAAATAAAAGTTTAAAAACATTTATTTTTGAAAAGAAAAATCTTCCAAGCCTCAAATCCAGCCCGGGATTCGAACCCAGCACTACCAAAATATACATGTGAGTGAATTCAGTCAACCTAACCACTTAACCATCGACCAACAAAATGAAAAGGGGAGAAATTAAAAATATTCCTTTCACTTTTCCTTCAAAAATTTAATGTCAAAGTACGAGAGGTACGAGTGGTGTTGCTCGTACTCGTACTTGGCCTGTTTTATTTTCTCGTACTCGTACTCGTACAGGCCTTATTTTTTTCTCGTACTCGTACTCGTACCTGCCCATTTTTTTTGCTCGTACTCGTACTCGTACTTCGTACACAGGTACGAGTACGAGTACGAATTTTGGTACGAGCTTCCAATCAGAGGTGCACGAAACTTTTTCGTTTCGTTTCGTGTTTCGTAGATTTTCGTGGATTTTTTGATGAATTTCGTTTCGTTTCGCGTTTCGTTTAAAAATAATTTTTTTCGTTTCTTTCGTTTCGTATTTCATTAAAAATATATTTTCGTTTCGTTTTCGTTTCGTAACATGCCATTTTTATACGAAAATGACGAAAAAATATTCGATATTTTTAGACAATTTTTTTGCTATTTTGTCGTATTTTTAAGCCAAAAATTGTAAATTTTTTCCCAGGAATTTAAAATTCAAAAAATTTTGCCTGCGGCGCTGAAAAAGGAAGAAATCTGGGGACTTCGCCTTCAAAACTTCTCAAATTTTCTGCCTGCGGCGCTGATAATGAAAGAAATTTAGCTCAAATAATCTCAAAATTTCGCCTGCTCCATTTAGTAAAACTACTAAAAATATGCAGAATAATTGAGATTTTAATTAATTTTTAAAATCATGCCCTATTTTTTCCCTATTTTGACCAATTTTGCCTATTTTAGCCACATTTTTGAGTGGTTGGACCCTATTTTAATGGTTTGGAATCGGTCAACCCGGTGAAATCCTATTAATATTTTTTCCGATATACCACAAAATCCCTCTTAATCTATCCTAGGTAATATATACTCTCCAGATGATGATTAGCAGTATTCTGGGGATTTCGGTATTAGCAGATATTAAATTAATTCCTCTAATATTTGGACGATTATCAATGGATCTAGAAGAGACCGAGACCAAACCGAGAGTCAAGACCGAGAGATTAAAAGGGATATCACTTGATGTCCCTCCTAATCCCCAAAATTCCTTGAATCACCAAGTCAAAAGAAATTTCTCGACTTGAGATTAGAGACCTAGACTCTCAAACATCACTATAAATTAGGCATTGAAGGTGAATTAGGCGAAAAAATTAGGCGGAACCTAAGCATTTTTATAATTTTGATTTTTTCGTTTCGTTTCGTTTCGTTTCGTGAAAATTGAGATTTTTTTCGTTTCTTTCGTTTCGCAAAAATGAAAATTATTTTTTCGTTTCGTTTTCGTTTCGTACATTGACGAATTTATTTTCTTTCGTTTTCGTTTCGTTGAGTGCGAAATTTTATTTTCGTACACCTCTGCTTCCAACCACTGGATATCACTCGATATCCCCCTTCATCTACCCAAATGCCCCAATGAAAACTAATTCATTGATTTTCCACCCGGAGCCCGGAGCCAACACGGAGCGGCTCCGAAAATCGCCGGCTCTGGAGCCGGAGCCAAGATTTTAAAAGGCCGGAGCCCGGAGCCGGAGCCAAGATTTTGAAACCCCGAAGCCCGGAGCCGGAGCCAAAAATTTGAAAGCCCGGAGCCGGAGCCAACAAATGGCAAATACCCAGCACTGGTATGTACACTCCAAAATTATTTTAAAAATATTTTCTAATTATTTATCCAATACATAAAAATTCAAAATAAAAAAAATATTCATTATACTTTCTACTAGAGTTGATCAAGACGAGACCGATACCGAGATTCTCGGCTTTTTTCCAATATCGGTCTCGGTTTTTTCATTCTCGGTCTCGAAACCGATACCGATATTCTCGGTCCATTTCTCGCGAGAAACGATACTGACTCTAAAAAACAAAATTCTCAATATTGTCCAAGTTTACGTCCATAATTTTTTTCGGATATCCGCCCATAACAGAAAAAGTGAATTTTTTTTCGAATAAGGTCTTCTAAAATTCAAAAATTTTCGCCTGCGGCGCTGAAAAAGGAAGAAATTTGGTGACTTAGCCTTCCAAAATTTAATGAATTTTCGTCTGCGGCGCTGTTATGTTGAATTTTCCGAGCCCTCGGCCGTTAGATTTTTAAGATTTTGATTACAGAGACTTCCGATTTTCGGCAACTGTTTTTCCCACAAGTGGATTAAGGGGATTTAAAAATTTGCGTATCTGAGGGCAAAAATTGGAAGAAATCTGGCTTCATGGCCTTCCAAAATTCTCAAATTTTTGTCAGTGGCGCTAAAAATAGGAAGAATTCTGGCGTCTTGGCCTTCCAAAACTACAAATTTTTGCCTACGGCGCTTAAAATTGAAAAAAATCGGTTGACTTGCACTTCTAAAATTCTAAAATTTTTGCCTGCGGCGCTGAAATAATGGTTTGGTTAACCGAAATTTTCACTTCGGCCATCCGTGGATACTCGCGGATGGATATGCCTCAAGAGTTGTAAGGATATAATCGGATACGGATGTCGACCTCACGGATCTATTCGGATACGGACACAAAAATTCGATCCATTGCCAAGCCAGATCGGATCCAGATGATGAAGAGTATTTATCTGATGATTTGGATGATGAAAATAATGAATAAATTATTTTTAAACGTATTTTTTGACATAACATTAAATTTTTTTTATTCTCGGTCAGTATCGTTTCTCGGTATCGGTCTCGGCTCAAAATGATGGTATCGGTCTCGGTATCGGGTTCTTAAGTATCGGTCAATCTCGGTCTCGGGTTGGCCAATACCAGTATCGTTTTGATCAACTCTACTTTCTACATAGGAGGAGGGTCCCTTTTTGTTAATAGATATTGTTAATTTTAATTTTTCCTCATACTATGTGTGTAATCTTAATCATAAAAACTTCTTTTTCTCGACGGAATCACTCATTATAGCGGAATCAGCCATCCAAAAATATAATGCTAACAATAAGAATGAGAGATTCTAGTTTATTTGCTCTTAATCGTTCCTGGCCTATTTTTTCGCGAACTCGTAAATGGGTACGAGTGCGAGTACTAATTTTGTACAAGCTTTCAAATACTTGTTGCATCTATGCGCAAAATCTTAGGCAATAATTGGTAATTTTCCATTGAGGGCCATACATTAAAAATGTTCAAAAATGTATGAATATGGGCAAAATACAGTAAATCCTCTAAAATAGCCCCTGGGGCTATCGACTCTATTTTTTTCGATGTCTAAATTTTTTAAAACTAAAATTTATCTACAAAAAAGGATGGTTTCTTCATCTCCAAATTCTCAAAGTTTTTCCTGTGGTGCTGAAAGGGTAGAAATCTAGTTTATTGTACACAGGAAATTTCAAAAATTTTCGCCTTCGACGCTCAAAGTGAGGATTTTTGTCTTTATGTCCTTGCAAAAATCAAAAATTATCGCTTACAGTGGTAAAAAGATATCAATCGAAATATAGAAGTATATGGTATAATTCTTAAGTGCCAAAAAATCACGTTTTTTTTGAAAAAGTTGGTTTTTATATCATAACTTTTTTATCAATACATAGGTCAAAAATTCTGATTTTTTGATATATTGTAGAGCTATTGATTCTCTATCCAATGATACCAAGAACAAGAAAAAGTGACCATTCCTTACTAAGTTATAAGTTCCAGACTGAACTGATCCAGGCTGAACGAGGTGCTCCGAAATTTAGGGACTTTGTTGGATTAAGTGATATCATGGATCAGGTCCTATCACTCGTTGATAAATTACATGTCGACAAGTGACCGAAATCGTTGTTTTTCACATTATCGACTTGTAAATTTTTAATGATCGATCCGTGGCGCGAACTTTGCGGACCCGAATTTTGCGGACCCGAACTTTGCGGACCCGAAATTTGCGGAACGAAAGTTGCGGACCCGAAGGATGCGGACACGAAGTTTGCGGACCTGATCTTTGCGGAACCAAGATTTTAGAACCGACACTTGAGTAAAAAGAAAAAATTAAAAATTTTATTTTTCGATGATCCCGGCAGAGTTTACCATGATCCGTACCAGATCAAGATTTTTTCCTGATTTTTCAAAATTTTTATCAATTTTTTATCTTTAAATTATTTCATAATTTAAACAATCGAGAAAATTTCTTGAAGAAATCATTTCTATGGCCATCTCATAAGGTCATTATGCCTGAATTCATCCTAATTAACGCCGCAGGCTAAAATTTTTGAAATTTCCGGGGTTCAGTAGACTCTATTGTCGGTCTCCAAATTTTTGGTCCGCAAATTTTAGATCCGCAAAATTCGGGTCCGCATAGTTCGGGTCCGCAAAATTCGTGTCCGCAAAGTTCGGGTCCGCAAACTTCGGGTCCGCAAATTAAAATCCGCAAATTTCGGCGCGCCGATCGATCATACTACTTAATCCATCCAATTGGAAAAAGATAGCGTTTATCGAAAGCTTTCGAATGATAAAAGAATTATTCGGAGTGGAGAAGTTATAGCTGATCAAAGTCGGCTGGTACTCAACTGGCCCGCTCCGTAGATTCATATGTTTATTTTCCGCCACTTTTTTTTTATGTTGGCAAAATGATTTAGGTATTTCTCTAATCTCTTTCTTTTCATTCTTTTATTTTGAATATATAAGTTATTTTTCTCACTAAAACTTATTTGCAAAACAAAACACGCCAATATTAAACAAGAAATTCCCATATTTTTTAATCCTTTTAACATTTTGTTCATTAACCTACTAATTTTTCGGATTTCTATAATTTATTTAGAATTTCTATAATTTTGTACAAATAAATTCGCCATCACTAAAATTAGGAAATTAAAATTATTTTTCTATTTTTTATCACAAAATTTTAGATAACTTTAAATTTTTTTAAATATTTCATTTATGGAACCGAGACCTGTTGACAGTCCTGACCCTGTAAGTTTCAACAAATTCTTGTTCACGAGAGAGACCCTAACCCCAAAATGATTTTAACATTACTTAAGAAAATTTCTTTTGAACAAGAAAACCCTACTCTAGTACAAAATCTAAGCAGATAGGAATTTATAAAATTTAACTTATTTTTATAAATAAATTTTTAGTTAAAGCGCGCCGCTAAACGTCCGTTGCATGTGACTGGAAGTTCGGAAGAAGGGAGTTCATCCCCAAAGAAGAAGTACAACACAACATGGTTAAAGCGTTTAGAGGGTGACATTTGTCCAATTTGTTTGTCTGTAGTCTCTAATAAATGGGCTCGGCATTGTTCCACATCACACTCAGACTTTGTTTCATCTCCTTATGATAATGTGTTTATTGGCGAAGAAAAGGTCTTTTTTATTTTAAATGTCTATTTATTATCTACCTAGCAAACCTTCTTTAGAAACTATAGGGGTGGAAATCCGGAACGTCTTATATTACCGAAAGCTTGAAATACCAAACCCCCAAAAGCCCTTGAAATAACAAAATATGAAATACCAAAAAATCCTAAGATCGTAAATAACAAAGAAATTTTATTTGGTATGTTTTCTTCAGTTCGCTATTTCAGGCGTTTTGGAGGTTTGGTATTTCGAGCTTTTGTTATTACAAGCTTATACCATCACAACGGTTATATGTTAACTTTGGGCCCATTTATTTTTTATTAAAGTAAATAAAATTTTCTAGGTTAAGACGTTTGTTGTGAGTTGTGTTCTTGCTTTGGGAGGAACTAATGCTTATGGACAGCAATTAGCTGATATAATTGTATTTGCCGATAAGAATGGTTTTTACAAGTAAATTATTTTAAAAATTATATTTGATCTTTTAAAATTAACTTTTTAGGCAGGGTTTAACAAGACTTGAAAAGTATTTATCGGAAAGTGGGAAAGGTTTATTAAATTTTGATTTAAAATTTTGAAAATTTAATCAAGCTGAGCCATTACTTGTTCGTGAAAATGTTGTTTCTGTTCACTACGATGGGAATGGTGCGCCTGGAGTTGTTGTTGGAAATCTATGCATCAATAAAGCTATGAATATGGCTAGTAACTATGGATATGGAATTGTTACAGTTGAGAACTGTAAAGATATTGGCACTGCACAATTTTACACAGATATTTTGGCCACGAATGGAATGACAGTTAGTGAATTTGCTATTATCTTTTATTTTTCTAATTTGTATAGTTTTTTAAATAAGTGAAGAGCTTTCAATCACTAAACTTTCCTTCAAAAACCTTTCGTCACTGACATGAGACATTTTTTATCAGCACGATAATTTTGTTTAAAATGCCTAAGTGTGTATAATTTTTATTTTACTGTTTTAACTGTGAATCTAAATGGTAGGAAGCAGTAAAGGAATCCAAAATATCAATAACCGTAGATTCCTGTGTAATTCATATGGGGCAATTACATTGTCCTCTTTCATAACAGGACATTGCAGAGGTCTGCCAAATGTTTCAAAAACATTTACGAGTTAAAAGTGATGAGCCCTGATCTAGTTGAAAAATGAAAAAAATTTTTCTTCAGATGTGAGCCCAAATTAATAAAATATAAAATTATGTTCAAGTAGTCATTTTAGGCAAAATTCGGGTTATGTCTCATATCAATGACAAAATGTTTTTTGACAGGCTTAGTGAAAGCTCAGTAATGAAAAGTTAAATAACTTACCATGTTAAATGATAGGAACGTGTTTTATCTAAAAAATTAACATAGTCTGAGATAGTTTACTATTTATTATAATATCTTGGTTTAAAATTAATGGTAAAATAAATATTTTTACCATCGAATCCTCTTATTAGCATTTACTATATATTTTATTAAAATTTTAGGGATTCGTTTTTTCTGGTGATGACGGTCCTCTAAGTGTTGCAACAATCGATAAATCTTTTGAATTTTTAAATATCACTCCAGAATGCCGTGTTATTTTGTCTTGCTTTGCTAAAATCTCGGTATTTAATTATGTATTCTTTATTAATTTTTTTTTAAAAAATTTATATAATATTTCCGAACATCCAATTTTATACCTAAAATAAATAAATTCAATTTATTTTATTCTTTAGCACAAATGCTTCTTTGCCAAGTCTCCTAATCACGAATGTCTTCTGGACGATTTGGCAAGAATAATTTTATTTAATAGATAAATGTCCGATAATTCTGAATTATTTTTATGATTTTTATCAAAAATATTTTTTAGAAAAATTTTAATTTTCTTTAGACTTTGTCGGAAGATGCCATTGTTATTACAAAACAACGAAAGCAGGCTTATCAACAAAAATTTGATGATATGAAGGGATTGTGTTATTTGAAAGAAAATATTGCTAAGATGGTATGTTTTCGTTTGATAATTTAATATACATAAAATAAAAATTCTCTTTCAGAACGAAGATGCTATTACGCGTGGAATACATCCAGACAACTTGTTGGAGGCGCTTACAGGAGCGAGTGTTAGTGGTTCGACTTAAGTTTTGTTTTGAATTTGAAGAACTTTTGATAAAAAATATTTTTACAATAAATAAAAATAATTGATTATTGTTTTGAACAATTAAAAAAAATTGTTGAAAATTTAAAATAAATTAATTACTGAAGGTTTTAGTGAATATTATTGAAGTACTACTATTAGCTAAGTTTTTGAAAAAACACAAATTATAATTAATTTAATTAAAAACTAGAATGTTGTGACTTATAGGGGGTTTTTGTTGGCTGGACCGATTTGGACAAATTTGGTATCATTCGAAAGAGCTAGCCGAGCTGAGTCGATTGCGGGGTGATAGAAGTGAATCCGACAAACAGGGACCGAGATACAGACCCCTGAAGTTTGAAAAAGATCGGGGTTGTAAGCTCATTTTGGGTAAAAATTCGAAAATGCAAATAATAGCTCATTCGACTCAGTCGTCGAGCTGAGTCGAATGACACCTAAATCAGCTCGATATCTTGATTCTGAGCCAAGATAAACAGGTTCAAAATGATTTTAGTGTTTCGTTGATTTTAGTGTCATTCGACTCGACGAGCATAGTCGAATGAGCTATTATTTGCATTTTTGAATTTTTCGCCCCAAAATGAGCTTGCTCCCCCCTTCTCTTTTTCAAACTTCAGGGGTCTATATATCGGTCCCTGGTTGTGGGATCGACTTCTATCACCCCGCAATCGACTCAGCTCGGCGAGCTCTTTCGAATGACACCTCATTTGTCCAAATCGATCCAGCCAACAAAAACCCCCCTATAAGTCACAATACCCAAAAACTACATAACAGACATTACAATCGCAGATAGTCTATCTAATTTGCTTAAGTAATGACAAAAACGTTAAAAACTTCGTTCTAGATGGGTAAACTAAAAATTTTTGTTACTTTGTTCATATCCCGCCCCTCCCTCACCCATATTTTAGTCTCAGATTACTTTTCCTTTTACTGCCAATCATTCATTTCCCTCAAATACTATAAGTAAAATGCAAGCTTTTAGGAAGGAAAAAATAGACGGTAACAGCAAAAATTTATAAAAAAGGAAAGTTGACAATTCCCAGGCAGAAAAGAATAAGAGGAAAATTAATCTGAGACTCACAAAAGGGTGGGGACGAAATGGCGCGCCGAAATTTGCGGAATTTAATTTGCGGACCTGAAATTTGCGGACCCGAACTATGCGGACCCGAAGTTTGCGGACACGAATTTTGCGGACACGAATTTTGCGGACCCGAACTATGCGGACCCGAATTTTGCGGATCTAAAATTTGCGGACCAAAAATTTGGAGACCGACAATAGAGTCTACTGAACCCCGGAAATTTCAAAAATTTTAGCCTGCGGCGTTAATTAGGATGAATTCAGGCATAATGACCTTATGAGATGGCCATAGAAATGATTTCTTCAAGAAATTTTCTCGATTGTTTAAATTATGAAATAATTTAAAGATAAAAAATTGATAAAAATTTTGAAAAATCAGGAAAAAATCTTGATCTGGTACGGATCATGGTAAACTCTGCCGGGATCATCGAAAAATAAAATTTTTAATTTTTTCTTTTTACTCAAGTGTCGGTCCTAAAATCTTGGTTCCGCAAAAATCAGATCCGTAAACTTCGTGTCCGCAACCTTCGGGTCCGCAACTTTCGTTCCGCAAATTTCGGGTCCGCAAAGTTCGCGCCACGGACGAACTATGAACAAAATACCAAAATTTTTAATCATGGAGATGAATTTTATATATTTGAGCGTTTAATCTAGTTGAGCCGTTTCGGGCGATTTTTTAGTACATATTAAAATCGACATTCGAAATTTTTAGATTAAAATTTTTAGAAACAATGAAAAAGACAAAATTTGGGCACTTTACATTTTAGAAAAAATTTAATTTGGCTTTTTAAATTATTATACAAGCTTTGCTTCGTTCATCAATTTTACCCGCCAATAAATTATTCTTTTCAGCAAGTTGTAATAAATGCTCATTTAACTAAAATATATTATTTTAAATAATTTTTTCAATTTTATTTTTTACCTTAGCCCTTTCTTTATCTCTATCAAGTGCTTGACATTGATAAAGAGTAATACGATAAGTTCCTAAAAAATAAATAAGTCTATTTTCAAAATTTGAATTTTCTTTTTTTTGAATTTTGAATTTTCTATGTAAGGTTGTTCCTAGTCTCATAGTGATAGTGTTGCGCCCGAACCCCGGGCCGTTTCTATTGGATTAATACTAAAACCAAGCATTTCTCGCATTTGATGTTGTAAAATTATTTTAGAAGTATTGCAAAAAAATTTTATATTTTTTTGGAATTTAAAAACCACCCTTAACTTGAGAGGGAACAACGATCAGCTAATTTATTATGTAAATATATATTTTAATTTAAAGTAAATCTAACCAATAACAGGATTTCTAGCTCCTTTACTTTTAGCAACACTTCTAAGCATTTCTTCTGTTATTCCATAACTTTGTAATTGGGACCAAACAAGTCTTTCCAATTTACAATGGGCCAATGAATGCTCATTTGGATTTAAAGACAAATTTACATAAGAATCGGGAAATTTACATTCACTTAGCCAATATGTTCTCTAAATTATTTAATTAAATTTATTTTTAATATTTAAATGGAATTTTTAAATTTTTCCAAAAAGAGAATAAACTGTTGTCTTCATGTTTTTTTTAATTTGAAAAATTTTTTTAAGTAACTGCCACACTAAATATTAGATGGAATTTGTTCTAAGTAGAGGTCGGAAATTTTGAAAAGTCTGGACCAGTTCCTGGACTCTGGATTTTGATTTTTGACCTGGACTGGATCTTGGGCCTGTAGTCCAGGAAAAACCCAGGCCCAGGAAAAACCCAGAAAGGTCAAAAAATGCCGGGGCCTGGACTCTGGGTACAGGAAAAACCCAGGAAGGTCAAACCCAGCTCGATCTCTAGTTCTAAAATACAACGTTTGTTTTATTCTCTCTCAACTTTCAGTCACTTCCAAAATATTTTTAAATACCTTAAGTTCCAAAATATTAGCCCTTCTTTTAGCGTCCAATTCAAGCATTCTAGTAATTGAATGTTGTGCAAATGTTGAAACTTTTTTTGAAATAATTTTTTTGAATATTCTCTTTAATTTAATTACCATAATCAGGCATATAATAAACCCCTTCCAAAATATTTCTTTTTAAATCAGAAACAGTTTCTCCACGAAAAGGGGTAACACCAACAAGCATAAAATAAAGAAGTATTCCCTTAATATTTTAATTTTATTAAAAAAATATTTTTTTTTAAATTTCCTACCATCGCCCAAATATCAACCATTGGGCCAATATATTTCTTTAAAAATAAATTAAAATTATTTTAAAAAATATTTTTAAAATAAATTTACTTGATCTCGAAATAATTCAGGTGCAGCATATGGGGGAGAACCACAAAAAGTATTTAAAAAAGAATCGTCTTCGAATTTACAACTAAAACCAAAATCTCCAAGTTTTATCCAGCCTTTTTTTAATTTTTAAATTTAATTAATTATTAATATTTACCAGGATGTGAAAGAAAAACATTTTCTGCTTTAATATCTCTATGACAAATATTTTTTGAATGAAGGTGGGCAACTGCTGAGACTATTTGGGCTGTTAATTTTTAATTTTTATTTAATTTTATTTTCCTCTAAAAAACCAAAAATAGGTTTAGCAACTTCTTCAGTCAATTTTCCATTATCATGTACATAAGTATATAATTCCCCACCCCCCGCATATTCCATAACTAAATGGACTTTAGATAATGTAGCCACAACTTCAAATAATCTAATAATATTTGGATGGTGTAGTAACTCCATATTATCAATTTCTCTATTTAAAACACGTTGAGCTTTTTGGTCCATTTTTCCTTTTTCCATTGTTTTTACAGCTACTTTTTCTTTAAATTAAAAAATATTTAAACTAATTTTATATTAAAAATTCTAAACTTTTTTGGAACAACTTTTAATTATTATCGTATAGTTAAAACGACGTTTAGAGGATTGCTTTTTAAAAATTTCCTTTTCCTTATAAAATACATAAAGATTTTATGTGTTTGCTAGGGATATATACTTAAAAAAACGCCGGCGCAGTACCTTTGTAGTACATGAAATTGGTGTCCTCCGCTAACAAATAAGATAAAGCGCAATTATTAGTTTAATAGCTCACGGGTAATTAGATAATAAATATTTGAGGCAAGAAATATTAGGTCTAAGCAGTTTAATCATTAAATTTTTGAAAATAAATTTTTCTTATTTTTAAGGTATAATTAATTTTATTTTCTAATTTTAAGGTATTAAATTTTACTTAAAAAGACATTAAAATTTGAAATTAATTATTCATTAAAAATACCTTTAGTAAGTACATGAACGCCCAATTTAACTTTAGAAAAATTGCCAGCACCCAATTCCTTCCCCAAACGATAAAATCCAACTCTTTTACCCAAAGCCAATTCTTTTTGGCATTGTAAATCATTTGCCAACATTTTTATTGTTTTTTCGTATGGAGATAATTCTTCAGAATCTGTGACTGATTTTATAGGGACGGGAATTGATTGGGCACTGTTTGTACGTGAAATTGAAGGGGAAGAAAAGTCGATTTGCGAGCCTTCTTCTGAAGAGGTTGTACATTGTTGTAAATTGGGGGCCTAGAAAATTTTGGATTTTATTTGAAAAAAAGTAAAAATTATTTTTTAAATAGGTATTCTTGAATATAGCTACAAGAAAATTTTGAAAAAAAATTTTTATCCAGCCACATTTTGCGATTTAATTAAAAGTTTTTTAATTAATTAATTTATTATTTTTTAAAGTTATTTAATATCTGCAGTTTTTACTTACTCCAAAATAAATATTCATTTACCTTCTTATAAAAATCATTTAAACTTGATTTATTTAAAATCATTTCATTAATTCGGGGATGTACAATAATTTCAGTATTTTCGGTAATAAGCATTTTTGTTGAAATTTTAAGAGAAAATAATGAATAACAAATATCTTTAATGAAAGTTTTTGTTCAAAAAATTATTGGTTAGTTAAGTTAAAGCATTCAAATTAAGGGCTTTTAATTAAGGGCTTAAGGCTTTAAAGCTTTAAATTTTAGGCTTTAAATTAAGGCTTTAAATTTTTAAGGCTTTAAATTAAGGGCTTTTAAAATATAACAACTACATATATTGAATATATCAATATTTTCTCGATTAATTATCAAATATCTAATAATTTGTTCCATTATTATTGTTTGGTTTCGGCTATTGAAAATTTCTTAGAAGCTATTCCCCAATCTTTACTTTACTTTAATTAAGCGGAAAATAAAAAAATAATAATTATTCAGATTAATTATTCGAGAAAATAATGTATTTAATTCTTGCCCTTATTTTTGTAGGAAGTAAAAATAAGATAGCAAAAGTTTTACAAAAAATTTAGAAAAATAAATAAATTTTAATAAACTAGAAAGAATTTTATATAAAAACATACACAAAAACTAAAAATGAAAATAAAATATTAAAATTATTATATAGATTTAAACACCCCCATTTATTTAATTAACATCAAATATTGGAATGCTTAACATTTAATATATAATGGAATGTGGCCGCCCATATATTAACTTCCAAAATAACTAAAAAGATGTTTGTGTAAATATTTTAAAGGATTAATTTAAATCTTGGTTTAAAAAATAATAAAGCTATTAAAGAATGTGGGAGGGAGGGAGGTTGGTTTGGGAGGGAGAGAGGAGGGAGAGAGGAGGGAGAGAGGGGTATTTGGAGTGAGTTAATGGAGGGAGATAAGTTTAATATATTAATAACACTTTAAATATGTTCTACTAAAATGATGAAAATATTAAAAATATATAAAGATATTCTCTGTTCTGACATTTAATAAATAAATAATCTTGGCTTTAAAATATTTTAGTAATCAAAAATAAAACATGAAAGATAACTTTAATAGGGAAAGAATTAAAAAATGACAAATTTATTTTGTCTGAAAGTTTTATATCTTTATATATTTTAAGGTATCACGACTTTTGCGCCGAGAACATTTGCGCCGCGACTTATGCGCCGCGACTTTTGCGCCGGGCGACTTATGCGCCGCGACATTTGCGCCGCCATTGTTTAGAAAATCCGGATCCGAAAAATGCCGGATATCCGAAATTTTCAGTTTGGATATCAGATCCGAAGATTTCCAACTATTCGAAAACCCTACTAAAGTGAGGTCCGGCTGTAGTTATTGATATATTTTTAATGCTAGTGGCGGCGCAAAAGTCGCCCGGCGCAAAAGTCGCTCGGCGCATAAGTCGCGGCGCAAAAGTTAACCGATTATAAATCAGAGACTAATACTTAACTGGCGGAAGTATATTATGTATAACTAGATTTGAATGCAACAGATTAATTAAATAGGTAGTTTGTAGTTTAGGAACAATTTAAAATTTAGGAAAGTTGAGCTATCTATTTATAGAGAGAAAATATACAAATAATAATTAAAAATTATTTATTACTTACTATATTTTATTTTTCCATATTTTATCTCAATTTTTATATATTTAATGATCACCTTTTATTAATTTAATAAAATGTGGGTGGTAATTAAAAATGATAATTTTTATTTTTTAAATAATTTTTTAGAAAAAAGATTTTATTTAAAAGAGATTAAATAAAAAGTGAGAGGGAAAAGAAAGGAATTTTTATTTAAAAAATTAAATAAAATAATCAACTAAATTATAAAATGTTTTTTGATTTAAAAAATTTAATTAACAAAAGTGAGCTTTTAAAAAATAAAATTCTGTTTTTAAGATTAGTTTTTAAGCTTACAAAATAGACAATATAAATTTTACAAATTAATGTAAAAATTATTTAAAACAATTTTATTAAAGATTTTTAATTTAAATATTATACTGCAGTTATTGAATGTATTTCTTAATTTTTGAATAAATAAATTCTAATTAGGTAGATTAAACCAAAGGTAATAAATAAAGGGGCAAAAGTTGTTACAATTTAAGGCAAGGTTTACAACAAACTTAAAAATATAACTATTAGGTCGGGTCATATTTAATGTCGCTTTTTTTTGTTAAGATATTTATTTCAAAATAACAATCAAAAATATCATTAAACAATAAAATATTCTCCATGAAGATCGATAACGGATTGCCAACGAAGGCACAACCTTCGAATTCCATGTTCGAAAATCATGGTTCCCATTTTGGAGGCAAAATATCGCGCAATCGCATTTTGGACCTCGTCCGCGGACTTGATTCATCACAAGTTAAAAGATTCCTTAAAAAATTTTTTTTCCGATGGAGAGGAATCAATTCCCTAGAAATGTCTACTCGTTTGTTCATTTGTGCAAAAGTGAGTACACGCGGCATTTGATTTGCCTTCCTTAAGCGCAGACCGCGTTTTTTCTGTAAAGCGTGGCCATGTCTATAGAGCAGACATCCCTCGATAATTCAGCAGTAGAAATAACCGGATTCCATCTAAGCCGGGCGAGCACGACCGTTATTCTTAATGACAGCCGTCTCCCTCGACCATGTTTGCTTCTGAGAGATATACGGCCTTCCTAGTAAAGTTTGAATCCTATTCTTGCTGTCTAGCATAGACAACGATCCCATTGACTAGATCATTAAGATTTTTTGCTTCTTGTGTCCATTTTTGATAATTTAGTATAATTCATGGTGCAAATGCTTGCGAATTTCACTACGAGGTAGTGAAGTTCAAAAAATCATAACTTTATGAAAATCACCCATATATGGCTAAACGTGGTATTAAAATGAAGAGTAGATTCAGATCTTTATGTTAGTTAATAAGAAAAGGAATATTTGTAGAATAACACCTCTAAAAATTTAACCGAAAAAAAGCGACACTAATTATGACCCGACCTAATAGCAGAGAAAGGTTGGGTGGAGGCACGGCAATTCCTGATTTAACAATCCCCGACGATAATTCTGGATGTAAAAATTTTAAAAAATTAAAGATTCTTTAAAATTTTCATTGGCACGTCAATGCAGAAATCATCCTGAAGCCGTTATCTTTCGGAACTAGCCAGCCTGACTAAAAAACAGGCCCTCATTTGAATAATTTTAAGAATTTAAAAAATTTTTATATCCGAAATCGTTGTCCGAAATTGTCGTCAGAAATTGCCACATCAGTAATTGTCGTGATACCGGATTAGGTTACCAATTACTAACATTTTTTACAACTCGGCTTATCCATGATTAAACATTATTTTATATCAGGGCTCCGATTCGTACTTTTTTAAAAGTATTGTACTTTTTTATCGACCTTCGTACTTCCGAAATTGAATTTGTACTTTTTTGAAAGTATGTACTTTTTTATCAACATTTTTGAAAAAACGAAGAAATCTGGCTTAAGGACCTCCAAAATTCTCAAAATTTTCGCCTGCGGCGCAAAAAATGGAAGAAATCTGGCTTAAGGACCTCCAAAATTCTCAAAATTTTCGCCTGCGGCGCTTCTCAATGGCAAACATTCAATGGACGAAGGAAAGAAACTCGCTTGAGGTTGACTGTCAGAGCTTTGCTTCATGTGACAGCAAATTTTGACATGTCATGCAATGAAATGCACAAAATGCTCAGTTGAAACAAGAAATTATTAGAAAAGATTAATTTAGGAGAGAAATATAAAAGATTGATCACGAATAAATATTTTCAAATTTAATTTTGAGTGTACTTTTTATTTGCAAATTTTCTCCCTATGTACTTTTTTTACAAGATTTTGATACTTTTGAGTGGCATTTTGTCGATCGGAGCCCTGTTTTATATACATATGGACATTCTCTGGTTTATATAATTTATTTGATGATTTTTAAGCTAATTTTTATTAAATATTAAATTGCTTAAATTTTATATTAATTAAAAAAATAATTAAAAAAAAAGTCTTCACCTCTTTTTTAAATTTCCTCATAGCTTTATTTCCACCAGGTGACCAACTATTATTATCAGAAATAGAGCCAGAAGAATTATTATTTGGTGATTGAGAACGAGAATTTTGTGGAGGAGGGGGGACATTTGGATGTTGCTGTTGCTGTTGCTCTACAGTTGAAACAAATTCGAGGGCATTGGCTACTGTTGTTGCTGTGGAATTAAATACAGAAGCGGCTGCGGCGCCGATTGTTGCCTGCGAAAGTGAAAAATATTTTTTTATTAAATTTTTTGATAAACATTTTGAAGGTTTGGTGATTAAAAAGAAAGCTATAATTGGGTTGAAAAAGAATAAACCTAATTAGAATTATAGTAAAGTATTGGGGGAATTTGAAGATCAAGAAATATAATTGTTATTAATTTCCCTAAAAAATTTCCGGATTCGAACCTAAGATTTTCGGGTACCCAAACATTTCCCTTTTCTGATCTTCGGAACTGCCAACATTGTTTGGAATGTAGAGGTATACCCACGCAAAAAATATTCCTTTTAATGGATTATAATTTATTTTTTACTAATAAAACTTTTAAGAGCTAACTTGTCTATAAAGGCTGGACATTGCGCTAAGCTGTCTTCTGCCTTTAAAATTATTTGATTTTTGTTTAGAAGATATTAAATGTTTTTCTAATAAATCCTTTTCTGTTTTTTCTTCACTTTTATTAAATATCAAAAGCTCTTCTTCTTCTAATGGAGATTCTTCTAAAGCAAAAGAGCCCGGTTCTGAATGAACTCCCAAAATTCGAACACGGCCTCCTCCAATTCCTGAGATGTGACGAGGACGGCGCCGGGGAACAAAATTTACTGTGGAGGAGGGCGAAGGGGAAGGTTGTTGAGGCGTTGAAGAAGAAGTATCTGGAGCTGGAGATTTTGTAGAGGGAGAAGTTTTGGAAAAATTTGAAGACACTGTAGCCGAAGATTTAATTAATTTTTCTTGAAGGGGAGGACTATTTGATTGAGTAAATGAAGAAGTTTCCAAAAGGGATGAGTTTGTTGTATGGGAAGAGGAAGACGCGTTTAGTTTAAGAGAAGAGGTTGTTTCCACAGAATAGGAAGTATCGTTGATTTTTTGTAGAGGAGGAAGTGAAGAAGATTTTGTTTCACCGGAAGAAGAATTATTTTTTAAAACAATTGGAGAACATTCAAAAGTATTATTGTTAACAGAATTATTAATTAAATAATTATTGTTGTCAGTAGGGACGGGAACGGAAGAATTATTATTAAAAGATGAAACAACGGTTGTTGAAGGGGGGAGAGTTTGTGGAGATGATAAAGAGGATGAAGAAGAAGAAGAAAGGTTAGAAAAGGATTTGATGAGTATTATTTGGTTGTTGTCCCCACCTTCCTTAGAAGAAGGATTATTTATTTTTCTCTCCTCATTTAATAAATTTACTTCAATATTTTTAATACTTTCTATCTGCTTTCTTAAATTTGATGAAGCCATTGAAAGAAAAATAAAAAAAAATAATTTATATATATTTTTAAACACTTCTTCTCTCAAACGTGTTCTCCTCCTTCTAAATACTCCTCTCGTTGCTTGGATTTATTTTTTGTTGTAAAAAAGGTATATATTTTATTTTATCTTCTTTTGCTTTAAAATGGTGGGGGGAAGCACTAAACAAGTAAAGAGATAAAATAACTCATTAGTCTGTTGGCAAAATCAATCCATCCAATTTATTTAAAATTATATAGAGAAGAAGCCGCGCGTGTTAAAAATATTGAAAAAAATTATTTAAATGAAAATTAAAAAATAAAAAAGAAATTTGTAAGGTAAATAATAATAATTATTATTCTCTCTTTTTTTTAATTAAAATAAAAAAGTGAATTTTAAAAAATGTAAAAAATTATATTAAGATGAAGACTAAACTAAAAATTAAAAAAATAATAATTTAAAAACTAATATGTAAATATTAATTCAGGAAATATTAAATGAAGTATTTAGTGTAATAATATTTTTCGAACAAATTAATGAAAAATTATATTGGACCGAGACGATATCTCAAACAAATCTCTCGGTTATCGAGAGAGATATCGGCCCACCCAGTCCAGTCTGTTATATGTATACCTCGGATCTTGGCTGGTGTTGAATAAATAGTCTCTCTCTTTATAACTTTCGGTAATTCTTCGGTTCGTACCCCCCACTCTTTTTTCTTCCCTAAAAGTATTAAAAAATGGTCAGTCAGTCTTAGGTTATAGAACCCGTCGAGCTGTGTCGAATGACACCAAAATCAAAAAAATCCGACTTGATTGGACCGAGATACAGACCCCTGAAAATTGAACAACCATAGGGGCGAAAAACCATAAGTACGAAAATTTATACAAATGATAGCTCATTCGAAAGAGCTCTTCGAGCTGAGTCGGATGTCACCAAAATCAACTTGATTAATCAAGTTTTGACAAAGTTATGACATAAGTCGCCGACTCAGTTAGGTCTACTTAATGTCATAACTTTGTCAAATCTTGTCCAATCACGTTGATTTTGGTGACATCCGACTCAGCTCGACGAGTTCTATAACATAAGATTGACTGACCATTTTTTAGCACTTTGAGGAAGGAAAAAGGAGTGGGGGGTACGAACCGAAGAATTACCTAACTTTCCTAGATTCTTTTAGTTTCTTTTTAGTCTTCTTAATCTCCTGATATCCCCAATATATTTCTTAACAGAGGATTTGGCTAAATTATCAGAGGATTTGGATAGATTAAGGAGGATATCAGGGGTTTGATAAGAGGATTTGAAGGAAGAACCAGATAATTTGGAATTAAATTGGGTGATTTGACTAAAACTAAATAGTCTTCCCCTTTAAAATTATTTTATTTTAATTTGATTTTTTAATTTTTCAGATCTCCACGCCAAGTATTGAGAGTATTTAAAACTAAGTGTGACTTTATAGATAGAGAAATGTTTCTGGTTTAGAATATCCAGTTAGCTATGCTGGTTTAAACTTGTGACTTAAAATAAAAGTTTTTATTTCTAAGATAAGAAAAAAGAAAAAGAAAAATACTAATTAGAGAAAAAAATTATTAAAAATTACTTGTATTTTAATATAATAATAGGCACTAATTTCCATTATAAATTCTAACAAAGAAAGAAAAACAGAAAAGATTCTACTATTTTTATTTAATCTCTTTTTTTTAAAATTATTCCTTCCTTTGTTTCAATGACTGCCTCCACCTTGAAGTTTTTTATTTAAAGCATTTTGTATTTGTAATAAAGTATCCATGTCGTTATATATATGTAATGGGCATTTATCGTATATCTTAAATTTTAAAGTTTATCTTTTTAATTTTAAATATTAATTAAAAACATCCTCATCTTACATATAAGCAATTAAACGGATTTAACATATTAACTACTGTAGAACTTTGATGTTGTTTCCCAGGAAATATTGAGCTTGGAAGGACTTTACCCGAAGGACTTTGCCAGATTATCTTTTCTGTCACAGAATATTAACAATCCATTAGCCTATTGTCCCTCCCACTTAAATGTTCATTTAAATGATTTAATCGCAGTTATAGGGTGTTCATTTGATTAGTCATCTATTATTTTATTTATTAAGTAGTACCTAACATACTATATTCTTGTCCATATTTCCTAGTTTGTGAATAAAGAGCTTTTATTTAACTTAGGTGTGTTTCGGTGTAGGGAAGAGTCTATGGGACTTGATCCCCTGAAGGTTTGTATGATTGTCCCGATCACATCCTCTCCCCTTGAATCCTATAATAACTGGGAAAGGGCCTACCGATTCGGCACATAGTTAATAGGAAGAAGGATTCTATTTTACTCCATAGAAAAGTAAAATTGAGTGAAAATCAGTTAATTGATAAAATATTTCTTAAAAATTCGATTTTTAAGATAATATTAAAAAAATAATCTTATTTACTATTTAATTAATTAAATTAAATATACAATTTTTTAAAACTAATTTCTGAAGCCTAAAATACAGAAGGAAAGTATAATATATCTGCAGACTCCAACAATCCACAAATGTTTAAAATTTATTTTAAAATTTTACTTCTTTAACAAGTTCTAAATGTGTCTGTGGAGGGGCCATTAACTTTTTCGGCATAGGAATAAATTCAACACAATCTTCTTCAATATATTCAGGCTTTTTTTCATTAACAAATTTATCAGTAAAATATTTATTTATTATTGTCTGTTGTAATTTATCCTTTGTTTCCTTCTTCAATTTGTAAAAGAAAACATAAAAAGGAACACCTGGCTTGAGTGAATTTGGATCTAACGTCTCTATTGTAATCTTTTTACATTCATTTAAAACCAATTCAGTATTGTCAACTGGAAATTTAAAAATAAAAAGAATTTTTAACATAGCTCCGACAACGACAGTCGTTTTGAGTGTCAAGTGTTTTTTGTGCTTCCCACAATGAAATTGAACGGAACAAAACAGTTTATATTAAGTTCAACACTCGACACGGATCCATTGTGGGGAAAATCTAAATTTTTTTACTAATTTTGTTTTTATAAATTAAAGGCCAAAACTGTCCCATTTGAGGATGGCGTTCAATTTCTTTATAAGGCTCAAATTCAGCATTGTATATTATGTTTTCTGACATTTCTGCGGATTGTAATGATAAATCGATAAGATCTAAATAAAATTAATTTACATTCAAATCTCAGATTTAAATATTCCAAGCTTTATATATCTCTCGCTTTTAAATACAATTTCTTCTAAGAATGCTTAAAAAAATTCCCGGCAACTCTAACAATTAATTAAATACTAAAAGAGCAATATTTATAGGTATTGGATTTTTGAACTAAGTCTAAAAGCGACCAGATTTGATTTTGTTAAATCTGTCAAAATAATTTTAAGTCCAAATCTTGACTTAATTTTGACATAAAATTTGACAAAATTTTAATTTAAATTTTGAATCAGAAAATTTAGACTTTTAACAAAATTCCCTGTTCTATCTAATTCACATTTAATTATTATTTTTAAATATTTTTAGCTAACTAATTCGATCATCTTCATAAATTATTTTTCCATAATGCATGTAAAAATAGCGTGAATTTCTAAATTCCTTCATAAATAAATTTGCTTTGACTTCAAAAATATCATAAGCCTCAGCATAGCCAAACATGGAAATTTCTTCACTAAAAGAATTTAAAAAAAAATATTCAAAATTTATTTACTAACAAATTATTTGTCTCATAAATATACTTTCTTAATTCTTCTTTGTAGTAATCATTAGAATTATGAAACAAAGCAAAGTTTCGAATAACCTTCCGGGTAATTGCAAATAAATGCCAAATAATAAAAATATTTTTATATTTCAAAGTATTTTCTTGTGGGAAGGATTGTAATTGTTCGAAGATAAATGTATAATTGTCAATAATCTTTATTTAAATAATTAAATTAAAATTTTTATTTATTTTTTAAAATTAAAACAAGCAACCTCAGTCAAAGTATTATAAAATCCATTTCCAAAAAATTTTTCAAATTTAATAACCAAATTAGAATCGCCAATATCTTTTAAAACCAATTTTGTAAAAATTTTTAGTATATTAATTAAATCATTTTCCGTTTCTAACATTTCTAATTTTTCAATAGAAATTTCCTTCAAAATTAGAATTAGAACGGACAGTTCTGTTAAACAAAGTTTCTTATCACGATTGGTTTTAGGGATGTTTTCTTCATTTAAATTTAAGGCAGACTTCCTTCTTCTAATTTAGCTTTGCCTTAAAAGATTTAATTTTAATTTTTATTAATTAATTTATTTCTACCTTTATTCCCTTTATTCATTCCGCAAACAAAATTAAAAGAAAACAAAAACCAAATTAAAGATTTCATTTAATTAATTTAAAAAAAAAAAGCAAAAAAGTGAATAAAATTATTTAAAAATTCCCTTTTAAAAACAGAATTTTCTGTATTTTATTTTAAATGTCTAGACTGTCAGATTTTAATTTTTGGCTTACAAAATTAACCTTTTACGCAACTTATTTTATTTTCTTTTTATGTTTGCCCGCAAATATAAAATGGACTTTTTAATTTTTCTTTGATTTGTCCGAAAATATATTTTTGTATTTTTAATACAGCTATTTATTTAAAAGTCAAAACACATTATTGTATTTATTGCGGCAATGCTTTTTAGTTGCTTGCCCTTCATTTACCCTTTAAGCGGACATATGTACATTCGATTATCACATGGATAATTCAAATTAGAGACCGGACCGAAGCGAGATCTCGATACTCGTAAGACACTCCCAGTCCGGTGTCTAATTTAAATAAAATATCTTTTTAGAAGATTTAAAAGTAAAAAAATAAAAAAAAGTTATTATTCTGGCAAAATTTAAGAGAGCAATTTTTGTTAAACAAAATTGTTCTAATTATTATTTTAGAATCGTTTCCAAAATCCTTATGTAATGTTAAAATTATAAATGTTTTTATATTGTATAATACTTTAATTTTAAAATCAATTCAATTTTGATTTTTTAAAAATTAAAGTAGTATTTATAACAGAGCTTTCTTTAATATTAACAGGACTTCAAAGACATTAATGAATTCATCATGAATTGTCCTTGAGTATTTCTATACTCGTGTAAATTTTTTTAATTAAAAATTTTTTAAAATATATTTATCAATTACTAGACTTTAATGGGATAATATAAAATAATTATAAAAAATTAAATTAATTATTAAAAACAAAATATACCGTAAAAACTGTATTAATGTCTCTCCCTCAAATAATTACCCCACCTGTATTAAATACCCCATGTAGAGAGAGATCAAAACAATAATTGCACTCCCTCAAATAATTACCCACTATTTTTTCTTGTACTAATTTTAAAAAATTGTTAAAAATCGTTATAAATTTTAGGACAATATAAAAAATAAGTGGTGAGATTAAAAGGATTTGGGGAATATATCGGGAGATTTGCGTGAATCAAGAGGGTTATCGAGGTTTAAGGATGATCTGGGGAGCAGATAATGAGAGATTAATAAGTCTCAAAATTTCAACTCCTCTCAATGTCCGCTTTATTTAAAGATTTTTCTAAATAACACTTTTATTTTCCAAATTTTTCTAACGAAAGGAGGGGAAAATTTTGTAAGAAAATTTTGTTTCAAAATTTTGTAAGAATTTAAAATGAATTTTTTAAATGCTTTTATCTTCTAATAAATTTTATTAAAAATTTATTTTATTTAATTGTATTTATAAAATATATTTAAAAAATATTTCGACCACTTATGGATAATTTTTAATTTTAATTTTGGGCTCTTTCGAAAGCTCTTGAATTTTTTATTTAAATTTTGTCGTATTTTTAAATTTATTTTAATTATTTTAAATTTGCTACTTCATTTAATAATTTAAAGTAAATTTTTAACGAATAGAAGATAAAACTTTAATTCTTACAATTAACCTATAGACGCCCTTTTATTTCTTGCCAACATTTAAATATTCTTGCAAATTTTTATAGCAATCCCCCCTCACCCTTCCCCCTCCCTCCCTCCCTCCCTTCCTTCTCCACTCTCCCTTCAATCAATTTTTAAAATATAATTTCTCCACTTTAAAATAGAAAAATTAATTAAAAACGTTAAATTAAATTATGAATATTTGTTTATTTTTAATTTTTATTTTATTTTTTGTTTTAAATCCTTTTCAACAAAAAATAGCAAAAGGAATGAAATCTTCAAGTAAGAATATATTTATTTAATTTAAATTAAATATTTAAAGAAGGAAAAGAAATTGTTGGAAGTACTTCACATAATAATATCCCTCATTTCCAACCCCCACCTCAAAGAAACTTTATTTCAAAATTTCCAGAAATAAAATTTTCATTGTTTGAATTGTCTGTTTTTATTCGAATTTTGATAAAAATTGACGCGGAGATAATTATAAATAATTATAATTTGGGTATTTTAGAAATAATTAAAGAGTATAAAATAGTTTTGGTAGAAGAGTTGAAGACTGAAGCAAAAAGAAAAATTGAAAATAATTTAGAATCTAATTTAGAGAAAAAACAGGAAGAGTTGAAAATAATAGAGGATATTTATTCTAAATTATTAAAAAGTAAATATTTAAATGATTTGTTTGGAAAACTTGAAGAGGTAAATAAATATATTTTTAAAAATAATTTTTTGGTAGAAAGAATATATTTTAAATTATTATTTTCTTGAAAAAAGGAAATTAGTTTGAGAAATGTAAAATTATATAGAGGACGTGCTGACATTAAAAATACATACCTAAATTCTTGATTTTCGGGAATTGTGATAATACGTTTCCTGCTACATAAATGGGTACTTTTCCGTTATACCTACTCCCTTTTTGCGGACTTTTTTTGCCGACTGCTTATGTAAAAAATGGTTCCTGTCTCAATTTGGTTCCTACTCCTTCCTGCCTCAATTTCATTCAATTTTTCTGTGGCATGTTCAATGAGAGAAGAAAGGGTTATTTTTCTTTCCAATGTCACCAAAATAAGTACTAACATAAATATTTAAAAATACATTTAAATTATTCAAAATATATTAAAATTAATTAAGGTTATCTCCTTCTACAACAAATTATTAGAAAAAATTGAGGAGGCAAAAACTCAGTCTTTGTCCAACACAGACCGTGAAAGTATGGAAAATTATATTCATGATAGATTTGAACAGTTCCGAGTTTCAAAGAATTTAAATAGTTTTAAAGACTTTTTCCGACCTTGGAATGCTTTATTTCTTGACAGAAAAAACATTAAACAAATTATTAAATTTGCTAAAAATAATATTAAAAGTTTAACGTAATTAAATTGTTTTAGTAAAATTTATATAAAATTTTGGATGAATATTATATTCTCTCTAATTGAATGCCACTTTGGAAGTCGTCTGAAAAATAGAATGCCATGGCATTCTATTAGAGAGACGGATTTTTAAATCAACTCAGTAGTTTATAAATGAATATTTTGGTATCAGTAATACAGAAAAATACCGAGCAATTCCGAACACTAGTATACAAATCCTCGATTTTTACTACTCTATTAATTATTTAATAGCAGTACTCATATATGGTACAAGTTACCCAGTAAATCTCAAATTTCCAATCATTGTTAGTTATATGTATTTTTAATTTTCAGTGCTTCAGCTATTACAAAAGTTTACAAAGAATGCATAAAGATAACAATAGTTGAAAGAAATATTTTTATTTTATGGCATTTATTTGGTTTTGCTAGAAGTCTTATTAGATCTTTCATTCTTTATCATGATAAAAATAAATATTATGATGAATTATTGTTTAAACGAGTTCTTTTAAACAATTCTAAACCAAAGTATTAACGTCTTAATTTTATATTTTTAAATATTTTATTTTAAAAAATACAGGGAAAAAATTGAAATTTTTAAATACATGGAAGCTTACGATATTTTAGAGTTTAAAGCAAAATTTTTGATGGATAAACTTGAATTTACTGGCTTTTATAACGAAGAAATTAAATTTGAATATAATAATTATGAATTTTGTAAGTGATTAATACTAGAGATCGAACCGTACCGATTACCGACGCTATTTATTGTTATTCCGTAAACCAACCGATAAAATTTTGAAGTTGATCGCTATTTATCGTTATTTCGTCCGTTCTACGTTACGGATGAAAATTTTAAAGTTTTATTTTGAGGGAAAGAGACTTCTTGGACTTGATAATTCTCAAAATTTCAGCGTCTTCGGCGCTGAAGAAGAAGAATGGAAGGATATAGAGAGATTAGGATATATTACGAATTGATTTAGGGGAAAGATGTTTATTTAAGGGGACTTGCGTTTAAGTATGGGGATTATGAGATATCTGTGGTTGTGGAGTTTTTTGAAAGCCGTTTTAATAAATTAAAATAAATTTATTAATTTTTTAAATTATTAGCTCGTGATCAAATGCTTATGACTTTAGAAGAGGCAGAATCAGAAGAGGATGTTATATATAGAGCAATCTTCTCTCCCTTCAAATTAGTTGAAACAACAGATAATCCACATATTGAAGTTTTTTTGAGTGTTTATTATCGCCAACTCGAATGTATTTTTTAATTATTAAATAATACTTTTACAGAAATTTTTAGTGCCAGAAGAAGCAAAATTAACAAGTCAAGAATGTTTAACTTTAATAACAAATATGGACATAGATCCAGAAAATTCAACCCCAAATATTCCTTTTTATTATTATTACCATTACAAAATTAATTCAGATAATTTACAAAATAAACTTGAACAATTTATTTTAAATAATTATTTTATTAATTTAATTGTTAGTGAAAATAATAATTTAATTGAAAGAGAATATCTCAATGAAAATGTTTTTGATTTATATTATTCACCTAATGATAGGGGGAGTGCTGTGCCCCACATGCGTTTGGAATTGTTTACTGCTGTTTGTTCTTATAAAAAAATTTTTAATAAAATATTTTATTTTTATTTTAGATACAAAATCATTGTGTTGCAATTATAAATGAACATAATGCTAAACAAAGTGAAGAAGACAAAAGTGGGTGACGTGAAGGTTGTGGGGGAAGATACAGAAAAGGACACAATGATTGAAAGATGTAATTGAAAGAAATATTTAGATATTTTTATTTTAAAATTTTTTATTTTTGGGTGAGGGCTAACTCAATTCTCAGAATTTTTTAAAATTCTTTTTTTAAAGTATTCTAATTTTTTTAAATTCTTATTTTTAAATATTCCATGATTTGGTCGTTCCTTGACCTGTCGTTCCTTGATTTGTCTGTTTGAGTTAGCCCGACACGTTATTTTTTGGGTTATTTAATAGAAGGTTTCCTCAATGAACATTTTTTGGGATGTTTGGAAAATTGACGCTAACAAAACAAAAAGTCAAACAGACTTTTTGTTTTCTTGTCGATGAAATTAAAAGATTATTATTATTTGAACAATTTCACAATTAAAAATTGTTTGGAAGGTTATTTGGGGTTTGATTTGATTTTTAAAAATATGTATTTTACTTTAAATTTATTTAAATTATCGATAAATTTGTTGGTTGGAAACATTTTTTACCAACTCGCAGTTCAAATGTATTTTGGCCGTCCAAACGTAAAAAAAATATTTTTGGACAACCCTAAATGGATCAGTATTTAAATAAAGACTAAGTTTTATGTAAATATCCCTCTATAAAGCATTGATAATACATAATTAGGAAAAAGAAAATTGATTAAGCCGTTCAATTATACTAAAAATATCAAATCCTTATAAAAATTCCAAAACAGAAAATACGAAAAATAGACAGCTATTAATTTTTTAACAAGTCTTATAAAGTTTATTTTTAATTTCTTTTCTCTAAAAACAATAAGCTAGATATACTGTAAATACTCTAATAGAAGCACTGGGCTTATATTTTTCAATGGGCTTATATTAGAGTTGGGCTTCTACCATAGGTAAACTTCAATTAGAGTATTTACTGTAATTAATATTCTAAATAATCCATAATTAATAGAGCTGTAGAAGACCGGATATTTTCCAAGACTCGAAACCAATACCGAAACCCCACGAGAAAAGTATTGAGTCTAGACCAAGAGCCCTGAACAACTCCAATAATTATTTCTAAAAAACTTTTTTGAAACAATAAAATACAAAATATTTAAATTAAATATTAACTAATTAATTAATTTAAACTTTTACTTATTTGTAATTTAATTTCTGAAGATGAGGGCGTTATTATTTTTTGTTGTTGTCGTTGAGGTTCGAAACTAAAATTTAAAAAAATATTTTGGGTTAAATATTTCAGAAAAGATAAATTTCTATAAATATTTGAGAGGGAATTTTATTTAAAAAAATTATATATTTTTGTAAAATTAAAAGAGAAAAGTTAAAAATTAAAAAATCAATCTCTTCGATAAATGACAAATTTTTCAATCAGAAAATTTAAAAAAAATTTTTTGGTTAGAAATTCCGTTTAATTTATTTAAAAAAATATTTTTACTTACCCATAAAGAAAAGTAGAAAGTATCACAATCGAAGCACCCAAAACAAATGTAAACGAAGGTTCAAAGTCATTAAGTAACCCCCAAGAAATAAAACTGCTCAACAAAATAGATAAAGAAACAGCAAATCCTTTGAGTATATTATCCGCATATTTAACGACTAAAGCAATTACTAGACCTCCATAAGCCTTAAAAATTAAAAAAAAATTTTTTTAAGGAATCAAATAAAAAAGGAAATTTATTTTTGAAAAATTCTCCCAGGAAAAAAATCAATTAATAAAAAGAAAATTGGGTAATATTACCCCAAAAAAATTTTTTAATTCAAATTTTAAATTTATATGTCCAAATAAATTCATAAATAAAAACTTATAAAATTCTACTTGACTCTAATTTTTAGAACCAAGCAGGAAATACAAAAAAAAAATTAGAAAAAAAACCTGTAAAGCCACAACAATCCAAATAGTTGTATTATATCCATGAAAAAACCCCCACAGTTTTACTTGTTCCCAATCATAAATCCAAGTCATTGCAAAAGCCCCAAAAATACTGAAGAAAGCTTTAAAAAATAAAAAAATTTTATTTTTAAAAAATAAAAAACAAACAAAGTAACAAATTTTGAGTCCAAAGTTGAACCTAAAAATTTAAAAAAAAATTTTTAAATTTAAGAAAAAACCGAAGCAGTTTTTAAAATTCTTTCCAAATAAACCCCAGCAAATCCACTAGAAAAACAAGCAGCTAAAATTGCAAAAAGTCCAATTAATCTGTCGCTGGAATTGTGGTCGTAAACAATATTGGGTTTTAGAGAATTTTTCGGAAGCTTTAGAAAAAAATAAAAATTTTAGAAAATAATTTATGGTTTGGTCAAATATTTAATATTAAATGTAGAAAATCTTTTGTAATCACTTCAAAAAAGTAATGACCGCTTGTTCATAAAAACTAGAGATCGAGATTTTTGAAAAGCCTGCTCCTGGGTTTGATTTATTGACCTCGGCCGGATCCCCCGGGAAAGTTAAAAATGCCTGGCCTAGACTCTGAGTACAGGAAAAACCAAGGACTTGGTCCTGGCCAAGCCCGACCTCTAATAAAAACTCCAAAAAATTTTCAAGAAAAAAACCTGTACAAGAGCTACCCCGCCAGTTAGCAAAAGTAAAGCTATCCATTTTAAAATATTTAATTTTTTATTGAGCATAGTAACTGAAAAGAAGGCTGTTGTGAGGATTTTGAGTTGATAAGTGACCTTAGAAATTTTTTTTAAAAAATATTTTTAAAATTTATAAAGAATACTTGATATGTTGCCGCATCTAATTTTGAAAGTGAAAGAAATAATAAATTATTTTGTATAACCTAAAAATTAAAAAAAATATTAAAAACTAAAATAAAATTAGAAAATTAGAAAAATAAAAAATTTGGATAATATTGAATCTGACAAGTAAAGCAATCCATTTTAAGCCGAAAAATTTTCCCAGTTCCCCCCCCCCCTTCGAAAAGAATTCTGGCTACGGCCTGACAGACTCCATTTTTTTCTGCCCCAATTTTCTTCCTATATATTTGCAGAATGGAAAAACTTCTTCCCTTCTTACATTCCCAATTTTCTTTTATTCCATCCAAGGGGAAATAAAAATTAATTCCTTTTGATTGTAAGCAAAATTAGAAAGGCAATTGGAGTGGAAGGAAAAAGTCTGACCATTTTGTACATTATATAGGAAAAAGTTAAGGGGAGAGAAAAAATGGAGCCTGGCAGGTTCAATATTACCAAAAATTCCTTCAAAATTCAAAAAAAACTTAACCAACATAAAGCAATGCAGGCACACCAATTTTAGTCGTTTCATTTAATCTATTAAAAACATCGGCATTCAAAACTCTCAATAACCGATCAAAACTCCAATCATTTTGAAAAAATAACACAAAAACACAAGTTATAAATTTAACAATTTCTGCCATCAAAACGGCTGTAGAAGATAAATATTTGGGTCCTTCCCCTGTTTGTGTTCGGGAATAACGTAAAGTCAACACCAAAGCGGTTGTTTGTGCAATTAAAATAAAAAGGGATAGCCATTTAAGTTTGTTGTTTTTAACTGTTGTAACCATTTTTTTGGTAGGTTTAAAAACTCTTTAAATTAAAAAAAATTGAAAAATTATTTAGTTTATAATAGGGTTGCTCACGGACGGTTAACCGAACCGGAACCGGAACCGTTAACCGGTGTTTTTGGCGAATTAACCGGAACCGAAAACCGGGGGTCGAAAACCGGCGATAACCGAAAACCGGTGACCAAAACCGCCCGGTTTCGGTTTTAAAGATACACCCCTAATGACAGGAATATTTGGGGATTTTTTCGGACATTTGAATTCCCAAAATACATCGCAAAATATTTTTCTACTTTTCTTTCTTGATAAATTGTATAAATTCCAGTTTTACTATAGGAGATGTGTGGTTAAGTGGTTAAGATGAGTCTTCAACTTTACTTGAAGACCAGGGATTTTTAAAGCACAAACCCCAGCATGACGAAAAGCCGTATTATTTATTCCTTACATGAATAAATAAGTTTAAAATTTTGATTTTATTTTTAAATATTATCAAAGTCGATAATTTGTGGTTTTTCCTCACTTTGTGGTTTTTTGACAGGTTGATGAGAATTATACTTAAAAATGCAAATTTTTTAATTTATTGTAGTTTTTAGAACACTTTGTAAATAAAATTGGGAAAATGGAGGATTTCTAGCTGCTTGGCCATACAAAATTTTCGCCTGCAGCGTAGAAAAACGAAAGAAATCTCGCCTCTTGGCAATCTTAAATTTACAAAATTTTCGCCTGCGGCGCTGAAAATTGAAATTGGGGTTATTAGAGGGATATATGGAGATTTGTGGATATCGATGATATCAGGAGGTTTAAGGTCATCGAATGGTCATCGGATCACTATTATTCACCCCAACGCCCTTGATAACTTCTTATCTTTCTAATCCCCGATTCATTGATATTAATCCACCGATCATCGATATCCCCTAATCCCTCTATTATCCTAATATTCTAAATCAGCCAACTCCTCGAATTGTTGAAATTTGTAAATTATTCAGCTCCTAGTGTATAGAATATCTATTTAAAAGCGTTAGAATGTGACAACATCTTAATGGGATATTCTGGATGAAAATTTGTCCAAAAACCGGTCCCGGTTAACCAAAAACCGGGGGTAAATCAAAAACCGGAACCGAAAACCGGGGGTCGAAAACCGGCGATAACCGAAAACCGGGGGTACCGGTTAATAACCGGTAGTGAGCAACCCTAGTTTATAATTATAAAGGAAATCTAGGACACGCCCAAGTAGGCGCGCGGCCATAACGGCGCAAAGCCATAACTAGCTGGAAAATTTCTGGCCCTTATAAATTTTGGTACTAATTTCTTTATCTCGATGAGAGGAAGGTGTTAAGATTCGAAAATCCTAAAGCTAGTTATGGCTTTGCGCCGTTATAGCCGCGCGCCTACTTGGGCTGTACCCAGGAAACTTGATACCTGCACAAAATGGTAGCCAACAAATACTCGCCTAAAAAATAAATAAGCAAGGTGGTAGTGTTCAACGTCAATAATCGATCCGAATCTTGAGGCAAAAATACGGGGTTCTCTTAATTTCAGATTATTTCCGAACCAGAGTCAGAAAAAAATTAAAATCTGAATAGAAATCAGCTGATAGATATTAGCGAGTACCAATTTGTCGCTTACTATTTTGTCGCCGTACACTTTGTGGAATACAGCAGCAGTGCTGGGTATCAGAGGTGGGTCGGAATTCCGATTTCCGACTTCCGATTTCCGATTTCCGACGTTTTTTTCCTTCCGATTTCCGAAATTTTGGAAAAATTTCCGATTTCCGACAATTTTTAAGGAAAATTTCCGACTAAAGATTCTTCCAATATTTTCAAAATTTTCGCCTGCGGCGCAGAAAAAGGAAAAAATCTGGCTTCTAGCCTTCTATAATCCTCAAAAATTTCGCCTGCGGCGCAAAAATGGAGGATTTTTGGCTTAAGGATCTTCCAAAATTCTCAAAATTTTCGCCTGCGGCGCAAAAAATAGAAGATTTTTGGCTTAAGGCTCCCAAAAATCCCAAAAAAAATTTGTCTGCGGCGCTGTAAATGGAAGTTCAATGGTATATCGGAGGATTAGGATGGATTAAGGTGGACTTTGAGTTATATCGTGTGCTTTCAAGGGGTCATAGTTAATAACGAGGGATCTGTGTGTGATATCGAGGGATTGACCCACAATATCTCTTTTAATCCCTTCGAATTTGACTTTTGAGTTGCAAAAAGAAATTTACACCCTCAAATTACACTCAAAAAAGCCCATAATTTGTCACCTTACAATTTTAAATATTATTTCAGTTATGAAAATAAAAATTTTATTTCCGATTTCCGCCTTCCGATTTCCGATTTCCGGCGTTTTTTTCCTTCCGATTTCCGATTTCCGAAAAAAAATTTTGATTTCCGATTTCCGAGTTCCGACTTTTGAGCCATTTCCGATTTCCGGCAGTTCCGATTTCCGACACCTCTGACTGTTCCGACCCACCTCTGCTGGGTATGGCTCCGGGAGCTAGCTCCGGAGCCGGAGCTAAGATTTTGAAAACCCCGGAGCCGGAGCTGGAGCCGGAGCCAAGAATTTCAAACCCCGGAGCCCGGAGCCGGAGCCAAGGTTTTCCAATTCCCCACGGCTCCGGCTATACACCCCTAAAGATGGGTTAGAGAAAAAGAAGTAACAAAGATGGTAGGCGAGAAAAGAAAAGGAAGAGAAAATTGAGACGGGTAAAAAAGATTTTCTTTCCTTAACTTTGTAAAGTAGTTGTGGGTGAATGGATAGTGAGTTAGGTTCCGAATTTTATCCGGTTATAGGTTCGAAAAATATTAAAAAAAATGATTAAATAATTGTTTTGCCTTGGAAAATAAATTATAATAACCATTTTTTAAATAAATAAAGCTGGATAAATTTTTTAAATTGATTAATTTTAGTCTCCTGTGAGTCAAATTTTTCAAAATTTTTGCCTGCGGCGCAAAAAAGGAAGATTTTTGACTTAAGGATCTTCCAAAATTCTCAAAATTAGCGCCTGCGGCGCAAAAAAGAAAGATTTTTGGCTTAAGGATCTTCCAAAATTCACAAAATTTTCGCCTGCGGCGCAAAAAGCAAGTGATAATGAGAGGAAAAAATAATATATATCCAATGAAAAATAATTAATTGATTTTCCAGCCGGAGCCCGGAGCCAACATGGAGCGGCTCCGAAAATCGCCGGCTCCGGAGCCGGAGCTGGAGCCGGAGCCAAGATTTTAAAAGGTCGGAGCCCGGAGCCGGAGCCAAGATTTTGAAACCCCGGAGCCGGAGCCAAGATTTTCAAACCCCGGAGCCCGGAGCCGGAGCCGGAGCCAACAAATGGCAAATACCCAGCACTGTACAGCAGCCTTTTTTCGATCACTCACTCATAAACTCGATTCAGACTTTCTAAAATCAACATCATCGACTCAATTTTGTGGACCGGGTGAAAAAGTTATTATTTTAGTGTTTCGACCCAAAATTTTAACCATTTGGATATAAAAAATCAGATTTTCTGAAACAATGGGTTAAAGAGGATAAATTATTAGATATTATATTCGAACTCTGTGTATGCGAGAACCTATTATGAACTGAAAAAAAACTTTAAAAAATTGAGAGGTGGTTAAAATTTTTCAGAAATCTAAGGTTAACAAAAAGTTAAAAACAAATGAAGGAATGAATAATAAATGAAATTTAAACGGAAAATGGTGAAAGAAAATTTAGAAAGTCAGGGAGAATAATAAAAATTGAAAAAAAGTTTGAAAAAGACAACGTGGCAACCGATCCATACTTGAAAATAAACATTTGAATAAAACGTGGTGGAATGAATTAAAATAAAAATTTTAGAACTGATTTAATTTAAATTTAAAAACTCATTAACTTATAAAATTCGGAGAAGTTTCCCCTCAGCTAGTTAATAAATCAAAAGTGAAAACCACCATTATTAATTACTATATTGTTAGTAAGGTCTAAAAGTTAAAAATAATAAATTTATTCTTAACATTCATAAAAATTGAATTTTTATTAATTATAAGAATCATTCAACGCAAATAATGATATTGGGGGTTGGATAAAATGGACAAGAAAATGGAGGTAATTTATGTATATTTCTTAGCTGAAATCCGATTGAAGGAATTCAATACATTTTTTATTGTCTTATTTTTGGTCTTTACAAATAATGAATGGGGAAAATCAAAAATTTATTTAAGTATATTAATTATTATTATTAATCTCTTGTCCTATTGAAAGTTTCATCATCATCTAAATCAATCTCGTCGTAAATGTCTACAGCCATCGGGCAACGTTCTCCAAAATACTTGTCGGCCTAAAACAAAAATTTTGTATCAAAAAATACAATTTAAATATAATTTAATAAAAGGCAAAAAGCAACTAAGAAAACTATCAATTTCACCAAAAACAAACATTTATTATTGCCAATTTATCAACTTTTGAAAGCAAGAAATGCAAAAAGCTCTTCCATTATGTTCTTTAAAACTACATTTATCTATTTGTCGACAACAATTACAACACACTAATTATAGAACAGAAAAAGTTAAAAAGCTCTTTTAAAATTCCCAAAATTCTCACAAAAATGTTCTGGATGGAATTTTTGATCGTTTAAAGCAGAAATACACCGTCCAGTTATCGGTAAATGACAATGAGAACATAAAGATCCTTGGCATGTATGTAAACATTGTTCACAAAGTAAACGATCAAAAAACACAAATGGAGCGGCAAAAAGAAAAGAGCGGCTACATCCCTTAAAAATCAAGCAACAAATAATTAAAGCTAGAAGCAAAAAAAGCAAATTTAGAAGCAAAATTTAATTTAAAAAAATATATTTATTTTTAACCACCTGACAACAAAAACACTCGGGATGCCATTGGGTGTTTAAAGCATTTATGAATTTGTTTGTAATGGGTTGCTTACATCCTTGACACTTTGGAGCGTGTTGGCGATAGAAACAATCACGGCAATAAGCAGAATTGGACTAGAAAATAATTTTAGGAGTTAGTAACCCCCTCATAAATTATTTAATAACCCTTTCATGAAAGCCTCCATCGAGGAAAGGATGTCCACATTCGGCACAGACAAAATGCTTCAAATAATTTTTTTCACTAAAATTTAATTACAAAACAAACATCGACATGAAATGTTTTTCCAAGAGCGGTTACACAACGCTTAAAAATTAATATTTTAGGAAATTATTATCAAATTGAGAAATTGTCATTCTCTCAAAGGTTTTTAAAACTTAAAAAAATAATTATAAAATTCAAAACAAAATATGTCTAATATTAAGTAGAAAACGATAATTTTATATGGCATACCTCCTTAATAGATCCATTACAATAGTGACATCTGGGGGAGAACATATCTGAAATAAAATAAAGCTAATCATTAAAACTTGATAAGAACATAATGAAAAATGCTGATAACTAGGATTGGATTTTTCAGATCGGGCCAGCGTTCGAGTCATTTTTTCGACCTCATCTTTATCGATCTGGCCGTTCAATTTTTTTCGGGCCAAAATTCGATGCCCGATTCGATCTTTCGAACCGAACAGGGCCCCCAACCCTACTGAACACTTGGATAAAAATTATTTTGAAATACCGTGAAAGTCATTTTCACAATATGCCTTTCCTTGTCGCTCAAAAAAGTTTCGATGGCCAATAGGATCACCACACTGTGCACAGCAGAAATGTTCTGGATGCCACATTCTTCCAAGTGCTATTACTACAGGGCCAATAACAGCCTCCCCGCATTGAGGACAATCCCCCTTAGGTATTGTGTGAATCCCAAGTTTGTCTCCATCCAACATAGGATCTCGTTGAGCTTTCAAAGGCGTAGTAGTTGAAAACTGAAAAATGTGAAATATTAATGGGAGGTGAGGTTAGCATGAACCTCTGCAGAGTTGAATCCATCGGAGAGAAGGGGAGAGACTTCACCAACACGTTGGTGGGCATACGGACTGAAAATAATTATTTAACAATTAATATATTCATGTCACTCAAAGAAGCTTAACTACTGTCCAAACCACCTTTTAGATTTTCCACTGGATGCTTCTTTAAGAAGTCGCTCAGTATTATCAGCCGTCTCAAAATCGTTGTCATCTCCTGCCTTGCGTAGATGACCCTTCCGAAGAATTTCAGTTGTTCTTTGCAAATCGTTGAGAAGTAATTCTTTAAAGAATCATTTAAATTTTTATTATAAGGAGAGAGATAATTTAAAAGAATAACACTCATCCCCACTCCCTTCCCCCTACTCCAACACAATGTTTTTTAAGTTAACCTAAAGCCGGCTTTACTTCATCTTCAAATTTGCCACGACCAACATCAGTACTTTTTTCTAAACGCATTTATTTTTCTCGAAAAGGAAAATTTATCAGATAATTTAAAAATAAAGAAAAAATTGAACGGAAAAATCAAAATGAATGGGGGAAAGGATTGATTTGTTGAAAAGAAATGAGAAAGCTTTTTTTAGCTTTAAATGAAAAATTTTACTGAAAAAAAGAAAGGAACGTTAGAAATATTTAGATACATTTGAAAAGAAAATATTAAAAAAAGGGAGGTAAAAAGTAAAATTAGAACCAGCTGTTTCTTCTTCCTCCCCTTTTAGTTATGAAATAATAAACTGGGGGCGGCAAAAGTTAAAATACCTAATAATTCTTAAATTTTATTTTTAAATTAAAAATTTTAGAAAATAATTAAATAACCTAAATCACGTTGTGTTTTGTCCATTTTAATATTTTTATTAGAATAAAAAAATCAGAATAAAAAATCAGAAATAATTTTTAGAAAAACTAAAAAAATATTAGTTTTATAAAAATTGATTGTAAAAATACAAAAATAAAGGGATTTTTTAGATGAATGGAAGGAGAATAAATGAACAAACATGCTTATGTTAAGCAAATAAATTTTTAAAAAATGAAAGAAAATATAAGAATTAAGTAGAAAGAGAGCTTTTACTTTGAAGATTTACAATAGAAAAAAGAAAAAAATTTTTGTTTTATCCTTTAACCTCTATTTTTTGGTATTATAAAGAAGGAGATTGAAGGATTGAACCTGCGATAGGGGCAATAGCTAATGCTTTCTCTTTTTCCTTTTTAGGGTGTTTAACACCCGCCTAAGCGTTTTAAATGCTCTTAGGTGAATAATCCTTACAATAACTTAGTAGAAAGCCCTTCCAACAGTAGCAATTTTTACTGTTATCATCATTTCAGGTCTAAACAATTTATCAGACTTTAATGTCGAATTTATCAATCATAAAAACAAATTAATTAATTATAGGCATTGACAAAAATTGATTAATTATGAAATTAATGTTGAGTGGCATTCACCACTCTTAAATTTTACCATCACTCTTCATTAAAAATTATTATTTTATACATAAATATAGTTAATTTTTAAAATATGTACAACATTTTGTTTTAGTTTTTTACTTGTTTTAAAACAATATCAAATTTAAAATATTTGCAGAATGTTACCTCACATTTTAGAGAATTAACTTTTATTTAAAATAAACATTGTCCTCAAACTATTGAGAAATATTTTTTTAATTAGACATAGAAACTCTTAACTAAAGATCGGACCGAGACGAGATCTCGATTCTCGTATGATAATATTTTTTGAGATTTCGATCGAGATTTATCGAGATTTTTCGAGAATTGAGATTTTTTTTCAAGAATACGATCTCGATTCTTGACAACACTTAAAGTCCGGTCTCTGTTTTTAGCTATTTATATTTTCCATCATTTGGAGGATGAACGCGCAATTACACCAGTTGTTTGCTCAAATATAGATAAATAAATATGTATTGATAAAAATTTCCTCAGATCGGACAATTTTAACAGTTAATTATTTTAACATTTGGAACACGAATGTTTTCTTTAAAACTTTTTCGAATTTTAGAAATGTTTATTCCACTATTATTTGTAATTTTATCATTTATTTCAAACTCTTATGAGGACTTTGAAGACGAATCATCTTCATTTGACATTTCACCATTTTTAGGTTAATTTTATTTAGCTTAGAGGCTTGACCTAACTATCAATAATCTTTTAATTTTTTGCAGAAGAAGCATCACCTTCTGAACCAAAAAATTTAAATCAAAAGAAAAATATATTTGAAAAGCATAGGCAGAATTTTTTAAATAAAAAATATTCGCCATTATATAAAGACAAAATATGGTCTCCAACAGAGAATGATTTTGGAGGGTATTTACTTATAAAATAATAATTTAGAGAAATCATAATAATTACTTCAGTATTAAATTAAATATATTAAATGTAATTACTCAAATTAAAATAGGTGCTCAAAAGGAGAACAAGAGTTTGAAATTGGAGAAATGGTTGAAGTAAAGAATACGAACAAAATTAAAGGCGGCACAGAATGGTTATTAGCAAAAATTGTAAAAATCAAAAATGGAGGTTATGAAGCTCAAGTAATAAATAGTCCACTTTCTGGCGCAAAGTTTTTTCGGTGTTCAAAGGATATACGAAAATATAGTGCTAATGACAACTTCCAGATTAACGAAATTGTTGAAGTAAAAAATCGTAATGAATGGATTTTAGGAAAAATAATAGGAAAAGAAGAGGGAAAGTATGTAATTAGTGTTGTAAGTGGACACGCTTATGACAAAATTTTTAGACGTTATTCGGATGATTTAAGAAAGTATGATTTAGAAGAAGCATTGAAACATTATGAAATTGGTGAAATTGTTGAGATAAAAAGCTTTGACCAACAAACAAAAGAAACTAATTGGATTAAAGCAAAAATATTAGAAATTAATCAGGGAAATAATTGTAGTGTAGAAGTTGTGGATAAATGTAAATTAATTGGTGGTATAATTAAAAGAAATATTTATAGTATGAGGAAATTTAAAATTGAAAATTTTCAAGTCGGTGAACAAGTTGAAGTATGCATTTATCATAAAATTGAAGACAAAACTGAATGGGTAAAGGCTAAAATATTAGGAAAACGAAATGGAATGTATATTTTGGGGATGGGAACAAATATACTGGAAGAATATCCATGTAATATAAGAAAAATTAAATCTGGATAAAGAAATTCAAAATTTGTAGTAAAAGAAATTAATGTTTGAAAGATATACATACAATTTATTAGAAAAACAATTTTTGATTATTTTTATGTAAAAACTAAAATCATTTTATTGAAATCTTTAGAATATTCATTATACCGTATATACTGTATTAATTACCCTGGGTAATTATTGTTTCGATCTCTCGCTGGAGGGGGTAATTAATCGAAAGGATGGGCTAAATTTGGGGTATATCTCAATAAATCGAAGAGGAAATCCATTTATTTTTTGATATTGATTCTTATAATGTTTCAATAATTGAAATTGCCAATGATTTTTTTCTATATTTTTGAAATTAGAGAAGGAAAGGGAGGGGGTAATTATTAAAGAGGGTAATTATTTGAGGGAGGGTAATAAATACAGTATTTACGGTATTACATATTATTAAAATTATTGAAAAGTTTAATTGTTTTTATGTCTTTAATACATATAATGCCCCCTTTTTGGCTGATTTCGTCCCCAATTTTGCATCATTTTTGAGAAGCTATGCCCCCTTTTGGTGATTTAAATAGACACACTAACACTTACATAACACTCTACACTGAAAAAAAGATTCGTCTTCCCTTAAAGCCGAAGATTCACAATAATTGTTATAATATCACTAAAACTTTTGCCCTCAACGAACTTGTCCTCTACATTCAATCGTCACTTTTTTAGCTTTATCTTTTGGGGTTAACAATTAATATTTTTACTTGATCTTTATTACCAGATTTTTGTTTATCTCTTAATATTAATCCGCTTTTATTTAATATTTCAATTTAGAAAATAAAAAACATTTTTTAAAAATATTTTGTTCTTTGGCCTAACATTTTATCATTCCAAAAATATATATTTAATATTTATATTGGATAGAAAAACTTTTTTTATTTAACAAGAAAATGCTTGTAATTTGATAAAAATTTATTTTTTAAATAAAATTTAAAAGATGAGTATTGGTGTCAATTTCAAATTCATTTATCTCCCTCCCTTTCTCTTTTTTGAAAATAAAACATTTTATTATAAAATAATATTTGAAAAAAATTTTTTTAATAATATTTTAATATTTAATTAAATTTAAAATTTTAAATATTTTACTAAATTTTTTTAGAATTTTTTATTATAATCATTTTTGAAGGTTTTCATGTCCCTGAACCCTAATACATATATAGAAAAAATAAACATTTTTAGTGTATTTTAGAAAAAGTTGTTTAATTTTTGTTCAGAATCCCTATCTGGGATTTTTAATGATAAACAAACTCTAATAATTAAAACTTTGGATATTTATTATTATGTTATACTTATAAACAAAAGTATTCTTAAAATAATATACTCAAATCTTACTTTCTTTCAAATTAAGTTGTCAATGATTTTGCTAAACTTAACAAAACAAAAATTAAAATTATTATTTTATTTTGGATGGGTTATTTTGAAAAAACAACCTTTCTCTCTCTCAAAGAATCTAAAACACTCTTTCTAATCCTATTTTCTAAAACGAGTTAATCCAAATTTAATTTAAATATGTAGAGTTAAAAAATATTAATTTAATATTTGTTATAAGAAATAGTAACGACTTCCTTCTTTATAAATAAAATAATGCTACATTTAAGTAATAGATTTTTATTTTTTAACTTTCAAATAAATCAAATAAATATAAATAAATAAAAAGCTTTAAGTAAATTACTACAAACTTTTTTGCTTCAAATTTTTTATTCTTTCTACGATAAAGGAACAAAAAATACTTTTCATTTTTTAAAATTTTCTTTGCGAAAAATTTCTAAATTAAATTCTAAACTTGAATAAAGATTTTAGGAAAATATGTATACTCAATTATAATAGTTTAATTTTTATTTAATTTACTTTTTATGCATAGCAGTTTAGAACTAGTTTTGGTCTTAACTTTCGATATCTTAGTTGAATAAATAATCAGTTTTCAGTTCGGTAAGCAATTTGATCTAATATATGTATTAGTAATTTTAGTTGGAACAGATTTAAATATTTTGATACCCCTCCCATCCCCCCCCCCATAAGTGAGATGCTAGAAACTTTAAAAACGTCTTAAAAATTAAATCAAATAATTATTAAATTTATTATTAAAAATATTATTTTAGTAAGTATTTTTAATTTTAATAAATTTATTTTTTGGTTTTTAAAGTTGTACTCAAATTTATTTTAAATTATTTATTTTTAAAAATATTTGTCTAGTACATATTTGTCTACTTTTTATAACAAAGCCAATAACTAACAAAGAAAAAGGCTTTATTGAAGGCTTTATTTTTATTTTATTTTATTTGTACTTTAAGAGATTTTAATTTCTGCTTCACCAATTTTTATTTTTTTATTATATTAAGGGATCTCTGAAATAATTAATTTTTCATTGTTTTTCAATAAAATTTTATATTTATTTATTTAACGAACTCATTATCTCTTTATCTTTTTTTATTTATTTGTTGTTAAAGTAATTTTGGAATAAATAGAAAACATCCAAATTTTTAAGAAAGAGTCTTTAGTTTGAAGCTGATTTTTCGATTCGATTCTTATGTTCGGTTCCGGATATCCGAAGATTTTCCAGCAACCACACCGCTAATTTAAAATAAATTTAAAATATTGGGGAACTTTAACTAATTAATATGTTTAATGAAAAATTAATTTACCTATTTTATTTAAAAATATTTCTTTTTCCTTTCCCCAATTATTTAGTTTTATAACAAAATAAAAAAATAAAAGTAATTCAATCCTCGTTATTTATTTTAGAAACAAATAAAAATAAAAGAAAAATTTGTTTTTTGATGTTAAAATTAATTTAAAAATGAATGTTCAAAAATTAATTAATTAAAATATTTTTGATGTCATTGTTTAATAAATTTTTTTATTCTAACAATAGAGGAGAGTTTTACCCTCTTTTTTTAAAAAAACACAATAGTATAATATTCCAAATCTTACAAACCAAAATTCAGTTAGTGATATTTAATTCCTGTTTATAATTTATTTTAGACAATTGTGTATTTGTATTATCTATATTTATCTATATTTATTCTTATCTATATTTATGGATATCTTTGGAGAAATTTTTTTGGATTTTTTGATTGCTAAATAAAAATTTTTGAGGGGGGTGCATATACTTTTGGAACAGTGAATATTTGTATAAATGTTTATAAAAATGGAACGAGATGGGGGAAATTTTTATTTTTTTGTTTAAACATACACATTTATCTGGAAGAATATATAGACAAAAAGTCTAATCAGAATAACTGAGAAAAAAGTATAAAAAGTCAAAAAACTAGGGGTGCATATACTTTTGGAACGCAGTGTATTAGTTTCTCTCTCCACTTAATTACAGACATTCACAAACTTTAAACTTCAAAATCTAAATTAATTCAAATAATTAATTTAATTTACTATTTACAAGATATTTTTCACCGGCATATAGGCAAATATTTATCTATTTTAGATTTTAATAAATACATATACCTATTTCTAAATATTACGTAACTCATTTTATTCTGACATTTAAACCAAAAAATAATTATTAAACTGCCAAATAAATGCTACTTATAAACATTAATATTATTGGACTAGAAAATATATAAAATAATTATTATTATTGGAGACCGGACTTTCTTCTCTACCAAATTTACTTGCCTTGATTCTCGAAAATTTTTGACTGCGTTTTTCATTTTCGTCAATTTCTAATAATTTTTATTAAATTTTGCCTAAATATAGACAAAAATACTTCTAAAACCCTTCAAATTAATTCACTATTTTTTCTAAATTTTATTTAAAATGTTTATAAATTGCCTAAAGCTTTCTAAAGCCTCTCTTCTTTTCTAAAACCAAAAATCCTTTTTTAAATCCTTTTTAAGTTTTTCTCTATTTTTAGTGCCAAATTTTAACTTCCTTTCAAATAACACATGTTTTTGTGTTTATAAATCTTTACAAAAAATATAAAAAGATTTATTTTTAAAAGGAATTTTTTTCTTTGAATATTTTTTCTTTTTAATTTTTATTAAATAGATTTAAATTATTTTTTAAAAGTTTTTTTGAAAATTTTTGTTTAAAAGTCTTTCCTAAAATAGAAAAATCTTTAGAAAATTTTTTTTAAAAAGATTCAAAAATTTTGCTTTTTTATTTAATTATGTCGATCCAAGTAAAGAATAAATTTTTAGTTAAATAAGAGTTAAAGTTTTCTAATTAAGTAGATATATTTTAAGGCAGGAAAATATTTTATATTGTTTCTGTTAGTATTAGCGGACCCCGAGAATCTCAAATATCCTAGTCCGATATTATAATAGAACCGAAAATTTCCGGCTGATTTTATTTAATTTTAAATTATTTTTGTATATTCTTCATGTCTTAGTCTATTTTTTAATTTTAATTTATATTTTATTTCTACATATTTTTAAAGTTTAGGATATTTTGCAAATTAATTTTTCTTAATTTTCTGACGTGGTGATTTTTGAAATTTTTAAATTTATTATTCTTTTTTCGGAAAATTTTCTTTTTATTTTAAATTTTAAAAAGAAAATCCATCCTTTGCTAGCTCTTTGTTAAGAATAAAAGGCAGCAAATGGGTAACAGACCAAAACGAATGCCTAAAAGGCAGGATTATTTTAAAAATAATTTTGTTCCCTTTTTAAATAAATAAATAATTTTTTTCAAATCCAATTTATTTATTTAATTATTAAATTGATTACTCATATTTTTTATAATTACACATATTTTTTTGAAATAAAATTATTTAAAAAAAATAATCAATGAATCCTTTTTTATATCAGGCTGGGTAATTTAATGAAATAATGTAAAATTTATTTTAAGGATTTAATTTAACCTTTCAAAGCTCAAATTTAGAGAACCCATCTAATTTTTAAATTATTCTCCTTTCTTCCCCCTCCCCTTTTTTCTTTTCATTATTAATAAACTCTATTAGAATGGCCCCCTCTAATAGAATAACCCTTTGAAAAATGATTGAAAATAGAATGTCCAGCCAT